CTAAATTTATCCCGCAAATACTAAATGGTTTTAAGAGTTCAAACTACAAACACAATACCGGTTTGTCACATGAAATTAACTGAGAAGAGAACAATAAGTAGCTGTCAACCAATGTACCATGCACCGGCACCATTTACTTAAAATATTGATTTGTAATGCATGTTAAGTATTGTATGTGAAAAAAGATTTTCCCGCTTTCTGTTGAAATTTTTTGTTATATACCTCATGGAGCCCGATACCTTTTCAACGAATACAAAACCGTGGAAATTAGTTCGTTCCGGACCGGACTTATATTTATATATTAGATCTCTTACAAATATCTAATTGTCATCATTACGTCATTACATATCTGTCATTATACGTCAATTGCATATCTGTCAATTGTGTTTCGTTATTCCACGTTTTATAGTGACTGACGTTTCATGTCAAGTCCCACGGGAATGCTGTCGAACGGGACAAAAAGTATCCTATTGCAATTTCCTGCCTCTAAACTACCTCCCTGCCAATTTTTAGCTAAATCGGTTCAGCCATTCTTCAGTTATAAGTGGAGTAACTAACACGACTTTCTTTTATATATATAGATATATACATATTAGTTTAAGCTTTGAAGTACACATTTATACCTTGACAGTTAGCGGTAGCCAAAGTGACAGCGAAAATAAACCTCGCCGTCCACCAACGGCCCGCCGCTACTTGTCGCAATCTTCTTGTCATCATGATTGCATGATTGTGTGCACAGTCCTAAATATGATCAGCCATCTGCAAGAGATTACCAGAAAACGGTTTAATATGTGTGGCATATTTTAATTACAAATTATGAATATATGTATATTTTTTAAAACAATCGCTCGATATAAATCCAAAAAATAGTATACATTAATTCGCTAAGAAAAAATTATATGGATAATGTAGAAGAATCATTATCATCATAATATTCCAGTTCTTATAACTGAAAAAAATATCGAGGTATTCAATTATAAGTTATTTTAATAACACAACTATTTGAGGCAAAAACATTAAGTTTTTTGGTAAATACAACAAAATAAATTCAAGAAACGAAGTATTAGTTAAAATTTAACTAAACTAGTGTAAGTTTTTTAAAACAGATTAAAAACTCATAAACAATCTGTTACGCGTTTTAACTCGTTAACACGCGTAAATGAAATTCAGTGACAGCTTTTAATATATGTTCAAAGACTTTACTTTCGCTTTCAAGTCATATCTTACTGAAACAATCATAATATCAACCTACGACTGATTTTTGTTGAGAAAATCGTTACTTAAACAAAGTTTTAACATGAATCAAATTGAAAATTCAGCTAAATTGGTTGGCTATAAAATATTTTAAGCCACTCCAGCCGATGAAACACTTGAACTTGCTAACAATCAACGCAAATTGCTTTCCGTATTTTGTATAAAAACTTTTTGCATAAATAATATCCTTATGGCTTATACATTTTTACTTAAATCTTTTCACTTTTCTAATTTCAAACAACATTTTTCAATAGAATAGTCTTTAATAGAATAGTGTAGCTTAAATACTATTTTTTATTGTTTACCTAAGAACCAACAGTTTTTAAATTTACCATTTATAACTCAGTGTCATTGATAGTTGTAACATTTTGAAGCTATATATTATTAGTGGGATTATGAAACATTTACTCATAGTAATGGTCTAAAAACTAGAAAATCTTAAACAACTGTCGCAAATAACTACTACAATTACAATAACAACACTACAACCGTAAACAATAACGTAAGTTTCACGTGAAACGTAAAGTTTTACACTACACTTACAAAGCATAACAAATAATGGTAGTTATTTATTCAAACGAAACAATATATATGTGATAACTAACACCTTCCCCCTACTTAACTTGCGCAATCAAATATTATTGCAAAACTGAAATACCTACTCTCGACTTTTTAACCATCATTTTCCAAAAATAATTACAGTAGGACCTCGATTATCCGGACTAATTGTTGTCGGTAGGCATCCGGATAATTGAAAGTCCGGATAATCCAATATATGAAGAAAAACGGGCTTTTTGCATATGTACATTTGTAGTCTGTACCATACATATGTAATGTTAGGTGTTTATTTAAAACAACAAATACATATGAGCGAAAATCAACGTTTATTAAGAAATTGTACATAATGTACGTATAAGTGTTATAAGTGGCGTGGCGTTATGCAAGTTCTGACATGTTAATCTATACTAATATTATAAAGGTGAAGAGTTTGTTTGTTTGTTTGAAAGCGCTAATCTCCGAAACTACTGGTTTGAATTGAATAATTCTTTTTGTGTTGGATAGTCCAGTTATCGAGGAAGGCTATGGGCTATATAAAATCACGCTACGACCAACAGGAGCAAAGATATAGTGGTAAATGTGTAAAAAATATGTATCAAAGAATAATAACTCTTTTAATGATCTAAAAAACAGTCCGGGACAGTATATGTCTATCTTTTAAGATTAACTCGCAAAAACCGTTTTTATGGTACCTAATTTGGTCGAAATAATTTGTTTAAGTTGTATCAACATAATAATATCAATCTTTATTCAAATAAACAAATAAATATGTTGTTGGTTAAGAGTACTTCATTGTGAATAAAAAAAACATAGGTTTTATCCTGAAAATTCTACGGGAACACGACCATTCCGAAAACCACGCAAGAACGGGAACTATGTGGGAAGAACCAAAAATCTGCCGGAAGTCACTATTCCACGCGGACGAAGTCGCGGCAAAAGCTAGTGTTAGAATAAACTCGTCGCGATTGGCAGTCCGGATAATCGCGAATTCGGATAACCGAGGTCCGGATAATCGGGGTCCTACTGTATTAAGAAGTTTAACATTCATAACCAAAAACTAAACTAAATATTCATAAAACTACTTAAAGAAAATTATAAAAAGTTTTTATAGCTATTGTATGTTTTTTCTATCTAAGACAAAATTCGACATTACTAATATCTTTTCTATTTTTGACTACGCTCATCTTTTACTCTCATATATCACTTTTAAACGCACCCGGACATGCCTTATCTTTATTGACTATGTACTTACCTATTATTTTAATTAATAAACTCATCTGAAGCACAAACACTTTACTCGTAAAAGTAATATTTATATATCATTCATTACAAAAAGTTCAACCAAAACTGAACATATCAAATGCACTAGCTTCGCGATTCGCGGGCTTTTTGTGTCATCGGAGCAATATCTTCCTCACAACCTTTCTCGCGCCAAATTGACGCGCTACTAAATAGACCGACATAAATTCATTCAACTTCAGCCTATCGTTATCCTTTTCTAACACATGCTTGATGCTATCGTTACATCTCTCTCTAACGCTTCCGCTTGATGAACCCTATTGAGCTCGTTAGTCATTAATTAATTCTGCATAAGAAAATTACTTTTAATTTAAAAACACAGATGTGTTGTGTTAAAAAATATATCAAATATTAAATTTTAAAGTCATGTGTGGTCTTGAGATGACATTTGAGTAAGCTTTTGGAATAATTATTATTAATGAAAGATGGAAATAGGAATTTATTTTATATAAATTGCTATTTTGACTGCGGACTTATGATTTTTGAAGACGGAATTCCAGGGGTATGACGATGCTATAACTTTTTTAAATTATTTTCCTTACAGAGCAACGTAGAAACATGATTAAGAAATTAGATTTATCGTCTCACATTTAACTTCCAAATACTTTTCGATCCATTATCGACGAAGTGTTGCCAAAGTGTAGTATTTTATACTGAATCCCCTATCAATTATATAGCATTGAATCCCGGCTCCAGTGAGATGCGATACGAACTTTTCCAGCGTAAAGTGAAATTTATAGTTTACGAAGTTATTTCCTTCGGACGGCAAACGACCGTTCTCGCAACTTTTAAATACACGAAATAACAACACATACGTTACTTTAAAAGACATTATTGTTAGTTCTGTACGTATCTGAAACAAATGTGTTCGTTTCATTTTACAATGGAAAAAAACAAGACATCAGGATACATACTTAACATCTTCTACATATTCTAGAAAAAGTTTCCATTTTAAAAGTTTATTAATTATCTATTTTATTACTCCTATTTTTAAGTATAATGTAACATTAAGGTTTTTAAATTAATTATTTTAATTAGTCTTAGTGCATATGCACCATAATATATTTAATCTCAATTAATATAAATTAACATTTTACTTAATTTAACAGAATTTATTTCAGCATAACATTCCAAACTGAGTCCAAATCGAGTAAAAAAAGTACTCTTCTTATATGACAAGTGACTATTTGACGTTTTTTTTATAGATTAAAAAATAATAAGTCAAAAGTCAAATCCTTGTTAACGAAGGCCGGCTACCTGGATGTCAAGTAGTTAAAAGCGTTCCTAGTAAAGCACTTCAACAATTCTACTCAAGTGTCTTTGTAAATGTAACTTAATAATTTGCCCTGCATACAGATACATTATACGTTACAATTATCATGTGATAACCCTATGACTTTTAATGTATATAAATAAAAAGACATAAAAATATTGCAATAACGGAATAAATTCAAAACGAATTATAAATATGAATATCGATTCGATTAATTTAATCGATACATCGGAAAGCTATACAAAATATTATGAAATATATGTTACAAATTTATTGTTAGCCTAAAAATAAGATATTAGGTTAGTAAAATATCTCGTATCGTTTTCAGTTAAGCGAATGCAAAAATATACAGCAAATAACATGAGACAGTGACGGATGAGAGCCGCCTGAAATGAAACTAAGGCTTCGCTACATTTCCTTTATCGCTATTTAATTATGACCAACTCGTTCATACTATATATATTGCCAAGCGATTATAACTCTTATTATATCTATATCGTGGCTATATAGATTATATACGTAGAACTGTTTAGATATTTTTACAACACGATTATTTTCGATATTTTCAATGAATGAAAAAAGTTTTATTATTATTAAGAAAACGGAATGGGAACGTATGAAACGACGTGAAAAAACAACAAATGTTGTTGATGAAAGAGAAAAGTATTTCCAATCGTTGATAGAAAAGTCACAGGAGATGATAAAAACTTGGCATGATTCTGTGCAGGTTTGCATTATTATTAAAATTATTTCTTATTATCGTTTATTATATTTTTATTTAAATTCTATTTTATGTTAGGGTCACATTAACAAAGTTGAGAAGCAGAAGAAACTCAAACTCGCCAAAGACTTAAAAATGATACGAGACTTCAAAGCTAAAAAGAAAGTTAAAAATAACGATGAAGTTATTAAAGAGGCAAAGGAATTAATATTTCAGGACAGTTGCTACGGACGACAGTTGATGAGGTATTTTGCATAAATCTTATACTACTATACAGTCTTTATATTTCTTGAAAAGAAAGATATAAGTTTTGTGTTTGTTTTTTATTACTTTTTTTTAAATAAGATGGTATTAGCAGATAAGTAACTAAAAGCGAGTCCAATGTGTCTGTTTTTTGGGTTTAAATTTTAGTGCACTCCTTGAATCAAAAGTGTTGGAAGAAAGAGAAGCTCAGATAAAATTCCAAAGAGAAATAAGGAAGTCTGAAATTGAGAAAGAATCAACGCTAAACACAACTTCTTTGATCTTTCTGAACGAAACTGAGCTAGACGAAAAACAAAGAAAACTTAATAAAAAGCGAAAGGAAAAAGAGATAGCAGATATAAACAAGGAAATGTAAGGATTAATTTAGATTCTTAATTTAAATTTTAGCTTTACTTTGATTGACAAAATAATCTTATAGATTTGAATGGAAACAATCCTGCGAAAGAGAGAAAAGGAATGAGGAAAGGCGGCAAAAAATAAATGAAGAGCAAATTAAACAAATTATAGAAAATGAGACGAAGTTGCAGGTACCAACTATAATCGTTCTGAATTTTTTTGTTCTTCTTTCCATTTATGATGATGATTATTACTATTATTATTTGTATATTTTGGTAATAAAGTATCTAAAGACATAGTCTTTGATCTTTTTGAAATATTTTGAACTTACTCACACACAGACTTCTTAATCAATGTTCTCTAGTTACTGAAAATCGTACATATTGACCGTCGCCTGGTAAATTAACGTAACAGCATAAATTAAACGCTAAAGTCACTTCAGCTCATAACTTACGTTAATAGACAGAAATATTACAACGCGAGAAGGATGAAATTAAAGAATACGAGCAACAAACAAATGAACTTAAGAAAAATCGAGCAAACATTGACCAACAAGACGAACGTTTGAGAGAAGTGTGGAGGAAATATCAGGACAGAATAAGATGCAAAGAAAAAGCTGTCTTCGACAAGGTTTACTTATATATGGTGGTGACATAACGTATTTTTGTGTTTTAATTATACACTATTTTTATATTTCCTTAACAAATGATAATTTAAAATATTTTAAAAGGCGTTAACTGATGATAAATATGAATATATGTTTGTACATAATTTAGATTCACAGGGACTCAAGCCTTAAATCGCAAATGGCGAGTACGTACAAAATATTTGAAAAGTTAAATTCGGAGAAAGACAAGAAATATAATGATTTTATTGAAGCTGGTGTTGCGAAAGAATTGAAGAGGTATTTCCAAAATTTACAATTAATACAATATTAATTAATTACTTATAAATAAAATAACAACTTTTAGATTGAATGAACACGATCAAAAGGAAATCGATAATAAAGCAAACATACACAAAAAACGTAAAGCCTTGGACGAAGAAAATAAAATTTTGCACGAATTTAAAAAGCAAATTGATTATATTAATGAGATTAATTATAGCAGAGGGACTCGTGGCAATCAACAATTTCCTATAATCAGGGAAAAACCGAAGTTAAAAATAGGTATCCAATTTATAATTGTTACTCAACGAAAATTTCATATTGATTATTACTTATCACAAGTATGCATCGTCACACTACATACGAAACGACTGCAGTTACCCATTTAAAAATGCGTTAATACCGTTACATCCGAAGATTTTTTTAATATGGCAACACATGGAGTCATATTACAACATCTATATGAATTTTTGCCAGTATTATTACTTTTGAAACTTACGTGCTAGGTACCATAAGGAAGAATGTTGTTGTAATAAAAAGGGCTTACTAATATTCTCTTGAATTGTCTCAATCTATTGCCAACTGACATAATATAAAATCGTATTCAAAATAAAAATATTTTATATAAATTTTGTATTAAAAGTACATTGAAACCACAAGTTATTATTACTAGACTATTTTATCTAGCAGGAAGAACTGCACATCCAACTTTCTTGGTAACTAACAAACAAAGAGAAAATCAAAGGAAAATTGGAAATGATAAGTCTTGGAGCGGCTTGGAGACTACTCATAAACAATTTGCGGAACACGCGACCGACGTCCTACAAGAATGCCGCTACAAACACATGGCCTTAAAAATCATTAATGTATGTATTTCGTTAATTAATTCATTTATTTTATTAATATTAAATGTTCATATTTCTTACAGGACTACCGAAAAAACAATTGTCTGGATGAAAAATATCCACTAACATTGGAATAATTTATAACAACATTAATTGGGTTTCTATAAATAAAAGAGCATTATCAACCATTATACTACATTTTATTTTATACTAAACACTTATTTACAAAACCATTCCTTAAACTTCCTTTCATTTAATACAAAACGGCGTTTCCCTGTTCTACTGATTAACATGTGAAGTATTTATTGAAAGAATCGAAACACTGTTCTACTTACACATAAAATAGAAAATAAATTATTTTACAATATGATTTCACGATACACTTGAAAACTACTTGGAATAATAGCAAGATTTTATCTTACATAATACGATCTAAAAATGATTCAGCCGTAAAAAGTTTTTATAGGCTGAATAGATACATCAAAAGCTCAATAGTGGTGCAACTTTAGAATATATTTAAAAAAAATGGTTAAATATTTTTTCTATGTTTTTTGTCGTATAGGAAGTATGGTTCTAGTATGGTGATTGTTTTTGTTTGATGACGGCCTGAACGCACTTCGCCATAGTAGGAGACGCGCGGCTGATTGAATCAGTCATGAAGAAATCTTCTAACTGTTTCAGTTGCACGTCCAAAGTACCGGAAACCGGCTTCTGAAGGCTCTGTAAGATTATATTCATTGTAGTTAATTCATCTCTATACATTACTAATTCATATTCGATAATCGAGTTCAAGATGATTTATTACATAAAGTAATCTAATATAGATCAATAATAAACTTAATATAGAAGTAAAAATGTCTATGTCTCAAAAAAAGAAGTTTTTCTTTTATTGTATAAACGTAGAAATATACAAAATATAAACATTTCATATTGTTATAAAAAAAGATTCATTGATATAAGTTACATCTCTTATATAAATGTTAATAACGTAAATGTCAAATTTGCAAGGATATATGTAAGTATGTTGTTCTTTCACGTAAAATATACTTAGTGTTTCGATAAAACTTTCTAATAATTAAGTAAAATGATAGAACAACCTATATATTATTATTGAATAAAATTTCATGTCATATATTTTGAACGCGAACACACTACCTATAACAGTTGTATTTCTTAAGAAGTTACATACACGGACGATAGATGGCGCTGACATTATATTTAACAAATTACATTCTCTGAATACAATACCGAAGACATTCGTGGACCAATAACTGTATGTGTGACAAAGATAACTTAATATGCGTTTATTTACCTGTGCGAGCGCCCTGGCCTGTGCGAAGTAGTTATTATTCTGCACGTCTCCATACGATACCATTGACGGGCAAACTTCGGCGAGGCGGGCGCGGACTTCCTCTAAGTTATCGTAAGGCAAACGAGCTCCTACTACCTCCGATAGGGCGCTGAATGACAAACATATGGTAAGGAAACTCACGAGCGAAGGTAGATATTATAGAATGGTATAAAATATAGAGTATAAAAAGAATGAGATCTTAGATTGTCGCGAATTTTATTTATTTAAACTTTATATGATTTCTATGAATTTATATGATTTGTATAGTGAAAAGGTCGTTCGACCTTGTTTTGTTTCTTTTATATATTTAAATGAAACTAACATTTTGCGGATTTATACTACGCGATTTTATTTTTGTAAAAAAACTAAATACTCCCGATATTTCGGCTACTTTTTAGCAACCGTGATCACGGGCAGGCGAGATGTTATTCAGATCTAGTTTTTCTGAAAATATTAGTTTCATTTAAATATATATAAGAAACAAAACATGCTCGAACGACCTTTTCACTATGTAAATCATCTACATATGTCATAGTGCAATAGTTTAAATAACATAATTGTGACACGTGTCCGAACAAAAGATATCATTGTTATATACAATAGTATGTATACCGAATGATCTTCCAATCCTCTCGAGCCTTCCCCGGCGGTGTGACGGCCGGCAGTGTCTGCTGCGCTCGTCCCTCGGCGTTCACGTACGTTCCATTCTTTTCGGTGTAAGCGGCGCCCGCCAACACTATGTCAGCGATTGAAGCCCCGGCGTCGCCGTGATGACCTGTATATAATAATAATAATCTGTTATAGGAAATAATATTATTCACAATAATTATTTAAGCTGAATTCTTAATAAATTTATATATAGATAGTTAACATAAATAGGTTTTTACACACTATTATTTCTGAACGTACAACGATAACATTTATATGGCATAGCTGTTGTAGTTAAACAGCTAGAAACATTTAAACATTACAGGAAATATCATGTATTTATTTATTTGGTTCACCAACAACGTGTACACTAAATAAATAAAATTTTCAATGAATAAATCTTAAAACTAAGTGTCACAATTATTTACAGGAGAACACATCATGCACGAATTATTTAGCGGAACAACATTTTATTATTTATGATATACATATAAACATATGTATGATATACCTTGATAGATAACAACACAATCCTTAGGTAGATTCTCCCGTGTGATGACGCCCGCGTCCGCTCCCAACATGAACACTACCTTAGGGCCCTTCTGTAACATCTCACCTACACCTGGCTTATAGCCCAGGTCCATAGCAGCGACCTGCGACGCTGTACGCTGAAGTACATTTAACACCTGCAAGTAATATTACAGGAGAACATTAGAAAACTCACTTTACAGGTTACAATATGCTAAAATGTTGTAAATACATGGTGTTCACAAATTATATTTAGAAAGAGAAAAATTGAAATACATTTTAAACATAAGAGCAGAGAAAATTAAGAATACAATCAATTTGAAATAATAATAAAATAATATATTGATAAGTTAAGGTAAAGAAATATTTAAAATTTAGAATAAAATCAGACATCACACAGACCAAGCCATATAGGATTGATGGCAGATAACAAATTAAATATATTTACAGATAAAAAAGTAATTATATAAACATTTCTATATAAGTTATTGAGACTGACCTTCCATTCTTTATTCTCAAGCTTATCTTGTAGACTAAGAGCCAGTTCTTGAGTGTATGCCAATAGGGCCGGACCTTCAGAGGTCTTTAGTTGATCAGCTCCTAGTATCACGACTGGACGCTTGGAATTCTCTAGCCTCTTAAGGACCTCATGAGATGAAGTACCCGTTGCCAGATCCTTCACTATAGATGCTGAATCTCCAACATGCTAATATCATATATAAAAGTTAGTTGGAGTACAAAATATATAAGTAGTAATAATATATCAGACTAGCTTCCGCCCACAGCTTCGCCCGCGTGTTTTTCGGTTATATCGTGTTTCCATGAGAACCTTTCAAAAGTCTGGGATAAAAACTATCCTATGTTCGTTCTCAAGGTCAACTCTATCTCGGTACCAAATTTCATTAAAATCAGTTCAGTGGTTTTGAAAGCGTAACAGACAGACAGAAAGACAGAGTTGCTTTCGCATTTTTAATATTAGGAGGAATTATCCTACTAGTTCGGTAACTTTATTAAGTATAATATATATTTGGATGTATAGCTTACAGTATATTCATATGTTAGATCGACTTTGGGTCCGATGAGAGCTACATCCGTCTCCTTGTGGATGAATGCCTTGCGGATGCGAGCATTTAATAGGGGAGCCTCGAAACGTACGTTCGTACCGATCAGAAGGACAAAGTCCGCATCTTCAACATCTGACAATGACAACAAATATAAATATAGAAAATTTATTCCGTGGAATTTACATGCAAGTGAACTAAGTGGTGTATGGCACTAAAGTTTCTTTTTGCAACAAATTGACTCAAACTAAAGTTTGTTTGATTGTATTTTGTTTGACAAACAAAAGTAAGACAAGACAAGTGAGTTTTCATGCAAACTCGTCAACTCACTCGCAATCTTAGTGTTGAGGAGGTAACTCGAACGTAGATCAGTTCCAGCGCCATCTAGCGGGAAGTAGTGTTCCGTGCATACAGCTTCAGAGCCCAGTCGGTTGGCGAGGTCTTTCAGAGCTACCAAAGACTCTGCATCCGCTAAATCTCCACCCACCACTAATAACTGTAAATATATTATCGTATGAATAAGATATAATTACTTTCTTATAATATAGGATTTCAATATTTTTGGACCAACGTTAGGTTCGATATCGATACCTCCTAAGTATAATGAGTCAACTGACATTATTGTAATTTTACAGGAGAGTGATTTGAAGGCAAATAGTTTATATTTTAATGAAATCAAATTAATTCGAAATAAAGTAAATGTTTTTTTAATAAAAATTGTAAGCACTTCCTTTGACATATAATGATTTTGCTGATTTTTGTTTTTAAATTACATTTTATGTAGATGACTGGGTATACGCCGACGGGGCTCAATAGTGAAATGGTTCAACTACCAGTTATATTCATATACGTTGTCCACCAAAATCCATCGTTTACACCTAAACCACATGAAATATGGTGGTCATTTTATGAATATATTTTTACTTTTATTCATTTTCGGGGTTTTCTGTCTCAATAATAAAATGTTGAAATCATATCACTTGACTCATTATACGAGGAAAGTACTAGCAATGTTAGCATTTAAAACCTCGACGTATACTGGACCAATGTAATTTACGTGAGGTTTTTTATTAATATTTTTTTAAATATTTTACGATATGTGAGATTAATAAAAGCTAGGAACAAGTACAAGAATTATAAACCCAAAAAAAACTCATTTTAAAGAATCATAATTTACTTTTCACCATAATTAAGTAGGAATATCTTTTTAAAATAATTGTTTTATAAAAAGCTAAACGTAAACTAATCACTATTAAAAATATGAATGCTCCATCATTAAAGTTCCATAAAAAACAACAAACAATTATCAATCAAAATAAAAACTAAAACAGCTTCTCCTTTAGTAGGTCAATAAAAATAATCAGAACTAAAAATGGTAACTTACGTTAGTAGTAGTAGATTATAGGAACTAATAACGTAACAGTCTAGGTATTTCTAATGCTCAAAAATTAGTGAGAAGGTTTAACAAATTAGAAATCAGTCAAAATCGCTATTGTTAGATCCATTAGAAAGCTAGAAGAAAAAACAAATAAACATTTAACATAATATCGATGTTCCATCATCAAAGTTTCATAGAAAAACAATGAACAATCAATAAAAAGAAATTAAAAAGGTACTTCTCTAGTGCGTCACCAAAAATAATAAGAACTAAAAATGGTAACTTACATTACACAATTTGTGCTTATTTTGGTCAATAAGAATGGGTCTCTGATAAGCTAAAGAAATATTGTTTACATCAATATTTAATTCTTTCGATTTCGTGTAGCTTTAGGTTTTTTACACAATCTATCCACTTGTAAGAATCATCTTGGTAACTCGTCTTATAAACCAGCCTAAATGGATATTCCGCTTTAACTTCTACTTCCGTTACCTTATTCCAAAGCATTTTGGGTCCATCGTTGGTAGTTGTCCAGTTGTTTATAAGTTTTAGCTGTGATTTAAAATCTTTAATTAAATCCAGCGACACTTTAGTAACTTTGTGTGGCTTTTCATCGGATTTAGCAAATCTAAAAGCAGTATACCATTGATCAGGCGTATAAAGCAACTTTTCTTTAATTTGTCTTTCAATTAAAGCGTGCATACCGTCGCCTTCATTTTGAGTGTGACCCACAACTAATATCTATAACAAACTTCAAACTAGCTAACATATACATTAAAAATACAATTCTGATTCTATTTTGGCCTCCACAGTTGTCTGACCAGAACCGGTAATCTTTGACACCATTATCCACCGTATCCTCTATAAACTTGAAAACACAGCTGGAAATTTCATTAGCGCCTCTCTTTGCTGTCTGTTGATGCCATGAAAAACAATAACCCTGACGAAATCCCAGATTGTATATTGTGAAATTATACAAAGACAGTTTCCGTTTATAATAAAAAGTGCTGTTTGACTCTATTTTGTTACTAATAGCACTCGACGCCCATGGTCGTATATTGAGGTGCGATGTAGTTGTATCAACGCGTCCTCCCTCACGCCCCGCGTACACTGGTACAATGTTAGTTAGATCAGTTTACAATGTATGATTTTTACTGATGTTGCAGTTGATTTAGTATACGTGAAATTATTTCGGTAATTATCGTTCTTTTTTTATTTTTTTTAACACAAACGTTAAGATCACGACTTATCACGTACGTTTATATAAAAATACCTAAATTTGTTAGTTGACTCAGTATACTTAGGAGGTATCGATATGATCGATTTATGTTATATTGCGACTAAGATATGTATCTAGGATTTATTACAACATAAATCACATTTAAAAAAAGAATGAAACAGTTTCATTATCTTATATATCTCCTATAACAATGAAGACACCAACAACACGGGAAAAATAAATTATCTTCTATATGAGTAAATATACAAATAAGTTAATGTCTTATATATTTATCAACTAGCGCCCCGCGGTGTTACCCGCGGATTTCCGGGATGTAAAGTAGCCTATGTGTTATTTCAGGACGTCAGCTTCCTGTATACAAAATTTTCTCAAAGTCGGTTCAGCCGTTTGAGCGAGAAGAAGTAACAAACATACACACACACTCACAAAATTTCGCAATTATAATATTAGTAGGATATATACCTTGTCGGGAGGGCAGTCTCTCAAAGCTGTAGCGGCTGCTACAATTGCCTCCTCCCATTCAACGGGTGTCAGGTTACCGCGACTGTCAGCTATCATAGGTGTCACAAGACGCTGGCGTTTCAAACCGTCACATGCGAACCGAGACTTATCTGACAACCATTCTTCGTTGATCTCCTGAAATTATGATAGTTTTTAATGAATAACGATGATTTAAATATAACCTTCCAACATATGGCCAATCAGTATTGATATAGCTGAAGCTTTGTATGTATTTAAGGTCTAGGCCTCTAGGATTTTAGAGAAAGTAACTACGTGATAGTAAATTAAAATTACTTCTACTAATAAGAATTCTCACTAATTAAAGGAAATGTGCCAGTATTAAGGTAGTTTTTAAGGTATATAAACTTGGCACACGATATTCTTCTGAGTGAACTATGTTCGTTTTTAACAATAGAATTAGTTCTATAAAATGGATAATAATTCAAACCTTTAACTTCAACTACAAATCCTGGCCTCTTTCATATATAACATTACCTATCTTATATAGCATAGAAACCAACTGAAAAGACTCGACACAGTTCATAAGATGAAGTCATACCTCATTAGTTCTTGGCAAAATACGAAGAACTTCATTTGTTCTCGTTGCAACAACGATATTGCTTCCCAAAGGATCCAATACATCGACGGAGTCAATCTGTAAAATATATGAAATATTTAGTTATAAGCTACTCTTCTTCTACCTGGCAATTTTCCCAGCTTTAGTCAGGGTCTGCCTTACATGTTGTGAATAGTATTGGCTAATTGTTTTTAAATGCCTGCCCGACATCAATCCTCTTTGGGAATGCATTAATCAATGACGTCTAAATACTCTTAGAAAGTGCATATGACTCGTAAAAACTACATTGGTACTTGCCAGGATCGAACCCGCGCCCACGTGCATGAGAGGCGGGCCATTTAACCACTAGACCACCACTGACAAGTAATGAGCTACTATATAGATAAATAAACAAATTTAATAGTCTTTACACCTTTAAATAAAGTTAAACTTTAACTTACCCTTCTAGTTTCCCAAGGACGTGCCGCAAAGCTATATGGCTTGGATGTTAGGGCTCCAACTGGACACAGATCAATGATGTTCCCAGACAATTCTGAGAGGAACATTTTCTCAACATATGTACCGACCTGTAAAGTTACATAACATTATTGCATTATATTTATTTAATAACTAATAAATCCTATTGCGATCAGCGGAAAATAATCATAGACTTAAATAATATATGACGTAATAATACATAATAATAAATAATAGAACCATAAAAATGAACGATGGACCATGAAACAAATAAATTGCTTATTATTATTATAAAAAAACATATGTACATATGTATATATTTTGTGTTGTACTTGCTATAAAATTTGCAAAATGTCTTAATTGCAATATAGAATAAAATTTTCCGAAATTAAAATAAAGCTAGTTTCACATGACACAGGAATATACCGGTAAGAAAGATACAATGAGGTGAAAAAGCTGAATTATCAGAAAAAACTCCAACAAGAAGTTTTAAATTTTATGCCCCAAAATATCGTCGCCAATTATGCACATAGCCAAATATGTTTAACTAGCATTGGATAATTTCAAATATCTGCATTCGAAGCAGATGGCCAGAGAAAGGTTTAAACTTGATAATTTTCCAAATGAATGCCTTTTTAGGTAATTTTTTCATGGCAAGTATTTATTATTTTGCTTCTAATGCAGATACTAGATATTATCCAATAATAGTTACACTTATTAACACTATCATCATCATATAGAATTGTGTTGTTTAGAAAATTACTTATGTAAAAGCAATCAAAGAGTTGAATTGACTGAATAACACTATCACATTCCACAGCATTGCCATTTATATGTGCCATTATATTAATACTTTGGTACTTAATTAAAAATTTAATAAAAAAATTAAATAAAATAAATATTGCAACACAATTAAAAAACTATATGTGGCGGATATGATATCATTTTCAATAAAAAGCAACTGAATGTAAGGCTAATGACGTTTAACTGAAAAAAAATTACTGAAGTAGTTCCAGTATAAATGCATTTAATTTATAACGACATAATAATATTTTGCCTCCAAATTATAAAGTAATATTTTGGGCGCGATGGCGAAAAATGATGAGTGACTTTTTACGATGCGCGCACACCGACAGCGACATCATGAAGTTAGTTCTATGTTAATTGATAACTATGTTCAATTTTAATACAGTAGCAACTCGATGGCGTACGTCAAATGACAATTACCAAATATTCTAAACCAAATTATACTTATTATTTTATTTCATGATTAAAATCTACAGTTTTTAGTACATACATGTGTATGTATGTATATGTAATCTAAGAAAATGAATTCTTTAATTATTTGTTAATAAACATTGATTTTCTTTGATATGTATCTGTTACTTTTTTAAATAAACTAAATATTACATATGCACAAAACTGGCTTTTCTTCATACATTTGATTTTCTGAATTTTCAATTATCTGAATGTCTATCGACAACAATTAGTCCGGTTAATCTAGTTTCTACTGTATTTTATATTTAGAACATGTGTATTGTAACAGTACAATTAAACAGTGTGAACAAATAAATATTATTTTGGTGTTTTTATTTTTATATTGTAAAAACCTACCTGCATATCAGTTCCTCTACCAGTTGTTCCAAAGTCATCAACACCAGCTACTTCCGAAGCAAATCTGATACACCTAGTGCAGTGTATACATCTAGTCATGATCGTTTTTATCAATGGACCAACATCCTTGTCTTCAACGGCCCTGGTAAAGTAATTTTTATTTCAACTGTATCGGTGACTCTAAATTTTAAATTATAAAAGATTTATTATGCCTGCATTGATAACAACAAGAAAAATGTCCAGATATAATTATCATATTTATATTGTTTTAAATTTAATGAAATCATTTTTTTTTATTTTTATCAATCAATAAATGTATTGTTAATTACCAAGGTAAAATATGTATTTATAAAACCTTACCTTTTTCCTGAGAAATGTATATCAGTAAATCTGCTTTTATCTGATCCAAATGCCATGGACTGATCCTGCAAGTCACATTCACCTCCCTGGTCACATATTGGACAATCCAATGGATGATTTACGAGTAGGAATTCCATTACACCCTCCCTAGCCTTCCTTGTCAAGTCCGAGTTGGTTTTAACTCTCATACCTTTCATGACTGGCATAGCACATGCAGCAACCGGTTTTGGGGACTTTTCTACTTCAACCAGACACATCCTGCAGTTTCCGGCAACTGCGAGTCTTTCATGGTAACAGAATCGAGGAATTTCAACACCAATTTCTGCTGCTGCCTAGGAGTATACAAGTACAAAATGTTTTCAAACATGAAGTATGTTTTCTAAATAAATAGGTTTTATTTGATAATGAAGGACAAATATTGTATGTAATATGTAGATTGAGCAAAACATGGATGACAGACCTGCAAAACAGTTGTTCCTGGTGGTACATACACTGGCTTGTCATCTATGAACACTTCAACTTTATCGGCTTGTGCGGCAAATTTACGGGCAGCCAAGGGCGCTACTCGGCTGGGAGATAGCGCAAGCGCCCGAGTCAGCGGCTGGCGCAGCATTTTCTGCAGTCAACAGAAAATGTTTTATAATGACGTTCTATTAACTTATTTCCTTTTTTTCGCAAAATCACACTAGGCATAACATGTTATTTAATATTTCTGCGAATATTTTGGTAGAAATACACAACAGAATTTGAAAAACTAATAAAATTTTGCTTGTTATTGTTACATAAGTAGTGTCGTCTAACCTAATTATATTTCCAAAATATAGGATAATATAAAGAATACAGGAAATAAATAACGTTAGAAATTAAGAACTGACAGACTTATGCAAAGACAAACATTAATTTTAAACCTACACTTTATTATATCTCGTCCAAAGAAATTGTGTGACAAAAATTTTGACAGTATCGACCGACGACTGTCAAACAAGATCGTTGTTGACGTTGGACGTCGTTACAACAAAGCATTCTAAATAAGATTATTTTTTTACCTTTCATATTTTTTTACTATTAATAGTAATGAAATGACTATAAATATTAGACACCATACTTTTCAACCATGTTTCAGATATCAAATATAATGAACACATGAAAAACTAACAAGTTTTTTTATTAGAATAAGATAAGGATGAAAAAATAAAATAGAGTAATAATATTATCGATAATATTTTTTAAATGATCAAATATTTTGAAAATATTTAACTTTCTTTATGAATGATAAATGTGTTTTCTTTAGTTCATATTATTTCCTTAAAAAAATTAATTGTCTTTGGTTTAATAAATTCTATGATCGGATCTGTCTCTTTCACTTACTCCGATCTTGCTGAGTGGTGTGGTACTTGTACAAAAAGTGAATTTTTACAAAAATGGCAATCGGAGACGTTAAATCTGCACAAGGTCTCAATGAATTGAACCAATATTTGGCAGAAAGGAGCTACATATCTGGGTAATAATTACGATAGTGCTCTTAATACTTGTTAATAAAGCCCACGTCAACGAATGTTAACCTCTATTTTTAGGATACTTAAATATTTAAAAGCTCTCCTAACATATGGAATAAATTATTCATGTAGGTAAGTCATAAATAATGTTGTTTATTTCTACTTGTATAGATATGTGCCCTCTCAAGCCGATGTTCAAGTTTTCGAGGAAGTAGGCAAGGCGCCGGCCGCTAGCCTGCCCCACGCCCTCCGTTGGTACAACCACATCGCCTCATATTCTTCAGCAGAGCGTAAGGCCTGGGCTGATGGAGTGAGCCCTCTCAGCGCCGGTGCTAAGCCCACAGCACCCGCAGCCGCCAAGAAAGATGATGATGACGATGACATCGATCTCTTCGGCTCCGGTGATGAAGAAGAGGTCCGTAATTTAATTATTCCGTGTAAATTGACTTGTTTATATGAAACCACAAATTATTTTACTCAAAAAATGACGTTTTCAGGACGCAGAGGCAGCAAGAGTTCGTGAGGAACGTCTGAAGGCGTATGCTGACAAAAAATCAAAGAAACCCACCCTTATTGCTAAGTCATCTATAATCCTTGATGTCAAACCATGGGATGATGAAACTGACATGGCTGAAATGGAAAAACAAGTCAGAACCATTGAAATGGATGGTCTCTTATGGGGAGCCTCCAAACTGGTACCAGTTGGCTACGGTATCAATAAACTACAAATCATGTGCGTCATTGAAGATGACAAGGTTTCTGTTGACCTTCTAACAGAGAAAATCCAAGAATTTGAAGATTTCGTCCAGTCTGTAGACATTGCTGCCTTCAATAAAATCTAAGTTATGCCATCATAATTTATAAATTTTTTGCAATAAAATCAATTTTATTTCATATATATTTTTTTATTTTATGGAAAAAGTTTACAAGATTCACCTTAATCTTAGTACAATTACACTAAATATCCCTTGAACACTTTTTGGTAAACAGTGTACTTATAGAATGTCCATAAAATAGTATGCTGACTTTATTTACAGAGAATTATATAAAAAAAATATCAATTACATTTACATTATGCTCATTTTGATTAGACCGAATTCAGAGAAATTAATATCACAAACTATTAAAAAATATTTCGTTCACTTCAGCTAAATCTATAGAAAAATTTTAAGACCTTTATTGCATGACTAGTTCATATATCGGTAGAGTTATTATTACTCATTCAACTTTAATATTTTTAGGTGCAGTAGATGCAGTCTCTCCTACATTGGCTTGCAAGAACATATTGGGGATGTCGTTGCCAAAATAGATTTTATTATTTAATGCGAGCGCTTCATATTTCTTAAGTTCTAAGTATTCCTTCGTCAACAACAGTTTATTGGCTTCTGCCTGTTTTTTCAGATGGTAATATTCTGCTTCTGCCTTTGTTTGTTGTTTGGCTCTATGAATGCTGTCTTCGATAAGCTCAATCTTCTGTAATGATTCTTTCTCCATAATTTTCTGTTCGTACTGTATTTTCGCAACATGAGCCTCTTTTTCAGCTTCAATAACGGCTTTCCGACGTGCTGTCTCTGCTTCCTTTTCTACAACCTATAAATTATATCATTTGGTTATTTGATTATATTATTAATTAAGATTTAATGTTAAATAATCTTTTGTTAGGACTGTCATAATCAATTTGATAAGAATTTATTTCTATAGAGTATAGAGCAACACTTGATGTGGAACTTGGAAGCCTCATATAAAAGAAAATGTTAGATTTTTCTATGACATCATTATAAATACAATATTCATCCTTTCAACCAGTTTATACAGAATTTAACACCCTTACAAATACCTTTTGATGCTGTTCCGCTATCAGATACTTTGACTTTTCAGCCTCCATAAGTTCATAGTTTTTTCTTATAGCTTCTGGTATTTTAGGTTTTGTAACCCTTACACCTTTGACATGAAGTCCTGGAGCCAATTCATTTAAATCATTTTGCAGGGCCTGAAAAGATACAATTTATATTAGATATCTATAATTATAATAATATTTTTTATATATAATAATGATATTTTCAGTTACATTTCTCATTTTTATGAATAATATTAAACTAGCTAGTTATTTCCATGGATTTTTTCTTTCACTGCTTACATTTATCTGATTTCCTAGTTAAGTAATACATTAACTACTCACTGTACTGAGATTTTCATCAATCTGGTCAAAGAGAGCTATATACACTTCATGCAGTGTGTGCGCACTACAAAACTGATTCAATTCATGATGCACTTTGTTGAATATGAGTGTTTTATCATAATCAGCTGTGAAGTTTCTCACTACATCAAATACTGAAAAAAAAAAATATTTACTGACACAATGTTCAAAATTATTTTTTTATTCTTTGTCCATTTTTTTTTACTTTCTAACATTATAGTTATTTTCCAGCCAATAAAAATATGTAATAGCACTTATTGCTAATTATACAGGGTGACTGGTGAATTACTATCAATATTTAAGGAGAATACTCGGTACATGATTCTCATTCGAATTATGTAAAAAAAATACATACTTAATTTTTGACCAAATTCCCGTATAAATAAATAAAGTGTGGACTCGTTCCAAGTGTGGACGCGCGAGTGTGTGTGTGTGTATACCTAATCTGTAGGGTGTTCACACGATGCGTAATTAATTACATAACTTTTGGTTAACTTTACTTAGAAGTTTATTAATATTTATGTTATATTAATTTTTATTTTGTCATATATGATAGTCAAATATCACGTCCTCAAATATCGATAGTAATTCACCAGTCACCCTGTATATTCTTTCATTTAATTGTTCTACTTCATTAATTACCAACCACTATTTGAGTCCAGTTTGTTTACAACTTCAATTCTCTCGAAATATATCATAACTCCACCACTTGTACCACATGGAACGTTTTTAACTTCGTCTGTTTGCAAAGTAGTCTGAAATATTATACATTATGGCATTATATTCATTACTTAGGAATACTATTTATGGTAATACTAATAGGAAGAAATTGTAAGTACCTGAATAGGTTTAAATGTTGTTAAAAGAGGAATCATCATATGAAAGCCTGGCTGGCTTGTGACTGGTAATAAAGCACCACCCTGTATAACAGAATTATATAAATTAGACTTAGTTATTTATTATAAATTATGTTATTTAAGACTAAGTATACTTGCGACTTACTCGATAATAAACCCCAACATGGCCCTCCTCAACTTTATGTAAAGAGAAATGAACTGAAATACCTACAGCCAAGATCACTATGGCCAACATCGACGTTTGATCAGCCATCGCCAAATATTATTTTATTTTAAATTAATAAAATTAAGCCAGTAATTATAAATCTTTCAGACCACTTATTTTTTATTAACTAAATAGCATACACAAACAGTATGTTGCTTAATGAAGAGTTGCGGTTTTAATTACAGGAAGTATTTTAGATTCATCTTATATGAAGATTCGCAATAAAAATCTAACTTATTATGAGTAATTAATTCAAAAACAAAGCTTATTATTAGAATTGGGAAACAATATACTTCAGTTCTCTCTTTACAGACTTTGACGTTTGTAAAATATATCTGTCAATGTCGGAATGTATCATTTGAAACCATAGATAATATGAATTTTCACTTGTTTGAAACTCTACAGCATCGAGTATTAACATCAGAAAAATTATATAAGGAAAAGTATAAATTTTAAATATTAAATAATTTTACTATATAAAATAAAAAGATAAAGCAATTATTAAATTTGAACCGTGAATAATTTAATTTATCTTAGGTTCCTAGGTTCTCAGGTTTTAAAAAGGTTCTAAATGCTTCAATTCATTAATCACATTCCATCAATTAAAATAATAATAAAAGTTTTAGAAACTATTAATTTAAATGGATTCCATACAGAAACGGCCTTAACCAATAAAGAATTAGCAGGAATGTGGAAAAATTCAGGAAGAAGATATAAAAGTATAAAATATATGTCCAAAAGCTATTTTATGGTCAACCAGCACCAAGTCAACAAATGTAGACTTACACCAAAGTCATTATATACTCTAATTTCTAGAAATTGCGTCTAGTGATGTTTATGACTGTCCTTGCTAGACAGCATCTTCAAGTCTCAAGAAACATGTAGGTATTAGGACAAACTAATACGTTTTTGATAGAGATTAAATTCTTTGTTCAAAATTAAATTCAATAACAACTTTACTTTTTGAACGTATAAGATGTCTTCCGTTGGGATTATCCTACACAATATGATACCAAATTCAAATTTTTTGTTGTTTTTACTTCTAAGAAATTATTAATTTAATTAATGGTACCAAAGTTTTTTTTCTATAATTTATAAAAGCATTTTTAATTACGGCACACCAATGGGTGGAAATAAATGGTTGAAAAAGTTTAGTTATTAACGTATAATCCTTTAGACATTAGTAACAGCCATAAATATGTATGTGGTATAGTAACAAATATTTTTAATCTACATCTAGGCACGTAGAATTTTCCGTTTCTTCTATGGTCATGGAATCCATACCAAAGGTCTTTCCCTGGGCATGTAAAGAATCTACTATCTTGGAAATTGTAACTTTTAAGGCCCTGTATTCTTCTAGCGCTTTAGCACAGAGTTCTCCTTCCGGGGAATTACCTGGTTCAATAACTAACATTTCCAACGCTCGTTTCAAATACTTTTCCGCCTTAAGTAACTCGTCCTGAAATACATTAATAGATATTGTATATCGCAATAATATGCACAGAGAAAAAATATTGAAAATAAATGTCAACTTTGTCGTACCACGTAGGCAGATCCCGACATTTCTCGACTATCAAATAACTTTTTGGCTAATTGCACTGTGGTTGCGTGCAATTCGTATAGAGTAATCGCTGGAAATTTCATATTTTAAATATTATCCATACAAATTACTATTACGATATATATTTTTAGACCAACATATAAAATGTACCAACTTACCTTTCGTCCTACATATTCCAGGGCTAACTATCTCTAGTATAGGCAATATCTCCTCACAGAGTGCTAGCTTCCTAACCATTAATTTCTTAGTAGGCCGAGGTTCTCTGTTGATTGTATCACGTAAGACTCCCGCAAGACGTTGCTTGGCGTCCAGTAATAAATAATGACTAGGTGCCAACACAAGAGACACATATTTAATATATTCCTCTAACTCTTTTTCATCTTTCTTATCTGAAAAATATACAGAATTATAAGGAGAAATATTAAAAAAATTATAATATAAAATAAAAAGTTCTGTGAGGTTTTATTATTTAGACGTACTTTAATTTAAACTACTCGAGTAGTACGTAATTTACTAAATATTTTCGAAACTGATCTCAACTTCATATTTAGACAATAGGAACGATATGTTTTGTGTACAAAACGCACTAGTTATTGAAGTCATGACAATTATATAAAACTTTGCAGAGGTGTAATCAAAGTTATGTTTCGTAATATATTCAAACTTATATAGTCATTATATACAGTCATTTAGATAAGATTTTTAATCCACTGCTCAGAAAACAAGTTCAATATTAATTAACCAACGGTCTTCAAGTTTGAACTTTTTTTTAAGATATTGAATTTCGTATTCATAAAATATAAATGTCTGGTAATAAATTATAGAAAAGCAACAATTTTGCACCAATGTACTTACCTAATTCAAACACCAAGTATTGTTTTACTTAATATATATAAAAACTGTTACTCACTTATGACTTCTAATTTGTCAGAACAACATTTAATCTTATGTTCAATATCCTTAGACTCAACTTCCTTTTTACAGTCGGAACAAATCCACATATCACCATTTTTTGTTATGTATCCCTTCTTACATCCGGGACAGATCGCAGAACTCATAAAAGTTCCCAGCTCTGTGTTGTCTGTACATCTGGTACAAGTGCATTTAAAGTATTTACCAACGATAAGATGTTGTTGTCTTGGTATTGTACCCTAAAAACAAAGATTTTGTTGTAGCTGGAACAGAACAAAGCAAGTTTATCTAATTTTTTCATAGTATTTAGTTCACTTACTTTTAACGGATCTGTATAATTATAATTTATCGATTCCCCCTTTTTTATGTCAACACTAGCATGGCACACTAGTACATTACTATCGTTTATGGACATGTGCGTGTTAGCAATACAATCGTGACTAAGTAAAGCAGCCTGTAAGTAAACTCCTCGCAAAATCTCAGCGCACCCTATGGCTGGTATCGGTGGACCGCGCACTTCGAAACTATTTACATCAATAGCTGCACAAATCTTCTGAACTAAATCCTGATTTTGTCCGTTTTCAAGGAGTCCCAACGATTGAATAAACTGATGTTATAAATAAATAAAAAAATAATATTAATATCATGTAGAATCCAAGTATAAATTTGAAGAAGAATTTCACTAATAATTATTAATTACACAAAGTGCAGTGGTAATTATTTCAGTAGTGGTCATTACCTTAACAGTATTATCATAGTATTGCCAGACGTTACTTTCTCTTCTCCTCTCTAAATGAGTTTCTAATTCCATAAACAATTTCCACTCCAGCAAATTAGTTTCTTTCTTCAACAAAGCCCGGAGGACTGATATCGAACCGACGTTCTGTACCATAGTCATAGGACTTATACCTTTCGTAAGTTTTAAATTTCGAAAAACATCACATTCTTGTCTGCCATGATACTCTAAAAAAAGAAAAATATGCATTTTTTTTTCTTATATATATTTTTCCAAAGTAATTTCTTGCAATTTTATATATTAAAGTATTTGGTTTTTAAATGACATACTTGCAAACTCATCCGGACATCCATCCCCAGGACAAAGCGGGGCGACAGCACAGTTCTTACATACAAGGAACTTGTTGATCAGCGGCAAGTAACAATTGAAGCAAACTAGAGACGTGTCACTACTAGGACCCAACACGAAAGGCTCATCAGAAAGTATCCTCTCACCTGCCTTTATATCTTTTGCGGCAACTAGATATCTAGAATTATTTAGAATCTATCCTTAGGAAGAATACTTAAAACAAAGCAGCTTTTATTTTCAATATTAATGATATTTAAATTTGTTTATCAATAATTCTATATTTACGACATTGTCTTTATAAACCAACCTGCCCAATTTCTCAGATTTTTCCACTTTATATTTTACACTCATTTTTAAAACAAATTTTGCTTTGAATACAGTGATTTAGTCGCTTTGTATTTAACACACGTGTGTCAAACTGAATTGTATTTATAGCACCTCGGGTGAGTCGAGCTATTTATACTAAACGTATTGTCGGCAATCGGAATATTGTTACACCGAATATGAAAGCTCTGTACGAGACAAAAAAATCTATAATTTGAAACAATTTCTAAAGTAACTTGTAAAGGTATTGTAAGTTGCTGAAAAGTAACCGAAACGCCATGAATATGTATTTTCTTATAACAATAAATACACGCAGTATAATCCGAGAATTATTGGTTTCAATTAAACATGTAAAAGATTTTCTTTAGACTTATGTCAAAAGTAAAATCTGGTTCCATGAAAACAACCAAATCAATAATCTGTTCTGTCGTGAAAATAAAAGAGGATATTTTATGTAAAAATTTTATTTAGCACAGTTTTATTTACATTGTTCTAATAAAAGGTATGCTTATATGACTAGTAAAATATTTAATGTACAACCATATATTTACATGCTTAAAACAACAAGATTGTTTTCAACTCATCATTTCCTAGCAAGGCTTATTTACATTACAACTATATAAATATAGGCAATTTAACAAACAAGTATTTTTTAATATCAGTGATTAAATCATGTCAACAGTCTTACACTACATACCGAAAAATGCGGTATACTTAGATTTAAAGACAGTCCAGCATATAAAATATATTTTAGGAATTGCACCTCAATATTGATATAAAGTTATATATTACTTTTTATTATCACTTTTGGAATACATATATTGCAGAATATATTATTTCAGTCATAGCAACATCATGCCGGGCCCTGAAACAAAATATACAGTATAATAAGTCAAAAGTAATAAATTACTCTCCTCTATCAATTCAATCTCACTTACTCTTATCTCACTCTCATACTACAATCTAACTCAAAAGCAATAAATTACTCTCCTCTTGGTATCAATGTAATCACACATCTTCTATCTCGCTCTCTCACAATACAATCTAACTCAAAAGCAATAAATTACTCTTCTCTTGGTATCAATGCAATCACACATCTTCTATCTCGCTCTCTCACACTAAATCTATTTATCTCCATCTCTCTCTCTCACATACTCCACTAGCCCCTACATATTCTATCTCACTCACTCACACTACAATCTATATATCTCCCTCCCCCTCACCTCGTCCAGCAGGGCGAGCGGCGCGCTCTGATGCGCAGCGCTGATGATGTCCTGCAGACAGCGCGCGAACTCCTCGATGACGTCACGCATGGGGTCAACGTCCCTCCTCTCCTCCTCCTTGTTGTCAACAGCCGCCGCTATCAGACACTGGCACACGGCCTCGATCACCTCTGACGTCATGAAGCTGCATGGCTGCCTGTTCAGTACGAAAATTGATTATGGCATGTGATAAATAAACAGAATTAAGTTCAAAGTTTTTTCCTGATTATTTCCTAAGTTTTCGTAATCATGTACAAAGATGAATTTGTTACTGTTAATTTCTAAGTTGGGCAGCGATGATAGAATTAACGGTCAACAAATAATTTAAATGAAACTATTATTTTCGAATCTTCGTATTTCATTATTTTCAAAAACTACAAAACTACTTTTCCTCCCGACGTTTCGGTTACCTTGCAGAAATATAAGTTTCATTTAAATTTCACTCGCGAGTCTTGGATCTCATTGAATAACACAATTCCTTAATGTTATATCCCTACTAATATGTATCATAAATGCGAAAGTAACTCTGTCTGTCTGTCTGTTACGCTTTCACGCCTAAACCACTGAACTGAATTAAATGAAATTTGATACAGAGATAGAGTTGACCTTAAGAAAGAACATAGGATAGTTTTTATCCCAGACTTTTGAAAGGTTCTCTTGTAAACGCGATTTAACCGAGCTCCACGCGGGCGAAGCTGCGGGCGGAAAACTAATAATATATATATGTGTATACTTGGCGTGTGCGAGTGCGACGTGCGGTCTATACGTAGGTGGTCCGGCCAGTGGTTGTATCGCTCGAGGCGCGTCCCTCCGCCTGCCTCGCTCCAACGTCTCCTCAACATTGCGACACCCGACACACTTACAGATCGACGAACACGCTATCTTAGCCTGCACAAACAAAATATATCAAGAATTTATTGTTGAGAGAGGATATAGACGTCTATTTTGATTAATGTTTTTGACTACTTAGAGCTTAAGATTTATATAATCGATGATAATTTGAAGTCGGAATCCTACATAAGTAAGCAAGAGAATACAAAGCGATGTGCTATAATAAAATGTACAAAAATTATTCTGTCTTTTCCAATAATATATATATATAAATATCAGCTAATATAGAAAACTATGTATTTTTCTGGATTACTTAAGAGGAAGGTTGAGAGGCATTATGATTTTTGATACAAAGTCACGGCTATGGTAATGACACCCTTGTCACACGGAACACCAAATCGCCTCACGCCATAATTATATCGTCAATAAGTATTAACTGAATATCGATTTATATAAAGTTCAGGACATTAAAATTGTAAGAAATTATATATACATAAAGATTCTAAGCAGAATGAATGACTTATGATTTACCTCGTAACATTCACAATAGTTCTTCAGACAGCCGCTTCTTTTACAGTTGCATCCCTTATTGTGCCGTCTTATTATCTCCGGGCCGCCCGTCTTCGATTTTCCAATCTTGGGCCTGTAAAAATATCAACATTTAAATAATTCTCATAATGATTTAATTAACTTTATATTTTTATTATTAAAGCAACGTTGAGCTAATAATTTGAACTGAAATTGGAACATGCCAGCTTATGTTGCAAAATTTTAAATTCTGTATTTCGTCTGTGATAGTGCAAATCCAAGTAACTAACATTGGATAATTTCGCTTATCTGCATTAAAAAATACCTTGAAAGTCGTGAATTTAGAAAATATTTCAGCTTAAACTTTCTGATAATCTGCTTCCAATGTAGATATTCGGAATTATCCAATGCTAGTAACACGGATTTGCACTATCCCCGACGATTATCTATTTGTATTCTAAGAATATTAATTTTTTTTATTACCTAAAAGCGTTAGGGTTCCTGTCCAAACAGCCTCTAATAGCTTTCTGCCGCAGTTCCTCATTTTCCAGATTATTGTGACAATTGTTACAATTACATCTGTTGCAAAACTCCCCGTTAGCGAAACAGTCACAGTACAGCTTCAGACATTGAGATTTTGTACAGTTGCATGCTTTACGAGGCCTTAGACCACCTAATTCAGTGGTCACTTGATCTAAAAACAAAAACAATAGGATTATTTATATCATACATTTTATGTAAGCATTATTATTATTCTTTTGGTTCCAATAAAGTCCGTCAGATTTTAGAACGGGAATTGCACCCATAGGCAGTATCACGTATATTATATAGCCAATAGAAACCATAATTGGAGAATGCAGTTCGCTTAAGTGTGAAATGAAAACAGAAGTAATTCACAAAACCCTTCATTTGTGTATACTAACCCGTTTCAGAGAGAGCAGGCGTCGTCGACGACTGATAGTTTGTCATGTCTATATCCACTTTTAACGTATTATTTTCGTCTTGAGACTCATCCTGAAAAAAATAAAAAAAACTTCAAGAAATAACTTTTTGGATATAATTTCCAAATAAAAATCTATTAACATCGAACTGCTTCATTCATACAGCTTAGAATAAATTATATCAAGGATAGATTTCTTCTAATCAAGAAGAGAACGAATCGATCGTACAGTATGAAAATGCTGGAATTACTACATAGTCATATGTTATGATGTCTTCACCACTAGAATATATGGCCTTAGAGACAATCTATAATTTAAAGGAACCAAATCTTTCTTACCATTCTTTCAGAGTCATCTGGTACAATCATTTGATCGTACGCCGACGGTATCACGATGAGTGGATGATCTTCAGATTTATTAGAGTGATTGTATTGATCAATGCTGTCCATACTGTTATCAGGTGTTGGACTCTAAAAACATAATATAAAATATAGATTTTCATATTGTTGCAGCACGTGCGTCTATAGTTTGCAGTAACGCCTTCAGTTTTGATAACACAACATTAAACTACTTTTTATAAGGCAAATTTTAAATACGAAAGCCCTCATATCACTGTCAAAAATTGTATTACTGATTCACACTTCATGAACTTGCAGAAGTAGTGGTTCATTTCGCCTTCCATAGCCCAAATGCTTAAGTAATCATTGCATGTAGTATGACTGACCCCGTCTTTCTTAAAGTCAACCTCGACCTCAGCCAAGCTGCACTCGTCGTTGACGTGTTCCACGAGCTCTTTTAGAGTCAATTTAGACTCTTGTACGGGACTCGAAGTACGCTCAGGGGAGGCCGGGGATAACGGCGCTAATAAACTCGCGGGCGACTGCTGAAATATAACACACATACATACATACAAATATATTCCCTTTTTAAAAAATACTAAAACTATTTGTTGGTAATAAATAGTACATTTATTCACAATACAATCTCTATGGTACTGTTATTCTATGTTTGTCTTTGATATGCCTGTCTATTTTTATAAATCAAAAATTGTGCGCTTTGTAAATTTGTACTAATACTATTGTTTTTAATTTTCATACAGAACAAATCGTTTTGTATATATCTTATATATTGTAAGCTTCTGAAGATAAGGAAGCGATTTAGTTGTACGATATTAATTAGGAAATAAATGCTATGAAAAATACTCACAGTAACAGTCTGCGATGTTTTCACTATGGGTGCTATTCTCACTAACTTTTGTGGCGGTTTCGACGTATTCACTAAACCAAAGAAAAATGTTATTAATATCACAACTATAACTAACGAGTGACAACTGTTTGAATAATAATTTCAAAATGTTCCAAATGTTAACAAAAAAACATTTTTAATTTTAATAAAACATTCCATTTATAAAATGTACCTTGGACAAATTCAAAATATTTCGAAAATGAAAATTTTGACAGATAACAAAACTTATTTTATTCTGACAATTATACATGTTTCAAAATAAAAGAAAAAGATTAAAATAAAGAAATGATACACTAAGAACTCATTAGTTTAGGTTTTAAATTTTGTCATTCTAATAATGTAACAAAATATACGAATGATTGAATATTGTATTGTATTGTAGTAATTACAAAGTCATGTATACAATATTAAATAAGACTATTATCTTATAATTTAATAAAAGACTATTAAAGTATATGAGGAGAGATTTGTCCATTTACTTATACAGGGTGACTGGTGAATTACTATCAATATTTAAGGAGAATACTCGGTAGATGATTCTCATTCAAATTATGTAAAAAAATAGGTACTTAATATTTGATCAAATTTCCGTATAAATAAATAAAGTGTGGACACGTTCCAAGTGTGGACGCGTGCGGCGGCGTGCTGATACAAAACCACGCCGCCGCACGCGTGTGTGTGTGTGTATACCTAATCTGTAGGGTGTTCAAACGATGCGTAATTAATTACACAACTTTTGGTTAACTTTACTTAGAAGTTTATTAATATTTATCTTATATAAATTTTTATTTTGTCAATTATATGATCGTCAAATATCACGTCTTCAAGTATCGATAGTAATTCACCAGTCACCCTGTATAATCAACATGAAGCAAGAAAACGTTAAATATTTGAATGATGTTAAAATATTTTATAATATACTAGCTAACCCGGCAAACGTTGTTTTGCCATGTTGTATGTATTTTTTAATGTCCAGTCGGGAATTTAATATAATATAAGATAATAATAAACTTACATTTGTTAACCGCATTCCCCTTCCCTGTGACCACAAGTGACGGTGGTTGTCCGGCTGACATTTTCTCAGCAGTCATTTGTATTAGATTACCTGGAATTTACGAAATAAGGCAAACTAATTAATTTTTATTCAATCAAAATCCTTATATCAATTATAAACTATTTGAATTTAATGAGTGAGATTGAATATAATTTTCTATTATTTTTAGCCTTTTCTTTTGTTTTTTATATGATACTAAGTAATAACCTTTATTATCCGTCAACACGAATGTCTTTGAAGGTAGCGCCATTAACTGTTTGGGAACCGGCTTCGGCGTCTCTGAAGAAGAATTGGTGACGAGGCGGATATATTGAATCTGAAAATAATAAAAGCATCAAAAAATTAATTAATTTTCCTACGAATAATAATAAGAATTTGTACCGTTAGTAGTGCTAATTCTAATATATCAGGCCATCATTTTTGTTTTAAGCCATAGTAACATTTAATTTAGTGGCAAACATATACATCATGAGAATTGGGTCATGCCAACATACTCATAATTTTAATATTTTTTACCATTATTATTATATTCTAGCAAATAATAATTTCTTGTACATCTTTTTCTTTACTTATATCTACTCACGCCTTTGCCGGGTACATTAATCTGATGCAACTGTGACTTTCCGCCTTCCGCAACTGTTGCGCCATCTTCTGAATTCTAAAAAGTTTACAAATATAATTTTATTATTTATAGTTTGTTTATCACAATGTTAATGATTTTGACTTACTTGTGTTTTGTTCTGCGCTGCCGCTGCCTTAAGCATCATATTCACACTAGGATTTATGATAACTTTCTGTTTTGTTGCTGTATCTGAAAAAAAAAAATTAAATGAAAAAATGTTTATTAACAAAAAAACACAACATAATACAAAGAAATGTCCGGTGGTGCCCACACTAGGTATTCCTGTGTCGTGGGTACCAATTGATAGATTTACACTACTTGTTTAATGTTGTCGCTCGGCTTAGAATATAAATTACATAACTATTTAAGATACATTGCATAATTTAAGTTACAAGTGTTCTTATGTTAGTGAAAAGTTACTATACTAGGTGCAAAAAAAGTTCTTCGGTGGTATTGTAGGTCAATGAGGAGAGCCAAGAAACAATTTTTGTTCCTAAAAAGGAATTGATATTTTTAAGCAAATTAAAAGTTGTTTTGGAATAAGTTTTCCTAATTAACAATCTAATAGTAATTATGCAATTCTACTTAAAATAATATATATAATAATATATAATAGTACATTTAATAATTACTTATGGCTGTAGCTGGCATCAATTTTGGTGTTGGTGACTTGATAGTAATTATTTCTTGTTTCTTTGACACCCTCACGGGCTGCTTTGATGGTGTTGCCATTACAACCTGAAAACAATTTATGATATCGTTCAATTGAGACATAAATGATTAACAATATCAGTAATTTTCAAACATAACAAATATTTGCTGTAGTAGCATTAAATATACAGGGGATATGAGAATTTTTTTCAATATCAATATAATTTCAAACGGCGGGGTGCCTGCAGCGTTTAAGTTTTTATATTGTTTTTTTTTTAAGCAGACGGAATTAGTTATTTAGTTAGTTAGGAGCCAGTTATATATCATAATATACCTTGTTCCCCACAGTAAGTGGTATTGTCTTCTGTTGAACCACAAACCGTGACGGCTCAATCTTAGTGATGACGGCTGGCGCGTTCGAGTCACTAGTTGCTCCTAGATAAAGTATTGAGGATTAGAAACTTAGAAAAACTCTTTAATTAATTTATCATATATTACTATATTCACCTGGCACTGTTATAAGTTTGGTTAGCATCGGCTTGTTTTGTGCGGCACCAGTATTCTTATTAACAATAAGTTGTGCCTGAAAGTAATACAAGATATTATATTTCCATACAAACTTGTTATATTATGAGTTTAAATAAATTTCATTTTAATAATAATAGGTGATTTAAGTATGTGACGAATTATATTTACATAAAATAACTTTTTCAAGTACACATTTCAATGTAATTATAGTTTTCATATTAATAAATAGTAAAAACCTAAATGAATATATATATTACTTGTTCTGCGTCAGCTCTAACATACTGCACTGTGTTATTTCCCGGTGTTGCTGTGACAAGTTTAATTTTCTGTGATCCAGAAGGCACCATGATAAGCTGCTTGCCAATTTGTGCTGGTGAGATATTAAAAGTTATTAGTTAAATAAGTTATTAGTTAATAATTCATCTGATATCATTGGGGAAAGTGCAAATATTAATGTTTTCACAATTAGTGATAAATTAACACTAAATAATTACTAATTGTGAAAAAAAAATACATTAAAAGTTGTTAATATAGAAAATATTTCCATTCAAACTTCCTTCTGATAATCTGCTTCCAATGTATGTAGATACATGGAATTATTCAATGGTAACTACGCGGATTTGCACTATCCCTAGACGATATATTACATATAAGCAGATATATATGATAGTTTTAATATGTGAAAGTATTATTTGTGTTAATATTGTTAAACTCACCCAAAACTGTTTTCCCTTTAGTGGTTCCTTGTATCACATTAGCTAGTGATACCTTTTTGACAAGGCTTTGTCCTCTATTAGAGATCATTGTCACCGGTTTTGGTGCTATGGCCAATTGTTTTGGAGCAAATGTTTTACTAACAAGTTTAGGAGGCTTGGGTGCAATGGCCACTTGACGAGGCATTGTCGCAAGGGTGGCCATAGATTCACTTTTTTTTGTAGTTTTCGGTAAAACTGACTGAAATGAAAATTATTTCTTATACAAATTTGTTAGACCCATATTCATGCAGAAATTTGTGAACATTTTATAATATAGATTTTTATATAATTTGGTAACAAATTACTTTTAGATTTTGGAATAACCCTCCACCTAACATCTAAAGACTATAAATAACATGCATGTATTAATAAATTTAGTAACTTTTAACTATTTTATTTATATTATACCTTAACAGCAACCATCTTGGGTTCACCATTATCTTGTGTTATAGAAGATGTGCTAACTATTTGAGGAGTGAACTGTATATCCACCATTGTATCTGTTTGTGAAGTCAGTATATGCTGCTGCTGTAAATTAAATTAATTATGATAAAATTCCATATTTGAATTATTATTTTTTTATTATAGCCAGCAATGCATTTATTATTGTAGTCCATAGTTTTAATTAAAATTTTCTTTAAAAAAAATTATGAAGATTATTCATACATGATTAAATATACAGCTTTAATAAATCACATATATAAATATTCAAATGTAACATTATAAACTGGTAGGACATTGTTGACATTTAAATGAATTCATGCATTTAAATTCTCATTTAAAATCAAATACATAATAGACTTGAAATTATTTCACGACATATCTTTATATATTAAATTATTATACAGGGTGACTGGTGAATTACTATCAATATTTAAGGAGCATACTCGGTACATGATTCTCATTCTAATTATGTAAAAAAATTGGTACTTAATTTTTGACCAAATTTCTGTATAAATAAATAAAGTGTGTACACGTTCCAAGTGTTCCAAGTGTGAACGCGTGCGGCGGCGTGCTGACACAACAACACGCCGCCGCGCGCGTATGTGTGTGTGTGTACCTAATACCTAATCTGTAGGGTGTACATACGATGCGTTATTAATTACATAACTTTTGGTTAACTTTACTTAGAAGTTTATTAATATTTATGTTATATTAATTTTTATTTTGTCATATATGATCGTCAAATATCACGTCCTCAAATATCGATAGTAATTCACCAGTCACCCTGTATATATATATATATATATATATTTATTTCTTACATTTGATTCCACAGTTGTCGTCAATTCTGTTGTTTGATCGCTTTGAACAGAATATTCTTGAAGTGTAAACTGATCGCTCATGAAATCTGAAACTTTGAATTAATATTTTAATCAAATAGGGAATTATAAATGAGAGTATGAAAAATAAATAATCTGTTTATACATATGTGAATTTAAGTTATGATATAATAAAGATTTATTTTGTTTTATACAACTTCTATTTAATATGTATATTGTCACACATGACACATTTATTTAGAGTAATAGTGAATTAAAAAGTTACATTACTGTTTTATTTTATTGAAATAAAGTTAATAGGATGATAAATTAATTGACTTATATATACTTTCCTAAGAAAAGATATTAAATAGTAATAATAAGTGCCAGAAAATATTTACCAATAATCTCCTCATTTCCAGTATCCATAAGCATGGGTTGTTCTTCGTTGTGCTCAAAATCCATGGGAATACTTTCATCATGACCACTTTGTATCAATGTTATACTTGCTTGACTGACCTCCACATCATCATTGTGTCCAAAATCAACCTGTTATATTAAAATAACACTTAACAAGAAATATACAACAGATATAAATATACTAAATATAGACAAGGTTCTAAGTTTAGTATGCATGATGTAAATATAGATATAGGGATTCAATTACACTAATATGTAAGGTCAGTCTAATAAAAGATATATTAAAAGCTTTACACAAAAATATACCAAGATATTTAAAAATATTGAACACTCACTCCCATAGCATTCTCCAAATTTAAAGAATCCTCCAAAGTATGATCCATGGTACTTATTGTTTATCTTATTCTTCCTAAAAGTTCTTATGGTGCCAGAATAACCACTTTTTTCGCAAAATAATAACAAAAATCAAAACAATTTATGAGTTTGAAAGAGGCCGCCATTTTAACATGTCAAAAAATATGAGCCTCTCCCGTAGATCGCCACGGTTGAAAACAAATTGTCACAAACAAGAAATACTTATAATCGTGTATAAATAAAATTTTAATCAAAACCACAATTTTGTAGTATAACTTAATGTAAAATATATTCGAATAAACCTTATTTGGAAACAATTAGATGTAACATACCATAAGAATAAAATAATAAATCGCATAAAATCTTATGGCGCTTGTTTTAATTTTCATAAAGCTGTCAAAAATAAGATACCGCCAACCTCTGCAACAAGGTATACAGGCTAAAAATTTAAGTAATTGAATGTGTTCAAATTAAGAACTTTTAAAACTGTAATTATCGTACAATTATAACATAAAAAACTGAAATACAAAATTTTAAGGTTTTTTTCTTCATATAATATTACGAATATGTGACAATCTTAATTTTTACGTTGTAATATTTATTTATATTTTAAAATATCTTAAACTTTTTATTTTATATAATTTACTAAAAGCTTATTAAAATTTTCTAGTTTGAAATATAAATAAAACATGTGACAATTGAAGTACTTTTTACTTCACACAATAAAAGATTAAGAAACCATTGTGTCCCAACCTTCATCTGTCAACTTTTTAATCAATTCGATTGTAATAATGTTATGGTTTTCTAACACATAATTTCAGCTATAAAGATATACAAGCTCTTTAAGATAACTTTAATATTGTCAATATTTTGGATCTAACAATGCCTCTTAATTTAGCAGGCGTTCGTCAATACCTAAGTGATTTGAGAAATTCAGGAGGCCTACATAAAGATCAGGCTGAAAAGTAAATACCGGACATTATATTTCTAAAAAAAAATTAATTTTACTACTTATAAGTTGATGAAAAACATAATATGTTTGTATATTTATAGAATAGAAGAGACAATAAGAGATAAGAGCAACGATCATGTCTAACTTTTTTTTACAGATACCGCAATGTGTTACTTGAAATTTTAAAAAACCCGGAGGGAGAACTAGCAGAGTGCTTGAAGGCATTTATTGAAGCGAGTATGTTGTTAATGTTACAATACAATAATATACATATTACATGAAACTGTTTTGATTGTGCAGTTTTGATAATAGAATTTTTTTAATTTCAGTCGTAAATGAGAATGTAAGCCTGGTGATATCTCGTCAACTGCTTACCGATGTGAGCACTCATCTCGCGTTGCTACCAGATAATGTTTCACAGGAGGTCTCCCACTTTGCTTTGGATGTCATTCAACCAAGAGTTATATCTTTTGAGGAACAGGTTAGTGTTGGATTTATAATGCTTAATAGACATAATATGGTTAACCTAATTGATGAAAAATTTCTAGGTGGCCAGTATTAGACAACATCTAGCAGATATATATGAAAGAAATCAAAATTGGAAAGAAGCGGCCAATGTTCTGGTTGGCATTCCATTGGAGACTGGACAAAAGTAAATCCTCTTATAAAATTTGAAATGTTTCACATTTTCTTTGGCTCACAAATATATTGCTGGGGATAGTACTAATCTGTGTAATTAACATTGAATAATTCTGCCTATCTGCATTAGAAGCAGATTGACAGACGAAGATTTAAGCAGAAATATTTTCAAAATGTATAACTTTTAAAGTAATTTTTTCACAACAAGTAATAAATTTAACACTAAATATGTAGTTACAAAGTGTGAAAGAAATTACTTTAAACATCATAAAATTCAGAAAATAATTTAGTTTTAACTTCCTCTGTCTAACTGTTTCAAAAGCAGATACAGTAGAACTCCAATTATCCGAACTCCGACTATCCGAATCGGCGATTATCCGAATCACTTTCAGAAAAAAAATTGACCAAAAAAAGTCTAAGTGCGCTATTATTCTTCCCCCCCGCGAAGCCAGTGTAGGCACAACGGCAAGTTAAGACCGCAAAACAGCTTACCTTGACGAAGATGTTTAAAAAACAATGATTTTTATTTCTAAACTTGTACATAAGTACAATTTATTTATATTTAAAACATGTGAAAATATCATGTTTCTTTCATTTAATTCAATAAAAAAATAGCGCAATAACAAAACGTAACTTTTTTTCTCTCAAATGGCAATTTTAAAAAAAACTCCGATTATCCGAATATTTGATTATCCGAATGGGTCCCGGTCCCCATTAATTCGGATAATTGGAGTTCTACTGTATATGGAATTATCTAATGCTAGTTTATGTGGCTTTGCACTATCCTTGACATTATGTAAGTAATTTTTTTTACATTAAAAAACTGGTCTCAGAAAATGAAGTTAATTTGTTTCAGACAATATTCAGTGGATTATAAGTTGGAGACATATTTAAAGATAGCTCGGCTTTACCTTGAAGTAGATGACCCAGTACAGGCAGAGGCGTTTGTGAACAGAGCTTCATTGCTACAAGCTGAAACAACCAATGAGCAGTTACAGATATATTATAAAGTCTGTTACGCAAGAGTCTTAGATTATAGGAGGTAGGTTTGATATATTTCATTATTATCCATATTTTAAAAACGAGAATATTAAATAATGGAAATACAATTTAATTGAAAATCAAAACAAAAATATTTTCTTACGCAAGTTACAAGTTTAAGAATATCCTTTCACATCAGTTATAACCTTATAATCAGATGAAAGAAAAATTTTCTTTGTTGTAGCTTTAAATTTATGTTAAGTCTAAATTTTAGTTGTTACACAATTTTATCTACAACTCCTAGAAGAATTTTTTTACCAAATTATTGGAATGTTTTGATAAATTTGATTAAGAAATAAATCTAATGTATTATTTTGAATTGTTTTTCAGAAAATTCATTGAAGCAGCTCAGAGGTACAATGAACTGTCTTATCGTAACATAATACATGAGGATGAAAGAATGACATGTCTTAGGAATGCACTTATATGTACAGTGCTGGCATCGGCTGGTAAATATTTTCTATATTTTTCATTTTTCAACCAAAAAACATGCATTAAAAAACGTAACCTAAAAGTATCTTTGAAAACTATAATACATACTTACTACGACACATTATACCTTCATTAAGTGTAATGACAATATATGTATTTAATTAATATTTATTTATTTAATAAATAAATTTAAGGGCAATACAATGCAGAAAAAAATTGAATAATAACCATTTTATAAGACAAAATAAAAAATGTGTTATTAAATGTTTAAATACATTAAAAGTTAAATATTAAAAATGACTTTAAATAAAGTTCAATATTAAATGCTGAAAATGTCTACTTTAGTTTCTTATAAATTTGGATTTTAAATAAAAATATTAAACAATTGGATTCTTATAAAACAAAACAGTTTAATGTAATTGTTAAAAATTACATTAAAAATATATATGTTTTAATTTAAATTAATACTAATTGCAGGTCAGCAAAGATCTCGAATGCTTGCAACATTGTTCAAAGATGAACGCTGCCAACAATTGCCAGCATATTCCATATTAGAAAAAATGTACCTGGATCGCATCATACGACGCTCAGAACTACATGAGTTTGAAGCCCTAATGCAGACTCACCAAAAAGTATATAGTTATTATAAATTCATTATGACTTATATATAATAGGTTGAAACCTGGCAAGTACCAATGTGATTTTTCGGAGTCATATGTACTTTCTGAGAGTATTTAGATTCCATTGACATACGGTGAAGGAAAACATCGTGAGGAAACCTTGACTTATAGTTTCACAATTATAAGTTTGAAATCACCAACCCGTCTTGAGCAAGCGTGGTGATTAATGCTCAAACCTTCTTCATGTGAGAAAGAGACCTTTGCTCAGCAGTGGGCTCTGATAGGATGATGAATAGGTTGAATATTTATTTCGATCTTGAACACTGATTAACATAGGGAAATAAAATTGACACCAAAAATAAATTGACTTTGGACAGTATACTAGTTTACTTCAAGTATTTCTATCTATTCAGAATAATTGTATTTCACAATATTCCCCAGTAATATTTGTTTCTTATAATTGTTAGAAATGAATTTAATTTTTGTTTCATATGTATTTGCAACATTGAATATTAATAAATTGACAACAGTTGTATGGGCTGAACAAGTGCCAAGTATGTCCAAGCTTGGCCAATAATGTTTTTATAGAGACATCATCTGTCTGACTCTTTTTTGTTAGTTATTATTTAAATGACAAAAAAAAAGTGAAGTCATCTTTTAGAATAGTTATTATATAGTAGTACTGTATTATCCTGCAACTTTATTTGTATATACTGTTTAAATCCATACGTTTAGTGTAAAAGTCGATTATATTAAGATTGCAAGCAAATATTTCCCATTTTATTTATTTCTATACATGTAATTACATACATTTGTAAAACCTACAGGCAACTATGTCAGATGGGTCGACCATTTTGGACCGAGCAGTCTTCGAACACAACTTACTGTCAGCCAGTAAATTATACAACAACATAACGTTCGAGGAGCTCGGAGCTCTATTAGAGACACCTCCAGCAAGAGCTGAACGCATCGCCTCACACATGATCAGTGAGGGAAGAATGAATGGGTACATTGACCAGATCAGCGCTGTAGTGCACTTTGAAAGTAAGTATATATATACTAGCTTTTGCCGCGACTTCGTCCGCATGGAATAGTGACTTCCGGCAGATTTTTGGTTCTTCCCACATAGTTCCCGTTCTTGCGGGATTTTCGAAATGGTCGAGTTCCCGTAGAATTTTCAGGATAAAACCTATGTTTTTTTTTTTATTCACAATGAAGTACTCTTAAACAACAACATATTTATTTGTTTCTTTGAATAAAGATTAATATTATTATGTTGATACAACTTAAATAAATTATTTCGACCAAATTAGGTACAATAAAAACGGTTTTTGTGAGTTAATCTTAAAAGATAGACATATACTGTCGCGGTCTGTTTTTTAGATCATTAAAAGAGCCGTTAAATGTACCGTTTTCACGGCGCACGCAACGGAAGGCTTCAAAGATGAAATAATTTCTCCCGTTTTTTACACATTTACCACTATATCTTTGCTCCTATTGGTCGTAGCGTAGGTCGTAGCGTAGGTATATAGCCCATAGCCTTCCTCGATAACTGGACTATCCAACACAAAAAGAATTATTCAATTCGAACCAGTAGTTTCGGAGATTAGCGCTTTCAAACAAACAAACAAACTCTTCAGATTTATAATATTAGTATAGATTTATAAGCATTTTTAGCTTTCCTGATAACAATTTTTGTATCATTTAGTTTTATTAGTATAGAACATTTAGTTTTATTAGTATAAACCTTGTTAATAAATATTTAAATTAGTTTTTAAATTATACTTATATTATTCGGGTAACTACGTGTATCTTCCGACGCGTCGGTTAGTTTTCAGCAACCGTGATCACGTCTGTCCGTAACCGAAGCCATAAAAAAAATCGATTATAACAAAAAAATACATGTGTCTTTTTATTTGCAGCTCGTGAAATTCTCCCGCAATGGGACAAACAAATCCAAAGTCTCTGCTATCAAGTTAACGGGCTCATAGAACAGATAGCTGCCGCAGAACCAGAGTGGATGGCCAAGCTCATGGAAGAAGAAATGATTCAATGATAACTTCCTAGAATTATTCTTATATAAACTTACTCTCATTTTTTTATATAAACTCATAGAAAAAAAATAAAGGTCGTGTCAACCTAATATTATAAAAAATGGAAACGAACAATGCATTGGGTTTCATTATCAGTGGTTCCAAGTTCCAACATATACAAATCAATTATCAAGCTCAAATGTATCATATCTATACAAATAAACAGAAAGTGGACTCAAAAATCATTGGACTTGATTCAGTAATACTTCTTGAAAGATGTAACAGCAAATAAATCTCATTCAAACATAATGAAATAGCAGTTTTAAAAGTAATGTAACTGTAGCTCACAACTAATTCTGGGTTGTTGAGATCATTGTTTAAAATAAATTGATTGACCTAGCTTTGAACTTTCTTTGATTTTTTAAAAGGAAAATTAAAAAGAAATAAATATTTTTTTCTTTTTTTACATATCACATATTAAATAGAAGATACAAAATCACTATAGCTTAAACACATCAAATCTGATTGGTATTACTTATTAACTCTAGATTGTTATGATTGGGGGTTTTTAAATGAGCAATGTCGTCGGCAAGAGCGCAAGACAATAATTTATTGAACCTGTTGTGATTAAAAATGTTATAGATGTAAAGGGAACTTGTTGAATTTTTAATGGAATTGGATTAGTTCATGAATTAGACAAATGACTTTAACGTAGATATTTCACACATTCTGTTATTATACAACTCAGGTCAATTTAAATAGCTGTATAAGTTGTAAAAAAACTTACACTAAAAATACGGCTCAAGACAAAATACTGTACCAGTATGTACTATTTTTGTATAGTTTCAAATAACTTTATCAATAATACCTTATGATATGAAGTTCTTGAAATTGTGCTTTTTTTAGTCACATCATAATGTCTATGAAAGAGTAAAACATATTCAAGCTAAATTTAAAACATTTATTTCAAAATCATAAAATCAAAATATAAGTCCAAACTGATAAAAAAAATAAGTAAAGGATAAGGATACTAAGGTAACAAAAACAAAATATGGTGATTCCAACAGACTAATATTTTTATTCTCAATCAATCAATAGGATACACACCATAGGTGTTTATTTACAAGACAATACAGATTGAAAACTTTTTTTTTTAATAAATCACGCAATATTTATGATAAAGCCGCGTCTTTAAATATTTAATATAGATGGGGAAGAGCCGCGGATATTTGATACTCGCCGATCTGTACCAGACATTAAGATAGCGTTACACGCACTGAACAGTAGACATGAAATTATTTGATTCATACGCATTCACAGTGATTAATAGCAATATGGTTTTAATTATCTACAATTCTAATAGCCGTGGGCTCGATATGTCTAGGGTTCGAGTTCCAGGGCGACGCCGACTTTGTGTCCGCCGGCGTTGAAGTTCTGACCGTCGATGGCGGCCGACAGCGTCAGGGTCACGCCTGCAAATATATAATCACAATAAATCAAATAATATCTCGCGAGATAAAAACATGAGATAAGACAACTATAAGATGAGACTTCAACCGTGGCTGTCTTACTTGAGATAACAATGGGTAATATAGTAATAAAAATATAAAAAAAAATACAATTCATAGGCATAGAAATCATTGACATGGATATTTTTTTATATAATTGGCATTGAAAAGTATCTTTAATAGGTTGTATTAATATATTACCAGGGCGAAGTTTCTGTTGGTAACCAAGACCGATGAGTGACTTGTTGTTGATCTTGGCATGCAGGGAAGCATCCTGGTCCAATGCAAACTTAGCTCCGACCCCAAACAAGGTGTCCGAAGATCCCGATGTCCACTTCATGCTCACACCACAGTCCAACTTATCAGACACCTTCTGGTAGATGGAACCGCCAAAGTCCTTGCCATTATCACTAAGACAAAGGATTAAAATATTCATTTACATCTAAAATAACCAAGGTCGAAATATAATTGTATTATTTGCAAGTCAATACCATAACTTCAGTAATCAGTTGTTATTCAAGGCTATTTGCTAAAGGCATTTTGTTAAGTATTATGTAACATTAAATCAATAGTTATGTAATTTCTACATTATTATTCTACAAATGTAGTTATATGCATAGATTAATGGTACTCACACATTGGTATGAAGAGCAAAGTCATTGGTCTGGTAGCCAAAGGCAAAGTTGTTCTTGGCAAACTTGGCCTTCTGCGAGTCAAACTGTGTATGAGCTCCAGCCAGCCAGCCCTGGTACTTGAGAACAGCGGCCACATCTACAATAGGTCCCGCCATGTCAAGGTCCAAGTTGGTGTTGATTGCAACGGTGTCATTTGCAAAGGAGGACTTCAGTTTTCCGGTCTTGGATCTACAAATCAATTAAGAAATTATAGCATCACTATTCATATAGATATAAAGATATATATAAGTAAATGAGTAAGAAATTAAGTCATGTTTTTATTACCTATATGGTGAGAATGCAAGAAAATTGTATGAAATATATAGTACAAAATTACCCGGTTTGTGGAGCAAAAGTTCCCTCAAGAGTCACTTTAAGTCCAGCGGCGATCTTGTCCTGGATGGTGATATCTGTAGCGAGTGTGTTGTCGGTGTTCCATTTTTCTGTGAATGTCAGACCATAGTCCTTCACAGCATATTTAGAGGAAAGGCTTCCGAAGACCTGTATCGAGTTAAAACATTATGAATATCAATTAGTAGTAAATTAGGTTTGGTTATAACTTATAAGTAAATATACAAGCAACATTTTCTACCTCTGGGAGTTTAATAGAGTTGTATAACAATAAAACTAGGTCGCATAATATATCTGCAATGCACTTGTTTCTTGAATTCAATTCCAATTATTTTCTACAGAGAATCTAAGATGTGGTTTTATGAGTTTTTTTTGATAAAAATTGTTTATAACACACTTACCTTTCCACTTTCCTGGTTGGAGGTAATGCCACTGGTGAATTCTACGCCAGATTCACTCTTGGTCTTCAGGTCAAGTTTGAAAACGCCGAAGTGGTATCCCTTGGAGAAGACATCGTTGGCCTTCTTACCAAGATCGGCATATTGGGGAGGTGCCATTTCCTGCATAGAATTTGAGTTTGTAAAGCTCTCTGAAATGAATTATGTGGTACCTAACGGCACAACACGGCAATAAAATACGAGTCACTCTAACACCTCGAATGATAAGACCATAGGTCAATGAACTTAATGTATTATAGAAATTTGCTACAAAGATGTTGGTTTAAATATTACATCGTAGGACTTTTCTGCTTCAAGCCCTTGCCAGCTATGTCAGGGTTAAAACAATTCGCTTTAGTTTTAACAAACACCTCAGAGACAATGTTACATAACATGCAAGGATTATAGCACATACATTATGCAAAATCCTTGTCTCATATTAGTTCTTTTCTTTTCCTTTTATAATATAACAATAACCAATATTGACCGTCAACTTGACCTTTAGTCAAAAAATGCTAAAATAGACTCCAGAAGTTACAATCACATGGAAATGAATTTACCGTAATTATTATGAATTTTATTGTAGCATAATATTAAATGAGTGTAAGTCCTTCAAATCGACAACTATGCTAATTATAGATATTAAGAAATGCTTTTTATATAAAAATAATTAATAAATCACGTGTATGACGTAGATAATTCTCCCGGCTTATGCTTACTTTAATATGAACAGAAAATATGATACTTGAAAGATTAAAAAGGTTTCTAATATAATATTGCCTTCTGATTTACTTACAGTAGAATATATTTATTCACAATTAGGAACTAGATATGCAGAATTCTGTGAATTCACCGCAGAAACTTCACCTCCTGCACCGTACCACAAGACAATTCTAATTTGCGAAAGTTGCAGTCAGAGGGCGTATAGTTAAACCGGATATGGCAATATTGATCTAACGGTAACTCCTCTTTTAATGTGTTTTACATAATTTGTGTTTTTTATTTTAAATTAACGAATAAAAAATTCTTTTTGCAATTTCTGGTATCTAATTTCTTTAATTTATTTCTAATTTATGTTTTGTATTTTTTAGAGGTACCATAGTTTTCAGATTAGTAGAGGACGTAGAGTAATTTTAGAAACTATTTTTTTTTTTAATAGTAAAATGAACAAAACCACTTTATATATCATAAGTATGATTAATGTTACCAATCCCTACAAATAATTCAGTAATGGTAACATTTTGCTCGTCTATTTTTGGAATTTACATATTTCAGTTTAGACGGCGGGAATATTTAAAAAATAATGCACATCATTTCCACAAGTTATACAAATAAAATACGTAGTATTGTATCATAGGTTAGATAAAAAATGTTGCGGCAAAATTAATTTTTATTTATGTATATTCTACATATAAGCTGCACTCTTATGAATGTAACTTACCTGTCCACAGGGCTTTTTCTTAACTTTTTCTTCTTCTTCCTCAATGTTTTCTGTAACGTCTTCATGATATTTGGGACAATCAATTCTATTTCCAAACTCATCTTTACATATTTCCATCTGTCCCATAGAGCCATCCTTAAAAGAATTTTGCTCTTATTTAACATACTAACACGTAGCGCTAGCGTATGTATTGTATAACCACATTTATTCGTAAAAACAAAAATAAGGGAATAAAAGATGGATTAATTTTCTAGCTACTGTATTATAAGAAATAAAAACTTACTGAGCGGAGACACGGGACATTTTCCCTGATAACAGCCGCACTTACTAAAGGAAATTTTATACATTGCAAAATATTTTTTATGCTAAATATACTATCAAACCCTAATATATCCTTAGAATTTGACATAACTAAAATATAAATAAATTTATAATAATAAATTTAAACAACACATGAACGAGACTAGATCACTTACCAATTTTTTTAATTTCTACAATCTATGAGGCTTCGAGTTAAACAAATATATTACATATTTCAAACTGCGGTCTACCGAAACATTAAAGATGCAGACGTTGCAAAATAAGATATAACATTAGTGACTTCAGTACGATGCAAATATATTACTGATAATAATGTTATTGCATGACATTCTTATCATGTGATAATGTTTCGATTAATGTAAATAATATTTATTACACTTAATAATAATTAACGTATCAATAGGAAATGTGTTTAAGAAAATAATAACTTAAACGCATTCTTATAGTGCAAAAAATCTCTTTTTTCAATTGTTAAGATCTAATTATTTGAGAACTTAGATGGAAGGTTGTTTTAACCAATAGAAACAGAAGTACCTAGTCGTGAATTTATATTGTGCTCAAGTGTATTTTAATCCAAAATACATCATAAATTGTAATACAATAGTCTGAATAAGATTCCATATATAAATAGTAACTATCGTCCCGGTTATAGATAACTCGTACGTTCGCTTGCCATTTCTCGAACCGCCGAATTATTTTAAGCTTTCTTAAACAGTCAATCTTCGTCAGATCGGAGAGTAGACCTATTTAAAGTTTTAATTAAAATGGCTGATATTTGCCGTTATGATGTTAAAAGAAATGAAAAATACGGTCGATATTTAGTTTCTAATGCTGAACTCGGATGTGGAGATTTAATTTTTACAGATTATCCCTTTGCTGTGGGACCGAAACCAGGCAAGTGTTAACGATCTCACTTAGGTACTTGGATTACAACACAATGAACGTGCAGATCTGAGTCATTTTATATTAAATTAATAAGATAAAATGGAAGTTAGAATATCTATATTAAACGAATATAGAGAATTAAAGTTTCTTTATGAAAATGTAAGGTCGTATGTAAAATACAATAAAAAATAACCAGCGTTATTCATTTTCAATGTTTTACGGTTATAAAGAAATAATAACGGAACATAAACTAAGTACTTAATAATATAAGATAAGATATTAATATAATTTATAAAAACTACGAATGAAACACAAGTTAGAAGTTAGATTATTAGTTAGGTTTCATAAGTACATGATAATCTTTTGTTGTCTGCGAAAATTCTTTTGCTTTTCTCAATTGCAAAGTAACGTATCGATACTTATATATATTTTATTAGTTTATTATTACTGAATAATTGTTTTTTAACTTCAGATACACCACCACTATGTTTAAGTTGTTACTGCCCGATAGAGAGCACTTATTGTTCGAGATGTAGCTGGCCAATATGCAGTCCTGAGTGTGAGCTATCCCCTAATCATCAACCAGAATGTTCGATATTTTCAAAGTCAAAAATCAAATTTCAACCAGTAGAGGACTGGACTGTTAGCGCACCTCAATTGGATTGTATAACACCCTTAAGGTGAGTTTTGAATTAAGTACGAAGACTTGTTTTTTAATTAGTAAAATTAAAAAACAAGTCGTAATTTATTAAAAAAAGTTATAAACAAGATTTCTGTTATTTGGATTTTTATTGAGTATGACTACTGAGAATTTTACGAATATCTTTGAATTAGATTTCCGTATATTTGTAAGCATAATAGGATGTACATACCCTAGTAAGTAGTACCTATATGACGCATGTAAATCGTCAATAAATAAGGGTCGCGCAAGGTTTATACATCTTAGTCTGATGACAAAAATAATAATAATAATTATAGCAACTATGAATACTTTTTGGAGCAATGGCTCATATTCTTGAGGCTGACGGAAATGTTTTAGCGAATAAAATAGTGATACAGTAAGTATGTACCTTTTTAATATTGAACATAATAATATGTACTTATATCTTTATATATATAATACATATTAATAATAATAATACACATATACATATATCTTTAATAAAATCCATCAGGTTATTGGTAGCTAAAGAACAAGAGCCAGAACGATGGAGTAAAGAAGTACAAGCAATGGAAACACATGCAGAGCAGCGCAGGAAACGTTCCACGTGGAAAGCTGATCAAATTAATATCGTCAACTATCTCGTAGATCACTGCAAACTTAACAACAGATTCTCTAAAGAACTGGTGGAACAAGTGTGCGGGATTTTAGAAGTAAGTTAAAACTTTCATGGAAAACAGAAAAAAGTTTTAACACTATAACATTAAACTAAAATTGGGATATTTATTTACATAGGATATTATTTTTCGAACTTCAGGGAGATAATACATTACTTCTTCACCATTTTTATTGTATTTTTAACCAAGATTATCCATATTAAAATCAAGGATACGAAAAAAAAATTCATTCCCCGACAGTGTTTGAGCGAAACTATAAGTAAAACAAAATGTAAATTCTAATTCTAATCGTTATTACAGGTAAATGCAGTTGAGATTCCATCACGTGGTGGATTCAGTATTCGTGCTGTATATCCTCGCCTGGCCATCGCTGCACACAGCTGCGTCCCAAACATCGTACATAGTATATTACAACCAGATTACCGGTAGGTAAATATGAAACACAATACAAAATACAAATGGTATTTCATGAGTGATTATAATAGAGCTAATTATATTTTAATACCTATCTAAAATTACATTTTTAGGAAGCGTTTATCCATATGATTACGAGTTAAATCTTAATGAGTATGAGCATATGTAAGATATTAGAGATATCATTTGTTTTAGCGTAGAAGTAAGAGCAGCCGTGCCATTCCAAAAAGGACAGACATTACACCTAAGTTACACTCACGTGTTATCTCCTACTATTAATCGTCGTGAACATCTCCGGGAGTCCAAGTTCTTCGAGTGCGACTGTCCTCGATGTACCGACCCTACTGAGCTGGGTACACACTTGAGCACTTTTAAATGCAGTAAATGTGAAAAAGGAATCGTACTATCGAAGAATCCTTTAGGTGAATACAATGTTTTAAGACTAGTTATTACAAAAACTTTAATATTTTTTCCTAAATTCTTCTTAAAAACATTAAACAATTTATTTGTTCTGCGTATCGTATATACTGTAAATTGTGATATCCGTTTAGTAAAAATTGTTATATGTTTCTATTTTGCCATTTGCACGACGTCATCACCCTCTATAATCCTACTAACATTATAATTGCGAAAGTTTGTGAGTGTGTGTGTATGTTTGTTACTACTTCACGCTCAAACGGCTAAACCGATTTTGATAAAATTTTGTATACAGGAAGCTGATGTCCAGGAATAACACATGGGCTACTTTACAACCCGGAAATCCGCGGGTAACACCGCGGGGCGCAGCTAGTCAAATCATAATAGTAAATACAAGATGTATATTGTACAGGGCGAAATTTTAATTCTATAAGTACTAACATTCCATTTAAAAAATACTTAAGCACCAGTAATTTTAATAAAACGTATGTTACAGACAACGAAGCGTCATGGAATTGCTCAGATAAGAACTGCGATTTTCGGTTACCGAGCGCCGCTATGCACAAGCTCTTGTCCGATTTGCAGGAAGAATTGGACACGTTGGACTCCTTGGATACGGGGTCTGAAGCTGTAGAGCAGCGAGAAGCTTTTATTAATAAGGTGACTACTTAAACTCGTACCTACTACACAAAATAACGTATAATTGAAGAACCCTCTAAGACCGTCTTTAGCTTAGTTTTATAAGACATTAACAATACAAAAATTGAACCGAATTAATAAAAAATAAATTCTATTCAAAATGTAGAAAGACAACGGTAATAACTCTTAAAATAAAAAAAGAAACCAGCTAATGGCTGAAAAAAAGAAAAGGCAACTGCATCAGAAGTAATCGTTTCATAAGACGGTCAGTGTTGAGTGTAGCAGTTATACTAATATTTTCGATCTGTACTTCCAGTTACTTTGTCTGTTCTTTATTATTTGGAACCAATATAACAGCCAAACAATTAACAAATTAGTAGAAAATAGAAAGTTTTGTAAAAAATAAACAATGTTGTCGTTTATAATGTCATTGATTTTAAGCAGAGAATTTTGACTGACCGAAAAAATAAAAAATATTTATAACTTTTCTGAAATAAGGATATCCATATACAGTAGAACCCCGATTATCCGGACCTCGGTTATCCGAATTCGCGATTATCCGGACTGCCAATCGCGACGAGTTTATTTTAACACTAGCTTTTGCCGCGACTTCGTCCGCGTGGAATAGTGTCTTCCGGCAGATTTTTGGTTCTTCCCACATAGTTCCCGTTCTTGCTGGGTTTTCGGAATGGTCGAGTTCCCGTAGAATTTTCAGGATAAAACCTATTTTTTTTTTAATTCACAATGAAGTACTCTTAACCAACAACATATTTATTTGTTTATTTGAATAAAGATTAATATTATGATGTTGATACAACTTAAACAAATTATTTCGACCAAATTAGGTACCATAAAAACGGTTTTTGTGAGTTAATCTTAAAAGATAGACATATACTGTCGCAGACTGTTCTTTAGGAAGGCTTCAAAGATGAAATAATTTCTCCCGTTTTTTACACATTTACCACTATATCTTTGCTCCTATTGGTCGTACCGTGATGTTATATAGCCTACAGCCTTCCTCGATAACTGGACTATCCAACACAAAAAGAATTATTCAATTCGAACCAATAGTTTCGGAGATTAGCGCTTTCAAACAAACAAACAAACTCTTCATAATATTAGTATAGATTATGTACAATTTCTTAATAAACGTTGATTTTCGCTCATATGTATTTGTTGTTTTAAATAAACACCTAACATTACATATGTATGGTACAGACTACATATGTACATATGCAAAAAGCCCGTTTTTCTTCATATATTGGATTATCCGGACTTTCAATTATCCGGACGCCTACCGACAACAATTAGTCCGGATAATCGAGGTCCTACTGTATTTCCTTTTTTTATTTATTTTAGTACCAGTTGATATTACACCCAAGGCACTCTTTTCTGATGTGTGTGAAGCACGCGTTGGTCCAATTGTACAGTCGTATAGAAGATCGCGGAATTGAAGACCATGTCATGTTGGAAAGGAAGGTTGAGCTCTGCAAACAGGTTCTTCAGACTCTTGATGTTATAACACCCGGAGAAAGTAGGATGAGAGGTAGTTAATATTTTAAGTAGTTGTTAGTCTATTACAATGCACTGTGTTGTCTTAAAACTATTATTACTTTAAAATTAACATGACCGAAAAAAATGCGGTGTTTGTCCTGAAATATAAAAATCTAAAAAATTTCTATATCTCATAACATTTGAAACAAACATAAAATTTAATTTTTATTAAAGACAAGTAGTTCTGGGTATATTGTACCTAATATTTAACAATTTCTTTCGATCTTGCCAAAAAATAACAAGTTCATATATATTAAATGTGTCGAATTATTGTATATTTGTACCAAAAAATATTACAAATATTTTATTAAAAATAAGAACCTTCACTTTATGTAGTTGTCAAATATATATTTTCTACAACTTTTTAGGTATGTTGCTGTATGATCTACATAGTCCCTTAATGAATCTAGCCAGAAGTGATTTTCGTACAGGAGTCATTACAAAGGAGAAACTAAAAGATACATTGAAAGAATCTCTGCAGTGTTTAACTGACGCTGCGAGAATATTATGCAGAGAGGATGACCAAAGTCCTGAAGGAATCACAGGGAAAATAGCATTTCAATCTATGGAACAATTAAAAGACAGTATTGCAATCCTATGAAATTGAAGTAGTTTGCTCTAAACTTAAAAAAAAAAGATAATACATGACAATTTACACATATTGCTATTTTGAATTTAGAATTTGGGGAAAAAAATAAATTCTGATTGTATGTATTATAAATACAAAAAAACAAATAGTTTTAAATTGTTTTATTTATCCTGATCAATTTATAATAATTATTATATCAGAATCTTATTTTCTTAGGTTTCTTAGCGACTTCGGTTGAAACAGGTTTTGCTTGGCTGTCTATGTCCTCAATATTACTGTCATTTAGAGTTGGTAATTTAATGGATGTGCTTTCTTTTTTCTCATTCATCTACAAAATAAATTAACAATATAAGTATTAATAATCACAATATTAACAACTATTCTGGTAAATATTACTAGTCAAATTTTTATGAAGATATAATAAATGAAAAACTATATAATATCAGTGAATTGTAGTCTGTTGGCACAAATTCTACTCACAGTAGGACAATCTTTTCTAAGATGTGTAACATCACCACAAAGCTTACAGCTCCCACCATTCGGATAAAGTCCTTTTGGATTATCAGGACATTGTCTTGCTATGTGACCCTACAAAAAAAAAACAAATATTTTTTTTATATCAGATATTGAAATGTTGTTTTATGATGAGAATAAAAGTAAAATATCTGTTCAAAATTGTCAGTCGTAATTACTTACAGGTTCTTTACAAATGAAACATGTAGCAAATCTGAATTCTTTATCCTTTTGCACCTTGCATTCAAATTGTCTATGCTCGGTGGAGCCACATTTGAAACAGACGCCTTCAGCTGAGTCAACTCCGGGGATATGCGACTTAAGGTCTGGACAGTCTGATAGATTGTGTCCTCCCTTCCTACAGTTATAACAAACTTCTCTTTTGACCCTAGCTAAAGCCTTCTCAGCCCTTCGCCGTTCCAGTTTCATAGTTCTTTGCACTTCACTCTTAGGTATACCTTTTTGTATCATACTCTTCTTCAATTCCTCAAGTCGTTCTGCATCTTTCTTCATCACAGGGAAGCCATCGAATCTTATCAGTTCAACCTCCTTACCATTGATAATGATTTGGAAACTTCTATCATCAATCGGTTTTCTTCTTGCGGGCTGTTCACCTTTTTTCAGTTTCTTTTTAATATTTTTTGCAGGCACTGGTTTATTATTATTAAAACTCTTTTCATTTTGATTGTTTATTTTATGTGGATTGTCTTTTACTTCTTTTACAGAGTCTTCATTAGAAGGCTCGTTTTGTTCCTGGTTATTTTCTTCACTAGCCTGTTTATTTTTCTTGTTTTTATTCTTATTTTTCTTTTTCTTACCAGTCTCTGTCAACTCATTACTAACTACAGTATTATTTAAGGTGTTTTCATTACTGTTATCAGTAGCTTCGGTATTTGAAGACAGATTTTTATTCTTCTTAGATTTTTTTGTTTTGACTTCACTCGAGTTTTCATTTGAGTTTTTCTTCTTTTCTGCTTCAGGGAAGTCGCACCAAGTTGCTTTTCTCTTTTGTGCCTTATGTTCTTTAAGAAAGTTATTGTAATTTTCGACCCTTTGCTTCTCAGCCTATTAAAACAAAAAATATAAATATTAATATGAACTGCCAACAACAATAATAAGTCCACATATTATATCTTACCTCTTCACGTTTTTTTAATTCTTCGCCCTCGTGTTTTGCTTTTTCCATTTGTTCTTTCATTACCTCCCATGGTGTACTATCTTCTGGTGCCTTTAGGTTAGATGCTTTAGATCCCTTAGCTCTTGCAAACCTTGTCATTTTTGTTCAATGGTTATTTACATTTATATCTGAAAAATTCTTTATGTTTTAGTTATAAAAAATATCAACCAAAAATTGTACTTCTTTTTGGTTGACAACTGACAGACTCACATGTATTGTCGGATGTCAGTAGACACCTTGACAGTACATAATTAATCATTGGACTGCTGTCCACTGTTAAATGTCAAAAAACTGTCAAAACAATCAAATGTATCCACATTCTGTTTTGATTCGTTTGTTATATTAAATTTCAAATATATTACATATTTTTTTCAAATATTCTTATTAAATAAAATAACATGTTTCGGATATACTACGCGTGCTTTATTTTTGTAAAAAACTACATACTCCCGCAATATATCCGAAAATTTTTAGTTTCATTTAAATAAATAAAGCTCACGAAAGTCTTAGTTCTCATTATATTATTTTTATTCCTAACCTATCATCATCAGAAATCACTTAAACGAACATTTTTCAAATCTAGGAATGAATTCATTTACTTCTGCTTTTATAATTTTATTAATCACATTTTTTTTTATACGAATCCTTCAAAGTTACGAAAGTACACGTCGATGAATTCTGATTTCTGTCTCTTGGTTTTCAAATCTCAATATTATTTAGGCAGTTAATTTTGTTTTCTCAATATTTATTTCTTGCCGCCTTGCATTTATTATGTCAATTGGTTTGGCTGTGAATTTGTTTTGATTTCTTTTTTATGGTAATATACTTTAAAATAATAATTACTGATTACATAACTTCTTATTGTCTTCTCAACCACAGTTCTATTTCTATTATCTTTTCAGCTGTCCGAACGACCTCCATTCCCTCTATTATATTCACACTCTCATTATTCAGAGTCAATAAAATGTACAGTATTCAGTGTAAATTCATTATTTACTATATGAAAAACAATAGCATTAGTATAATAAAGAAAATTAGATTTACCCTATATCGATCGTAGTTATCTTTATATGTATAATTCTTCTGTGAGTGTGTATGTCACTGAACTTCTCTTAAACGACTGGACCGATTTTGATTAATTTTTTTTGTGTGTGATCAAGGGGATCTTCGAATTGTTTAGATTCACAATTTTGTCCGCTGGACAATGTTTTTTTAATTTATTAGTAGTTGTTGATAGAAACGTTTTTTTTACATTAGATTTGACAACTAACTAATATGTCAATCATTCTGTCGCATTTCAAAACACGGAGATTTATGGCTTTAATAGGTAAACTCCAAAAATATAAATAAAAAAACGTAACAGATATTTCTTGATTATAGGGCGATACGAAGTTCGCCGGGTCTTCTAGTATACTTATATAATTCATGGTTGGTATTTATATTAAAACAGTTTTGTTTTAGAAATTGGTGCTTCTTAATACATTTTATAAGTATTTTTTTATTAATCAAACAAACACATAGGCACATTCTTATTTCTTTTTATTAGAAGTCTGTCTTATTGTAATTGCATCGTTATCCATTCCACTTTGAGTGAATATATACCTATATAAAGAATAAATGTTTACTATCGCTAAGAAATTCAAATTCCCTTAAATTGATCCTTTTTCCTAATAGAAACTTCATATTATGTTAACCCTACGTTAAGTCATCTCTGCGGCTTTGCCACACATAAAGTATTGCATCCCCATCTAGTGCTCAATTAAACATACAGACAAGAGTAGCTTTAGCTACCCAAGGCCAAGCGGCCCCGCATATTACTCCCTACTTACTGGGGGTAATTTAAAACGTCAGGTCACAGTAACTTTTATATGCTGTATTAAATACAGAATATTTAATAAAAAAAAAGTGAAATTATACGTATGGAACTGAAAATTGCTCTCATAAATATATTTAAGAATCAAAAACAGATCAAAGGATTTCGAGAGAATTTTGCAATAGGTCTAGTGCTTGCTGAATCTGTCGTTCAGCTTCACTTTTCTCCTATAAAAACATGAAAAATCTATGAACATTCTAGATATGCCTTCCCTCTAACAATATCAATCCGTTATAAACGGACGCGATATTTGTTAATAATCAAGTTCTAACTTTTAATTGTAGATATTAAGTATTGTTTTACAACAAAGTCTATACTATTAAATAATATAATATGTCGGAGTTATAACAAATTCGTTGCTTTTAAAAATAAAAACTGACTTCTCGACTATCGTCAGAATCTCGGGGTATTGAAGTTAACCTTATAGACGGTTTGACTAATCCCTTTCTTCGAAGAGGTCCGATCCCTGCAATGACTCCAGCGAGATTGTTTTAGTCTGTACCCTCGCCTCTATTTATTCCAACCAACACTCATTGATGTGACTGAACCTGAACAGGTGGCTATGCGGGTGACACTTGAAAATAACGTTAACAAACCCCTTAATTATATATTCATTATTCAAAGTAGAAACTCGATTATCCGGCCCTCAGTTATACGGATTCGCGATTATCCGGACTACTGAAAAATTACTTGAAATAACTACAACTTACAAGTCGTATTCGCTATTGAAAAGAAGAAAATGTATCTTTTAATTATTTATTAACAAACATTGATTTTCGTTGATAGGTATTTGTTATTTTTTTTAAATAAACATATAATATGATATACTACACATGCACAAAACCGGATTTTCTTCATACATTCGATTATCCGGATTTTCGATTATCCGAATGCCTATCGACAACAATAATTAGTTCGGTTAATCGAGTTCCTACTGTTATAGGAATTGCACCAATATGAAACAAAAATATAACATTAATAAGGAATTGGATCAGTATTATGAGAGGTATAGAAGCAATACTGTAATAATTCATGAAATAAATCTTTAAGCTAAAAAAATTATTCATATATACGTGATCTGTAACGAACGATATCTCCAGAAAAATGCTATTGCCTTTTTCCACAAACTTAATTATATAAAATCACATCTATCATAATATATCAAAAGATCTAATTTGTATAATATTCAGATTCACACAAAGAAATAGACGTCATATATACTAGACACCTTGAGACTGTTATGGGACATTCCGCAAATACAAGCATTCTTTGTAATAAATAAGGAAAACTCAATAGTTTTGTTTACATTTTTGTTTTTACCGTTAAGGAGTCTCCTTCCTTCTGTCCTTCGAAGAATTCACAGAATGTCTAAGAGCAATTTAGTAATAAAGAGCAAAAATATTTTGAGTTATTAATTTGGAGATATAGGTTTTATAAATAAAAATATATATTTTTGTTAAGTTTTCTTTTTATTCGATGATAATTTAGCTTCTATTAATTTAACCCAATTTTCATATTCAACATTGTCTTCCTCTTTAATTTCGGAACAAAACTGATCTATATCTTCCTCTGTGGGTTCTTCTTCTTGAGGTTCTGTTACTTTTTTATTTTTTTTCTTTGGAACATTTAAAGGCACTTCCTGAGCTTCATTGTCGTCATTAAATATAATCTTTTTATTTTGTGTTACATTATCCGCTAAAGGTTTATTTGGTTTTTTGCGACCCTTCTTTTTCTTCAAAGTTTTATCTTCTGTATTCGATGTAATTTCTTTATTACCTGAAATTCTTTGTTGTACTGAGTCTTCGCCGTTTTCAGATGAATCATGTTTATTGTCTAAAACCGGCCCATCTAAATTTGGTTTTTTTATTTCACTACCACTTTCTTCTTTATTTTCTGACTTAGATCTTTTACCCATAATTCTGTAAAAGAAAAAAAGAATAACTGAATTTTTATTAAAGAAATGTATAAGTAAAAAATTATTCCTATAATCGAGGATCTTTTAGATATATTAAAACTTTAATATGAAATCATAAACATATATAAATAAAAATTATTGAGAATAGTTTTCAGTTGATTGATTTTTTAAAAAGGTATTTTATTCCTTCGATATATGTGACTTTCCGTTATGTATAAAAAATGTAGAAAAGATTAACCCAAAATTCGATAAATATACTATTCAGATAATAGTCCTGAGCTAATTATTTCAGCTACAACTTTAGTTCACAGGGACGTCACTATTGAGTAACGTATAAAGAAAGAACATATTGAAACGACATCTAATAGACTAATATGAAATACTAGCTGCGCCCCGCGGTGTTACCCGCGGATTTCCGGGATTTCCGAGATTTCCGGGATGTAAAGTAGCCTATGTGTTATTCCTGGACGTCAGCTCCCTGTATACAAAATTTTATCAAAACCGGTTCAGTCGTTTGAACGTGAAGAAGTAACAAACATACACACACACTCACAAACTTTCGCAATTATATTATTAGTAGGATATTCTACCAAAATCCATAGATATTAAAATTTCACTATATCTAGAATTAAAATCACTATGATTAAGCAATGAAAAATTTGAAAGTAAGCCATCATGGCTGCGTTTATTACAAAAATAAATAAATTCTTCTCCGATTAAAACGAGCCCAAACACCGTCTGATAATAATCCTTTCACAAATGATTCTTACGGAATCGGTTCAAAAATAGCTCATTTTTAACATGTATATCAGGTCTAATAAAAGAAGAATTTTTTAATGTTTTTTTTTCATATAACAGTTTTGAATTAGGTAATTCGCAAAAACTAACATCATCCTATTTATGGCTCAAACTACTTCTTCTACCTGACAATTTCCCAGATATAGCCAGGGTCTGCCTTATATGTTGTGAATAGTTTTTTTGACTATTTCTTTTTACGACCGGCCGCCTGCCTGATATCAACCCTCTTTTGGTAATCAGCATTAATCAGTGATGTCTCAATACTCTTAGAAAGTACATATGACTCGGAAAATCACATATGGCTCAAACTACTGTAAAACCAAAAAAATGTCAAATTATACATGTTATTGCGTGGTGCCGATTGTTTTACTTTTGAAATTGTGTAATTTTATTTATATTATTATTTTACTCAAATAGGTTTGGAAAAAAATTCTTTGTTTATACAGCGGCAATGAAAGATTACAAACTTGGCTTGAGTATCCGCCTTCCAGTTAAACGAAATCAATCAATTAACGCTCAAGTTTCGGTCCACTAATAGAACAGATTTTTTAAAATTTCTACTGGATCTTGTTAGAACGCATTACGAATTGCAATTTCTAAAAACTTCATTAAAATGATTATGAATTATGTCGAAAAAGGATATATATTATGATATTTATAAACCACAGCAATGTTGTTTCATTACATTTTCCAGCTTTAATTAGGACAATGTTTCTGATTTCATAATAATGATAGACATTTTAATACGATAGAATTCTTTTTACATATCTATTTGAAAAGTTTAGTTTGAGTTTTGGCTACATTCAAGTTTTTTCCACTCATAAATATAAACAGAATGAAGAACGAGAGAACAGTATGAGGATAATTCACTGATAAGATCAAATTTATTTCTTAGCTAGCAATGATTAATGTTGTCACGGGTAATTTTGTAATAAGCGAATTAGCAATGACGTTTCCATTACATACAACTAAATAAGTATATAAACAATTGTTATGTATCGTTATTATTATTAGTCACCAGTAAAACACTTTATTAAAACCCGTTTGTAGATTATTATTTAGGTTTATTAATTTTCGGCTGTTATCGGAAGCCACTTATGGTAGTCGAGTGTTTTATTAACTCTATCCAATAAGTCACTGATACATGTGATTAACATATCGTTTGCTCTAGTTGATATGAAATATGAATTACAACTTATATTACGTAACACTGTTGACGCGTTGTAAGCGGACGGAGCGCTGCCGCGTCGTGCTGAGACGCGCGTAGACAGCCCTACCTCCCACTCCAGTCACACTGCACCGCAATTGACGGCCGCCGCAATCATTGAAACATCTTACATCCCGCCGCGTTAGTTTGTTCAACTCGCGAGATACTAAATATCATTTATAAATAATCTAACCTTTTTTTTTATTTCAAATATGTCGGACAAAGAGTATATTTTAGGAATGGATATTGGTACGACATCGGTAAAAGTTTGCGTTTACGATCCACTTACGAAGGAACTTGTAGCTAAACAGAGTAAGGATACGGCTGCTAATATCCCCAGTGATCTAGGGATCGAAGGCAACAAGCAGGACGTTCCGAAAATAGTATCCGCTGTTCATTACTGTGTCTCACGTCTCCCAAGAGATGTTCTGAGACATGTTAAAAAAATCGGTGTTTGTGGACAAATGCATGGAGTTGTGTTATGGAGAAATGGGTAAATATTAAAAAATTTAATGAGTGATGTAATTGACATTTATTTATCATTTAATATTTTTATTACAGAGCTTGGGAAAAGGTGGAAAAAGAGGGTGTCTTTATTAGATATGAAGGTAACAGAGAAAATATGTCAGCGTTATATACATGGCAAGATACCAGATGTAAACCAGAGTTTTTGGAAACATTACCGAAGCCCGATTCACATCTCCAATGTTATTCTGGTTATGGCTGTGCTACTCTACTGTGGATGCTTAAACATAAGCCGGAAAAACTAAAGAATTTCACATATTCAGCGACTGTACAAGATTTTGTTGTGGCTATGCTTTGTGGTCTCGATGTCCCAAAAACATCAGATCAGAATGCTGCCAGTTGGGGTTACTTCAATACAGAAAAAAATGAATGGAATATTGATATACTGAAATCTATTGATTTTCCTGTTAATCTTCTGCCAAAAGTGATAAGAAGTGGGGAAATAGCGGGTACATTAAGCTGTTGTTGGAATGGAATCCCAGAGGGTACTCCAGTGGGTGCAGCTATGGGAGACCTTCAATGTTCAATACTTGCCACACTTGAGAACAGACAAGATGCTGTTCTAAACATATCTACCTCAGCTCAACTCGCCTTTGTTGTTGACCAAATTAAAGATTTAGGTTGTACAACTATTGAGCACTTGCCATATTTTAATAATACATATCTAGTTGTTGCTGCGTCGTTAAACGGGGGTAATGTATTGGCTACTTTTGTCAAAATGTTACAACAATGGATGCTTGAATTTGGATTTCCGTTACCACAATCTAAAGTATGGGAAAAACTAATTGCACTCGGCCTGGATGCGTCTGATGGAACTAATATGAAAATTAGTCCACTTCTGTTAGGTGAAAGGCACTCACCAACAGCTAAAGCGGCTGTCGAAAATATAGATCTTTCAAATATTCAACTCGGTTATGTGTTTAAATCTCTCTGTAACAGTATTATTGATAATATCCATTGTATGATGCCAAAGAAGATTCTATTGGATGCGAATATAAAGAGGATAGTCGGCAATGGCTCTGGATTGTCAAGAAATGCTGTATTACAACAAGCTGTTGAGCATAACTACAGCTTGCCGTTAGAATTTACTTCTGGAGGAGATGCAGCCCGAGGGGCAGCTGTAGCTGTCCAAAATGCTTCATAAAATATAGAACAAACTGTGCTTTATAATTTAAATTGATTTATTCCTTTTATTTAAACTCAATAAATCTTTAAACATATATATTTCTATCATTATATTTTAAAATTCTTTATACCTTAAACACTGATAAAATATTTGCATTATTCTTTTTTGATTGAAAATAAACATTTACATTGTGGTAAACGGCAAGATATTGTGTAATTATGTAGAACTTGTTATTAAAGATTATTGAAAAATAAATTTATATATATAACCTATAACAATAAAACAGTCTTACCAAAAGGTCTAAAATAGTTGGACTTTGTTTTTTAATCACACGTACAGAATTTGTGATATGTTATTTGAACTCCAACACTAACATTCACAAATCACAACGAATTTCTCTCTGTTTAATAATATATTAACACTTGTTTTCTTTTGGCTACTTCCAAATATTTGCCTTTAAAAATCGTGGACGTACTATTGTGAGGCTGTTTTATATATTATCTGCATAATTATTTTTTAATATTTAATTTTCGATCTATTTATTCATATATGATTCCATTTTTTGTTAATAGTTTTCAACAGTAATTACTTAGCAATAGCAGTAATCAACATTAATATGAATAAATATTCCATAAGCAATGTAATTAAGGGCACTTTTCAATGTGTTCCTTATGACCTTCAACTTTGCTAGTAGAGAACTGACTTTGACAGTTATGCCGTGACCAGTGTGACACATGTCACCAGTTAGAAGTAAATTAGGTTTTGGTGTTAGTGTTTATTTTATGAATGCAAACATCTTTCCACTTAAAATTTTCGCTCTTTAATCAATTAGAAGATTTACATGTGTACTCATAATCGTATTTTATTACCATGAACCGGAATGTTATTTAAAGAGCTGCAACTATTAATATCAGGAATCTAATCAGAGGTTAGGTTTTGGGTTACTCTTTTAAAATGGCAAATACGAAAAAAAGTGATGATGTGGATATACCCAATGAGGAAGGAAACCTTTTGCAACCACCTACAGAAAAAAGTCCTACAACCCGAAACCCATTGATGAAAGTACGTACTTACGTGTTGGCACTTCGACCGTGGTCTCTTAGTGGAAGTCTGTTACCAACGCTTTTGGGAGCTGCTCTCGCGTATCGTCTACCCGGAGAAAGCGGATTTAATTGGGTCACATTACTTATAACACTGTGCACTGTTATTCCCGTACATGGCGCCGGAAATGTCGTCAATACCTATTTCGATTTTGTCAAAGGAATAGATAATCGAAAATCGGATGACAGAACACTTGTTGATCATATTTTAAGTAAAGATGAAGTTGTTTCTTTGGGAGCTATACTGTATATGGCTGGTTGTGCATTTTTTGTGCTTTTAGTGGTTCTATCTCCTGCTAGAATGGAACATCTAGCTTTGGTATACTTTGGAGGCCTATCATCGTCTTTTTTATATACTGGTGGAATTGGTTTAAAGTACATTGCTCTCGGTGATATAATAGTGTTAGTAATATTTGGCCCTGTATCTGTGGTGTTTGCTTTTCTGGCACAAACAGGAAGAGTTGATTGGCCAATAATTTACTATGCAATCCCTCTGGCTTTAAACACTGAAGCTATTTTACACAGCAACAATACTAGAGATTTGGAGGCGGATAGTAAAGCAGAGATTGTGACTTTGGCCATACTGATTGGTAGGACAGCATCATACCTGTTATATGCCTTCCTACTCTTTACACCATATATAATGTTTGTTGTGGCATCAGTCCGCTGCTCACTATGGTTTTTACTTCCAATGCTCACATTGCCTCGAGCTTTTGAAATTGAAAGGAGGTTTAGGAAATCGGAAACTATGCAATATGTTCCAAGACAAACGGCAAGACTTAATTTCTATTTTGGTATGCTTTATGTGATATCTTGCTTGTTTGCTAACAAACTACCATTTCTTTTAAGATAATATTTATATTGTATAATTTAAGCAGATTTATGTACTTAATGAAGTTAGAATCTATATAAATTGTTAGTTTTTTGATGAGCTTTGATATTTTTACTTAAGGACATCATGTTTAGAAACTGGTGATTGTAATGCTCAAACCATAATCACATGTCTAATTCTATTTGTTTAGAGAATATTCTGAAAATGGCAGCTATTGTTTATAAATTGATATTTAAAAATATATTTATATTCAAATTGATTTGTTCTACATTTAAATTTGTGAACATATCATAACAGTTCATTTCAATGAGGCTGTAACATATATAAAATACTAGTTTTTGCCCGCGACTTCGTCCGCGTTAATTTCGTCATTAGTAATATACATATAGCTGACCGGGCAAATTCTATTCCGTCTTCGATAACCCGGTATTGGTATTTATTAAATTTCTATTGTTTCAATCGAACAGAATGATTGACATCTTAGTTAGTTGTCAAGTCTAATGTCAAAAAATCGTTTGTATGGGAAATAGAAAAGGGCTGTTTTTAGGATTTTTCCGGCAATTTTTCTCACCTTTTAAACCTTCCCTGGACTTCCAGGAGTATTTCAAGACTAAAATTAGCCCAATCGGTTCCGCCGTTCTCGAGTTTTAGCGAGACTAAGGAACAGCAATCCATTTTTATATATATAGAAGATATTGAACTCTCTTGATGAAGGTTATTGATAACTAATATTAGCTCCTTGCTATTATACTTATGTAAATGTACAGAAGTTTCATTCATAAATAAAAATGTTATTTCTAGTGTTCTGTTTTGTCACAACTACCAAATCTTGGCATGTCTTAGTTTTACCTGTTAAAATCTCAAATGCTACCTCATCGCTCTGATGGGCAAATAACAAGCTTTGGATGTTTTTTGTAACTCGTTCTTAGATTTTAATTGTACTGTATTCTCATGTATTCGAGTCAATCAAATTGTTAATGTATATTTGACAATAAATATATTATGAACTTTAAATATTAAGAGGAATAAATAGTTAATAATATTTACACAGACTTTTATTCGATTGATAATTGAAAATAAATAAGAATGTTTTATCATACTTTATTGACATTAACATAAGTCTATAATACAATTTTTATCTTTATAATATATAAGATAAATATTAGTCAAATTATAGTACAATGAGACCATGTAATTTGAAAGAAGTATATAATTTAGGAATGCCATTCTATATTACTAAATTGATAAAGTTGGCAGTGACAGGAAAGAAATTGAATTACATTGAAAAATAATTTTAAATCTCATAGCATTTCAAAATATTGAGCTTAACAGTTGGCCTTGATTTCAAACCCCACTAAGACTATTACATACATATATTAGATTATGGTTATTGAAATGCAGTATGATTATTATTGTATTGACTAAAATATAATGAAACTATCAATAAAGGAACAAAATCACATCGTCAATATTAGAAAATATAAGAGATATTAAAAATAACAGCTAACAAAAACTAGATTTCTCTTAAGAAAACAAGAATTTATCAGTGTTTGTGTATTTAAAGACTAGAATAAGACAATAAATTTAAAATAACTCGAGGATGGGTAGTTATAATATGGCTATAATTAACTAATAATCTTATCCGTAAAAATTAAACTCACACTAGTGGCCTTTAAGATAAGTTTCATGTAATCTAAGGTTAAACATATGTTTGTTTATATTTTAAAAACAAGAAAGTTGAAATTGCCTTGATTGAGGAATAATGAAAGTTTTAATAGCGTTATTATAATTCATTACACCAGTTCTTGATGGAGATACATTTTATATGTTTGTTCTAAGGTTTTTTTAATAATATTAATTAGTTTATGTATTGTACAGTTATAGTCTAATTTGACACCTTTTGTATGCATGAACACCAATAAATTCTTGAATTCTTTAGAATATATGTATACATTCATGGGTACTTACTTCATAAAATAATTCATACTACTTCCATTTTTTACATATATATTTGTTTTAAACATTAAAGGAGATACCTACATTTTGTAAATTTAGTGTCATTATTTAAACATGCATAAAGTTCAAAAGAAATATGTTATTATATTTTAACACATCAACTACTGTTTCATTGCACACAGAATAAAGGCAGTTAAATTAGAATTATACCTAAAAAAAGATTTGGTGGTATGCTTTAGGCCTCTATACTTTTATTTATGAGATTAATTTTAATAGACGGGAAATTCATGAAATTGAATTCTTTCAAATCTTCTATGTTAATAAAGCTAACAATAAAATGTGGTTTCTTTCCAAATAGTTATGTAACACATGCCTATAACCTGTCAGATTGACAGAATTCGATTTTTAAAGTTGGAAAATATAAGATGGTACAATTTAACTAATAGCATGCTCGCATAACAATTTAATAACTCTGAGCTTTTAATACAACGTTCGATGAGCTCTGAGCGTGCTACATACTTAAAGTATCATCCATCGGGACAATAGTCCAGCCGCTGGATACACCCAGCATTAGTCTTTATATATAACATATATAATGTATGACATGTTACGTCGTACATTGGAAACATCAGACTTAGCTTTGGCTGTAGGTTTAGGATGTCGATCCTTTCTTGTCGCGTTGCCATTGATATATCCTTTCTTTGAGTTCCGTTGCTGAAAAATTATACATATTTTTTGATTAATTTATGATTACACTTTAAGTTTTCTTATATAATTAGAAACAAAATGCTACCAATAGTATACTTTAATATTCGATAGTGTTACTGAATTTGTTATTTTTTGTGACCTTTTTTATGTACACGCAACTTATTTTTAGTTCTCTTCATAAGTAATCTAAATATAGGTACATATTATTTTTCAATTCTACATATGATAAGCCATTTTGTGAACATATTGTCGCTGAAGAACAAATCTTTAAACCTTATGTATATGGCAAACTATTATTATTATTAAATTTAAGTTTAAAAACAACTTGTAACATATGAACAAATAATATTGGTGGCAAAAGTGTAAACTAAACACATATCAAAATTGTTATCTGAGTTATATAAATTAATTTTAATTGTGACATCTTAAAAAGTTGATTTAATTCTCTCCAATAAAGCATGTTTATTACATATATCGGGTTTTTATTATAAAATTTTATGTATTCATGAATAGATCTATCACTATAGTCTGCTTATTGTTTAATATCTTGGAATATTTTCCATATACATAAAATAATGTTTTACCTGGACGCAACTGGTCCTCAGTGAGAGGTTGTCTGTTGAAAGGGTCGGTGGCGCTGTTAAGTAAATGGCGGAGAATCACCGAACGATCCATTACCTAAACAAACAAACAATTATCAATATTTGGAATCGTCACACTGACTTTTAATAGACGCTTTACTATAGTTTAGTATCAAGTATAGAAATGTGTTCTATTGTATGAATTTAATATAAAATATTAAACAATAAAATAAATAATAATAAAAGTTATTTAAAAAAAAATTTTTTTCTGGTGTAGTACGTATTTGAGCGTCTGATATTGAACATTTATATGAAACTAATATTTTCGGATTTCTACTCGTTATTTCATTATTTTTAAAAAACTACATACTCCGTAATCATGGACAGAGGCGATGAAGTTGTTGCAAAAGTAATCAAAACGACGGGAGTATGTAGTTTAAAAAAAAAAAAAATAACGCGTAGTAATCGGAAAATATTAATTCAATTTATATGAATACTGACGAAATTTTAGATCTCATTATATTGTACATTACCTTTCCAGAAGGTAAGGTGACGGGGTCAGTCATGAGGGTATCCATTAGAGGATCTCTGAATTCTTCGGGTGCGTCCGCGAATTCATCACTTCTCTGCTGATTTGATACTGAAAATTAACATAACATTTGAGTCTTTAATATCAGACATTATATTCATGTATATTTTATATTACAAGACGGAAATTATGCATTTAAATAATTGTTTGTTAATCAATCTCATATACTTACTAAGAAACAAAGATTACAGTAACCATCAAGAATACGAAACATAGCACTTTCGGTAATTAAATAATACCTATAAGGAAAGTTATTAAAAAAAGAAATTATTGGTCTATTATTTTATATATACACTATAGCGTATAGGATTAAAGTATTTTATATGAGATGTTTGAAGAGAGGTTTTTAGTCGAAAAAACATACTTCTAATGATGTTTTTATATACTATAAAATATATTTGTATAAACTCACCAGCAATCTGGTACGCGTTGTCAGCGAGTGTCCTGAACCGTTCTATCTCTGAGGGCGTCTTAATGTATGACTTGGCGAGACGAACGGCTGCTTCATCAAACAACTCCTTACGGAAAGATCTCTGGAAGATACATTGATGTTCATTATCATAACATGTTTAGTGATATTTTCAAAATATAAGTATATAGAGAGAAATAAATTTCCATAAATATAGTGTTGTATGAAAATAAAAAAAAATGACTTTTTGATAATGTATGACTTAAACTGTATGAAAATTAGAAACATAAAATCCTTTGTTTTATTAAGAAGTCTGATGATCTTGATGTAATTTTCATTCGAAGTCATATAAAAGGAAAATAATATATGTATTAATAAAATTATTTAGCGACTGATTTAATAAATTTGGGAATCTTCTTTTTCGATGTTGGTAACATTGATACGAGTATAAGTAATTAGTCCAGAATAAATTTTTTATGTAGGTTAATATTAATATAGTTATTAAGTCCACCTCGTCAGCGGCTAGCGCGGCGTGGAACTGCGGTGAGTCAAGATGAAGGTAGATGTCAACTAGCTGACTGAGTAGCCGCCGGGGCTCCCATCCGTACTTCTCTGGCTGACGGACCTGGAAGCATACAAATATTATTAAAATATATAGATATTATATGTTTAAAATAACATACTAACCTAGTAGTTAGAGATAAATAATTATCTTTGTCTATTTCACCACATTTTGGTCTAACAATCAGTATTATATATGTAACAGACTATATCTAGCAATTGTCACTAATATTTAACACAAGTCACAGATTCTTACAGTATTGTTATCAATAATATTCAGAAAACAAGCTAAATTTATATATAGGTACTAATAATTGGTTCTTCAGTAAGTCCATGCAAAATATTACCTTGAGATTATTGCATTTAGGTCCGCAGAGTTGTTGTAGATTAAAGTTGAGCATGGACGCCAGTCTATCAACGAGCTCGGCTCGTAAGAAAGGCTCCTTGATGTCAACGGTGAGGTACTCGAGCATGTCAACTGTTTCTCGAGCCAGCGTGAGGTATGAACGACACTGGCGCTCGTCCTGCGCGAGTGCTCGAGTTCGAGCCTCACTTGAACTGCCGCTGCTGCTCGAGCCTTCAGCCTCAGCTTCTTGAGCTTCGTGGATACGTTTGAGATACTGAAATATGAAAATTAGAACCAATTATGAGAAACGTGGGACGTATAGCTGACTTTATAAAAATAATTTCTTTAAAAAATCATTGAAAATTTGTTAATGAAATATTTTAGAGTTATTTGTATAATATACTGATATATTATCAAAATGTTTACCAACCGTCAGACATTCGTCGAGTAGGAATGTAGTGTCATTCATGAGCATGTTGATAAACTTGACGAACTGTCGACCAGAACGAGATTCTTTGACGATGGCCTGGAAATTAAAAAGGATACATTTTATTAAATACTTTATTTGTTAATGTTACTTAATATAATAATATACAAACAAAAGCTATACCGTATCGGGTCAAATGCTATGAAACTTCTTTTTGAGCAACAATTACTAAAAGTACAACAGAGAGTTGGTGGACTATGATTCGTTTAAATAATTTATTACGAATTAAGCATAAATATGCCTTCATTTTATATAACGGATATCACACACCCAAAGTATATAAAAAAGAATAGTACCCTAAAAAAAGGATAATAATTTTAAAACATGTATGTTTAATGTTTATACAAAAATGGACCCACCTGTTTATGTATGGGTCTGTCCCACATTCCTTTAAGTATGATGCTAATGTGGAATCTGATAGTGAACTTGTCATAGAACTCAGTGCTCTGGCCCGTTGTTTCGATATCAGTGTAGAATTTCATGAGAGCACTCGGTAATGCTGTCTGGGACATTGGATGGTCCATGAATTTCTCATATACATTCTTCAATTTCATCGGCAGGGACAGATTGATGACGAATAACACTTCCACGATTTTTGCGACCAAGTATGGGTTCTTAATGAGATGGGAATTACAGATGGCGCTCAGAAGCCACGTCACTATCGGGTCTTCTATGTGGTAGGCTACCGTTTGTGGCACATATCTGTAATGTACATGGAATTTATAAACAATATATTTAATATGAAACTAAATACATGAGAGAAGGTTGATGAAGTCATATGACTAAGTTATGGAGTTAACACAATTTTATTAACTTTGTTTATCAATCTATAAATTGCACTTTACTCTCTGTTAATATAGTAATGATTTAATTAAAGCAAATAACTACATATTTTACAAATCCTAATAATCATTATTCTTACACAAGTTTACAATATCACACTTCATACACATTCCAGGTTTTCATTTACAACCCTTCACAAAACATAATATATACATAGGTACCAAAGAAATTTTGGAAACGCAATATATACAGCGTGTTTCTAACTAGTGTCAAAGGTACTACTCTCATTGTGTGTGTGTGTGTGTGTGTGTGTGTGTGTGTGTGTGTGTGTGTGTGTGTGTGAGCGTGTGGCAATGCACTAGTTTTATATCGTATATTATAAATGTATGTACTCACTGGACAGCGAACAGCATGAATTCAGCGATGTCCTCCACATACCACTCAGGCAGAGCTCGGAAGGCGTGTGCGGGCGAGGCGAGCGGCGTGCAGGGACCCGTGGCCGCGGCCGCCTGCAGCTGGCGGACCAGCAGCGAGCATACGGATGAATAGAACTGAACGCCGCGCCGCATCAGCTCCGGGTCTAGCAGGGCTGTCTCCGCACACTGCTTGGAACTATTTACAGGGATTCACGTTATATAATAATATATTATCATCATCATCCTATCAGAGCCCACTGCTGAGCAAAGGCTTCTTTCTCACATGGAGAAGGTTTGAGCATTAATCACCACGCTTGCTCAAGACGGGTTGGTGATTTCAAACTTATAATTGTGAAACTATAAGTCCAGGTTTTCTCACGATGTTTTCCTTCACCGTATGTCAGTGGTGTCTAAATACTCTTAGAAAGTACATATGACTCCGTTAAATCACATTGGTACTTGCCAGGTTTGAACCCGCGCCCTCGGCAAAAAGAGGCGGAACCATTACGCACTAGGCCACCACTGACTAATAATATATGTATAGACTTATATTACATAGCAGTTGTGATGCTATCATATCAAACTAATTATGTACTTTGGATTTAGTTAAGGTATTTTTAATATTCTACATTATATTCCATGTTCATATGGGTTATAAAAAATATAGTTTTATTTAACCTAGTGTATAAACGTAATTATGATTTAAATAAAGAATTCATTAGTTTTATCAATTTTAGTCACTTTGGTTCAGCTAAAAATTAACACATTGAGACCAGAAAAAAAAGGAATTGTAAATTAGTAAATAACTCATGTATCCCATTCGTTTGCTTGAGTTTTTTTTTTAAACCGTACATAAAAACTAAGATTGGAAGAAATATAGAAAAAAAATCTTAACTTACATTTTAACCATTTTTTTAATTCGATATCACGTTTTTCATCAAAGTTACAGCCATTTTAAAAGACGGTTTCAATAATATTTCTTTTTTATCTCATATATATAAATGTTATAATAAGATCATTATATATGTACCGGTGTAGCCTCTTGATCTGTCTCCTCCATCGTCGCAGTAGTTCCCTGTTCCTCAGCGCCGAGAAGCTGTTCCTCCACTGAGGCTCAGCAGCCATCAGCTCCTCGATCACCTTCTGAAGATCTCGGAAAGCACTGAACAAATATAATTAGTCTTACTTAACAATCAATTTGAGTAATATTTTTTAGATACCGCCATGCAAAGGAAAAATATTCCATTTTCAAATTGTATCTGTAGATGTTGGTTCAAAGAAATCAGATTATTTTCAAATTGGAATACTTTTATATAACATTAAAACTTTTATTTTATAAACTGGATAGGCTTATGTAAATAGTGTATAATAGCAAGAAATATTTATCAATTATGATGTCTTTATAAGTAATTCATGTGGGATTACTTTTAAAGTCTTTTGCATGAGTAAAGTTATCAACTTTTCGAGAATTTAAATAAATTTGATAGAAATTAATGAGATCAAGGTATTCATTGCAGTGACGTCATACCGTATGCGTCTCTGGTGCGTGTGGAGCGCGGGTATGAGCGCCACGTGATGCATGTGGAGTGTCAGGAACCAACATACAGTCTGAAACTTCGCTTCCGGCCATTCGTGGTTTGGATCGTTGTCTATGGAATAAAATTATATAATTATCTATGGATACTAATTCTTACAAATGTTAATGATATTTAGTAATATAGGATATTATATAGTAATACGGGTTTGCACCTAGTACAGGGGCCCTTGCAACTTGATTGTTATGTTATCCTTGAGTCAATAAAGTTTATTTTATTTTTTTATTTTCCGAAAATATCAAATAGAATATAATTAATAAATTATAATTTAATGTATACAGGGTGTATGAAAAACTGTGTCAACCCTCTTAACTACGTTATCAGTATCGATAATGTAACACAATAAAACAACTTACATTTACAAACTCTTCAATAAAAATAATAAAATTAAATATTAAATGATTATTATATGTAGAGTAATAAAATGTTTGTAAACCCTGGTATAACACGATGACACGCAATGACGTCATCACAGCTGCTGCGCTACTAGTGACGACCTTGAAGTTACTTTCACATTATTGAAAATATCGATATTTAAAAAATCATAATAATAAATAAATATTTAATATTCATATTATTTCGATACTTATTTTGATATATCAAACATTATTATTATGTTTGATTGTAAAACACCATTTTTAACTGAAATAGATTAACGATTTATCCTAATAATACAACATATGTAGTTAATTTACCTGAACAAGTTTCAAATTATAATATTTATTATTAATAAAAGTTATTTTAAATGAAATTATTTTAATATGAAAAGCATAACTATTTATAGCAATATTGAAAATGTCGATAGAATATTTATCGATATAACAAAATAGTAATAATAACGCCGGCGGCCCGTCGCCTGCGGTCAATGGTCACGCATGCGCCGTTGCAACTATACGGTGTCTTGACCTTGTATGAGTCAGATGTTTGGTACATTTTTTCAAATAATGACGATTTAAAACTTATTTAGCCTATACACTGTAACTGACCTCTGCTTGATATTTTTTAAGTTATACTATTTTTTATAATAAGCTTATACTTATATGTATAAGTGCCTTCAAGGGTTGACACAGTTTTTCATACACCCTGTATAATAAAATGAATGAATATTAGAGAACATTTTATATTGACATTGCATTCATACCCATAAATTTTAGAGCTTGTGATCGCCTTACAATATTTTGCACAGCTCATAAGGCGTAATTCTTTAGGGTAAGTTCACATAAGTATATAAATAAGGCAGTGTACTCACTAAGAGCGTCCTGCCACTCCTGCGCCTCCTGAGCCGTGAAGTAAAGGCGTGTTTCATCCCTCACGTTATACCAGGTGTCAGGTTGGAAGGTATATAACTCATACACGCGATCCATTTTGATACGCACCGACAGTAATTGCAGAACCGAGCAAACGTTCAACATGAAACCGTCGCCTGAAAATTATTAATATAGCATTATAATAAGTGATGTCAGCTGTTATAATGAATTACTATAATTATCTAAATTTCAATATTAATGTTTACTTTCTTAAAATATATCGCACATCGCTACTACAATACTTTTTTGCAAAACTGTTTAAAGTAAATTCACTTCGAATCTTTAATGCATAGTAATGTAATTTACTTATCTCACCAAAAACATGTCTGTTAAAAAGGGGGCCAAGTTCCAATCGGCTAATTGTTTGCCTAAAAAAGGGGTGAAATCCAATCTAATGCCAAGTTTAGATGCACTTTGAAATCGATCATAATCATCTTCATCAACAGCATGATCCACTGGTAAACATTTGCCATTCCCAAGACTCGCCACCACACCCAGTCCTCTGCCTTCCACATCCAGCCACTACCCGCCACCTCATTCAGGTCAACGGTCCATCTGGCCGAAATTCACTTTACCATACACCCAACTTAAAATATGGTATAGTTGTGAAAATACGTAGGTGCTTGGTTAAAAATATCTAAAATTAAAATACTTCTCAATTTGAACTTGGCAGGTTTTTGTGCTGTACGTAACACTTAATTAATTGTATCATTAATTTATTATTTAGTTATATAATTATTTATATTTATATAATTTAAATATTATATAATTTAAATAATTAAATTAACCTGCCAAGTTCAAATTTAGAAGTATTTTAATTTTAGATATTTTTAACCAAGCACCTACGTATTTTCACAACTATACCATATTTTAAGTTGGGTGTATGGTAAAGTGAATTTCGGTCAGATGGACCGTTGACGTGAATAAGGTGGCGGGTAGTGGCTGGATGTGGAAGGCAGAGGACTGGGTGTGGTGGCGAGTCTTGGGAATGGCAAATGTTTACCAGTGGATCATGCTGTTGATGAAGATGATTATGATCGATTTCAAAGTGCATCTAAACTTGGCATTAGATTGGATTTCACCCCTTTTTTAGGCAAACAATTAGCCGATTGGAACTTGGCCCCCTTTTTAACAGACATGTTTTTGGTGAGATTTCAATACTTTTTTTCAAGAAATCGTACATACAATCGTACTATACAGCCGTACAATGCATAACTTACAGCATGAAACATACAGCTACTATCTGATGGCATAGGAATTACCCTATGTGGTATATCTCCGCCAACCACCGAAAGATGTACAATTTCCATCGTTGGTAAATGAATAGTAGAAAAGAAATAGAGTGAATTTGTGCTTTTAACACACACAAGTAATCAATCAATAAGCAATATCAAAATTAATCCTTTAGCAAGTCAAATCAGTGATCCATTTAATCGTAATCGTAACCATATATAAGATATCAAGACGTAAGTGTAGAAAGAAATAGAAAGAAATGACCATCGATTCCTTATCGACTTTCATTCATATATACTGCAGACAAAACAATATCGCGATTCAATTATACCGCTAGCGCCATCTATCGAAAGTAATTTATAACAATAGAAACCTGATATTTTAGGTAAGCAATATTTAATTATGTTATACAGTGTGCATTATGTATACATGACAATATTTTATATCCCTTATATATATCAGTTCTTAAGAAGCGCCCCACACTTTTTTCACAATAATATTAATTTAAATATAAATTAACAAACAATAAATGGTATTTTTGTGAAAAAAAAAGCGTGATGAGCTTAATATATCACTTCTTGAGAAGCGCCCCACGCTTTTTTTTCAATAATACCATTTATTGTTTATTTTAAACAATTTAAATTAAATTGATTTCCAAGGTTGTAAAGGTTAAATTAATTTCCACGCGGTTTCTTTCATCATTGGAGCGTATTTTTTAGTTTTTTTTAAACTATATTTATTTTTTATTTTTTAGTTTCATTTATCACCGATTGATAGATGTACTCATATTATTAATTATTAATATTTCATTATTATGTATTTTATTGTGCTGAGCTGAGCGCCTATATAAAGGTTTTGATTACCTGTCAGTGAGTCAGTGCCAAAATTAGCTATTTTCACAGGGTCATATTTCAGGATCTACTAAAGCTTTATCTATGAAATTTGGCATACTGCTTTAGGACTAGTATATGATTACGTAGGTACAATTTTATCTCTGTACTAGCAATAGGCACTGAGCTACAGGGGGGTCAAAAGTGGGTCGAAACGGTTCGTGTAAATATAGTGCACGGCATGCGCCGGCCTGTGGAACTTGGCCGGCGCACTACCGTGCGCTTAGATATAGAATAGCTTTCCGCCCGCAGCTTCGCCCGCGTAGAGTTCAGTTATATAGTGTTTCCAAGAAACCTTTCAGAAGTCTGGGATAAAAACTATCCTGTGTTCTTTCTCAAGGTCAACTCTGTCTGTACCAAATTTCATTAAAATCAGTTCAGTGGTTTAGGCGTGAAAGCGTAACAGACAGACAGACAGAGTTACTTTCGTATTTATAATATTAGTAGGGATAAAAATTGTATGTACCAGCCAGGGAACGTTCATCTGTTTGTAGTTGTGCTCTTCGTTCGTTCCTCTGTAGTAATGTTGCGAAGTAGTTAAGGAAGGGTTCCCTCGCGTCGGGACATAGTAGGATGTTGTGGCAGATGTTGTGGAGTGTGTTCCGACTGGCTTCAACCTCACGCTGCAGAGCGAAAGACAGGCTCTGGTCAGTGCCCGCGAACATCCTCTCAGCGAAACGGGGATTTTCTTCAGCGAACAGGGATATCTGGAAATCGTATTAATAGACAAAAATTAATATATGTATATATTTTTTATATTGTCTTCTAGATTCTGGGATGGAATTTTTTGAGATAGTTATTAGTTATGTCCAAATACGAAAACATCTTTGTTGATGATCTGAACCATAATTGTAGTTTTATTTACTTATAGGACAACATACAGTTTATGTTACAATAAACTATTTCGTAAATTTAAAATAATTTGCCAGAACAGTTTTCACAGTTATTTTAGCATGGAGTTTATAAGAAATGCCTTACGTTAGAGAAAAATAAGATATTTATTATAACTTTGCTTCTAATTAAGTCGAATTGATCAAAATGTATCTTTGAAGTATTAGATTATTATCTTCATTATCATGTTTACTATAAATTATAATACATACCGCAAAGAAGGGTCCAAGAAAACTGACTCTGGCGATTTCTCGTCCTGGTGCTGTTGTAACTGATGGTGGGCATAACGAGGGTAGTCGAGCAAGTAACGCACACACCGGGCGGGCCGCGTGGCGTGGGGGAGCGCGCAACTCACATAAAGCACGTAGGGCCCTTAGCGGGGCGCCGTGACCCCGGCCTACTAAAGGCGAGACACACCGACGCATCTCCTCACGAACACCCATAAGCAACGGCACGAATACCTGCAGCAGAAACGTTAAATACAACACCCTGTATCACTATCATGTTTTCATTATACAGGGTGGAGACTGTAAAATATAAAACCTCTTAACCACTTAAGATTTTTTAATATTTAACTTCGTCTACATCGGATTAAAGCATCATATTGCAATTTAAACAACTTCATCGTTACCGATTCTATAAAAAAATGAATCTAATTAGCTTCGTTATATATGTACATTCATCTTTAATGATAATAATAGAAAGAAAATCTTTAGAAATAAATAAAATTGAATTATCTTTTTGTAATTTCAAATTAACAACTTTCACTAAACGGATAATACAGTATATATGTTACGCACAATAAAAACGCATTTTCAAGAAGTAACCTAAGCTACTTTTCAACCGTATCCAAAAAAGAGAAAGTTGTCAATTCGGCTATATTTTTGTCACGCTGTTATTAGCCCATCGATTATGAAACACTCATTTTCAAAATGTATTTTAAATCGAAAGGGCGTTGTCCTTAGATAACTTCCATTATTCACAAGGATTAGATGAAGGAAACTTCTAGAAATGCAATTAAACCTTCTAAGAATAATCGCTATAAGATCGCGTATCTGAATGGAAATTTAATATATGAGCAAAGCCGTAGGCAAGAAGTAGTTTACAAAGGCGACGATGAATAGTGCGTGCAATACTTTCATTTTATTATTTTTCGGGTTATTGTGTAAATAAATAACAAACTGCAATTTAAATCAGTTTCATCAATTAATCCTTATGTTGATAGAAAGTAATCACACGGATTCTTTTTATCTCTGGCGTCTAAACAGTGCAAAAATAACTGGTATTAGTGTGTTTACAATGGCAGTAGGATAACGATGTCGTTGAACCCATGACGTAAGAAAAAATGCATATAAAACAAAACGTTATAAAAACATATCAAATAAACAATCTAGAAAGGTTTAGACAAGGAGAAATAGGTTTAGTTACACTTTAGTTCGAACCCTATTATCTGTTACTGACATTTAAGACATTTCTTTGACTAAAACTAGGTACAATTTGCATGAGAGGTTTCGTAAGCTATTTTCAATGAATCAATATGATAAAGAAAATTCCTTTATTGTTTTAATTATAGCTATATCAAGTTAATTCAAGTGATAGTTTATAGCATTTCATCTATCGCATGTCACATTACAGCCAGCTGCGGAGTAGGGATAAACTAAAAGGAGTTCAACGAAATAGTCAAGGTCCTATATTACGGCGACAATGTCTCGCATCATATGACTTTGCATTCTATATGTATTTTTATTCTTACAAGTGCTTCACGCTGTTTGCGTTTTGATCAGTAATATAAATAAATACTCTGCTCATTTTTTACACGCGTCTATTATCTTAGTTATTGTAATTATTACGTATCCTGTACTTTAACGAGCAGATTGATATAGTATTTATAGTTACATATATTGGCAAGTATAGAGTTTACATGACATAACACTTCTGCTTTGTTATTATTAAATTAAGATTTTACCCATGTACATAAAACTTTTAGGAACGTTCTAGAAAACTCTGATTTATATGAACCAGTTGCTACGAAGTCACCGAAACTTCGGAAGTATGTTGATTAACACTTAGTAAATCAGGAAAATCTTAGTCTTATTTATATTACTTTCACTGCACCCTTTTAGCTTTAGTGTTTAGAATATACGTCCACATTTAACAGTTTTGAGAATTAAGTGCCAGTGTTCTTTAGCTCAGACACGGAAACACGAGATTTGAGTGTTGATCTTATGTTGTTAAAAATAACTGAACGCGTAATAAATCCGAAAAATATTCGTTTTATTTCAATGAATATTTGCGAAAATCTTAGATTTCACTAAGTGAAAATAATATTTTGTTACACTGGTATGGACGAAAACTTGTTTATCAGGCTTTGTTATAAGGATTCAAAAAAATGATTACAGAAACGGTATTTAGAAAAAAACATTCTGCAGTTATTACCTCAGTGAGTAACACACACATATCCTTACAACAATAGAATATAGTGAAATCTTTTTCATAAAAACTAAGAGTTTAGGTTAATTTTGTGAACTCACCTCCTCAAAAGCTTCTTTATCCTGATATGTAGCTAAGAGAACTTCAGGTATAAGTCCGATTGGAGTGTTCCCAATCAAGAGGTAAGGTAACAGAGGTGATTTTCGACATTTCTCCAAATCATATTTCCCTCTCAGCACTAATACTAGATTGTTAACGAGCAGCGTTCGGAAACTTTGCAAAAGATCACTCAAAGGCGGTTCGGAGCTTTTCTTTGGATGGTCCCTTTCGTAAAGATTAATGTTATTGTAGAATTTCAGTATGTAACTGACTGCTAAACCTTGGGAAGGCATTGGTTTCTGAATGGGTAACGATGGTGTAGGACAGTCTGATTTGTTAGCATCCGCTTCGGAACCGAGATGTCCGCTCGTCAACAAATCATCTCCATCGCCACAGTCCTCACTCAACCTTTTTGTAGTTTCTGTTATAGCAATCAACTTCTGATTCAAAGGATCATTTCCGTCTATAATCTGACAAAGTGTGTCCATCAGTGCCTCAGATGCTATCTCCTCTAAACCTAGTTTGGGATTATCTAGTAGTGATGCTGCAACTGAAGGCACAAAAATGCCTCCTGAAATAAAATTAAAGTTAATTTTTCCAACCCCAACAAGAAAAAAAATATTAATTTAGAATGTTTCTCACCAGCACTGTCATCAGACCATGATACTTGTAATATTTTGGCAACAATATTCCTTAACTGTTCCTCTGTTAATTCTGTGCAACTTACAGTACGAGATCTTTGAATTTTACGAGCAGGAGATTGTGTTGAGTCATCTTCAACCTTAAATACAAAGAGAAATCTTTTAGAAAAAATGGATATTATTTCTAGTAGCTTCTTTAAATATTTTAATATGAATAATGTATATAAATATGATTATTTCAAAACTATAAGTACATCTCACACATCTTATTTGATGTGAATGTCTTCTTTAGACCAAACAATAAGGTAAATATAATGTATTAAACATTCTTATTATAAATTAGCCATTTGCAATCTCACTGTGCCAATAAGAGTTTTATCAAAGGCATCAAACATGTTATGATAAACAAGCATATTCATAAATATTACAGTCATTTATATAAATGATTAATACTGTATTACATGTTGAAATTGTAAACAACATGAATATATTCATAAATCTATATATAGTTCCATTAAAAGAATGCTATTTTTGATAAACAAGTTTGAACGCTTACCTCCATTGGTTCTTGTGTCTGTTCAGACTGTGAATTTCTCTCTGAAACATCATCAACTTCCATTGAAAGAGAGCGTCTTGAGCAACTTGGTGAGGCGTTGTGGGTTCTTGGTCTTACTGGCGGTGGTTCAACGAACTGTGCAGGTGAAATTGAACGGGATGTACTATCTTCTCTTGTTGAAGCACCTTCTGATCCACTGACAGTAGACTGGGGTAAAACTCGCACTGACCCACAGCTTAACAATGTGTCATCTCCCATCGAGTCAAAACTATTGTACTGCCGCGTTTGAGATAGGTCTGTCATTTTTGTATCTGGCATTTCATCTAATAAATTATTATCTGGCTTCTCTGTAACAATTAGACCATCGGCTGGTATTTTTGTTTGATCTGACACATCACTTTTGTTCTCTGCATAGTTTTGTTCTTTGTTTTTACTATCTGCATTTTCTGTAGAGCTACGTGGAGCTGGCGCTGGAGACAATCGTGACGGCGGACCTGGACTAAGAACATCTGGTGGAACTGATGCACCAGGTGTAATGGGAGGACTAGTTGGAACTGAAGAGCCCGTCCCTCCGAGGGCTGCGAGTCGAGCCAACCTCCGTCTACGTATCTGGAATGTAGTAAAAATTGTCACTAAGAACACACGTGTAAAATTTTACACTACCATCAAATCTAAACACCACGCACTAATGCTTTGTTTTGTTACGAAATTAGATTGGCAAACGCACAACACTACGGACTGTTTACGAAATACGACTCACCTCTTCTTGACTAAGTTCACTCATATTGGAAAGAAGATTCCAGGATTATATAAATTATGAATTGATTAGAATTTTTCTAAGAATTTAATTTTTCAGAATCGAATGAGACTGAACAAGGGAGCAAGCCACACAACGTCAAGCAGTGGGCTCAGCTGAGACGATTGGCTATTTGACGTTTACCTATGAGGTTTGTGAATAGATGACGAGAAAGTATTGAAAACACATGCGTCATCTTCAGTTTACCCAAACAAAGAATTGTAATCTGTGGTTAATTTGAAAAACAAATCAAAGTTTAGGAAGAAGTACATCAAAGTCAAAAAATATTTTTTATTTAAATTTTTAACGCTATATTTAAAGAAAACCACTACTTTCTAATTAAAACATATACTTCGAGAAATGCTGTTAAGAGCACGAATGGTATGTTATATTATTTTCATTCTACTCCAGTTTACTCTTAATTTGATATTAATAACAAAAATTATTTTATTTCATTCTTTTCTTTATAATCTCTACCTTTTTAGTAAAAACCGATTTTTTCAAATGAAAGAAATGTCAAAACTAAAATGTCAAAGATATCCTAATGGCCGCATGTTTATATTTTTAAGTGAATATTCAAAAAAAAAAAATAACAAGGAAGGATCTAAAAACTTTTTTATTTAAAAAAAAATTACCCTAAAATGTTTTTATGGTGGTCAGAATTTGAGAGATTAAAGTAAATACCGAAACAGTTTGTGAATAAGTGATGGCTTATATTGTTAGTACATAAAATACAAACAAATTCAAAATGACGAGCGGCCAAGTCTTTGATTTAATAGTTGGGCTGAAGTCCCGGCATACGGAAACAAGACATAAGGCGATACGGGAGCTATTACATTTTGCGAAAACCGATCTTCGGGAAATGTCACAGGATAATTTAACACAAACACTTGATGATTTCAATCAACAAATCCATGTATTAACTTCTAGTTATGATAATAACGAAAAGAAAGCAGGCATATTAATTATAGGTAACTTTCTATTAACACTAATATTTAAATTTGAATATTTAATATAGGTCATTCTATTTATATCATCACTCTTCTTACAGTTTGTCTTATAAGTGGTGATCAGGAGGTAAATAAAACGAGATTGACCCGTTATGCGCAATATCTAAGAAGCATATTTCCATCAAATGATGCAAACATTTTAGAACTAGCTGCTAAAACTATGGGCCGCATAGCAACTTGCCTTGGTATCAAAAGAGGTGAATATGTTGAATTCGAAATTAAAAGAGCTTTTGAATGGTTAGCAGAGGATAGAAATGAAAGCAAGAGGCTTTCGGCGTGTCTTATATTAAGAGAACTTGCTATAGCCATGCCATCAAATTTCTTTCAGCATATAAATGATTTTTTCAATTATATTATGATACCACTCCGTGACAGCAAAGAGTCTATTAGAGAAGCAGCTGGCAAGGCTTTGAGAGCAGCGTTTGTAGTGACTGCTCAGAGAGAACTACCAGAACAAAGTAATAAAGCACACTGGTACATTCAATGTTATGAGGAAGCGGTCTCTTCTTTTTCTGATCATTTATGCAGGGACAGAACTATTACCAGGGATGAACATGTTCATGGTGCCTTATTGATTTTAAATGAACTTCTCAGATGTTCCAATTCTGTATGGGAAAAGAAATACACAACCCTAATGCAAAAACTTGACTCTCAACAGGAGATATCAGATGAAATGTCAACATTTAATCCAAAAACACAAAATTCTTGGACTTATCAAAGTTGTTTGGAGGACAAGCAACAATCTTTTACTATCTATGAATCTTCAATTTGCAAAAAACTGGTATCAGAAAAATATGATCAGATATCAGTAGGTAAGATGTTTGAATATATGTATATAAAAAAAAATATCTTTTTTACAAAAGCCTATTTTATTTTAATTAATGAAAATAATAATTTCAGATGTGATGGCTCAACAGATTTCAAGATCTCATACTGTTCACCAAATGCTTTTGTTACTGATTCCAAGACTAGCAGCATTCAATAGAGATTCATTTGCAAAGAAACACCTCAAGTCTACCATCAATCATTTGATAACATTTTTGAGAGGGAGAGAGAGAGAAAAGGCAATGGCTTTTACAACCTTGGGATTAATATGTATTGCAGTGGAGGATGAAATACAACAGTATCTATCAAGAATCATTGAAATCATCAAACTAACATTACCTCTTAAAGATGTGCCAAAGAAAAAGAATGGTGCTGACAGTCCATTGTTCAGCTGTGTCACTTTACTGGGAATTGCAATGAAGGAAACCGTTTCCAATGAAATAAAAGACCTTTTAGACCCCATGTGTGTCACTGGACTTAGTCCTCAGTTGACAACTTGCTTTAAAGAGCTCAGCAAAAACGTGCCATCTTTAAGGAAAGAGATAACAGACAGGTTACTTAATATTTTGTCCTTAATTCTAAGGAAAAAGCCTTACATACCTTCAAATACTGAATCATCCTCAGTTGCGATGTTATCAACAGCTATGCTGGTAGAGCCTCATGATGCTGTGAAGTTAGTCTTAGCCTTGCATACTCTGGGATCATTCGACTTTGAATGGAACAATACTCTCATGTCGTTTATAAGAAGATGTACAGATTATTATCTGCAGTGTGAGCAGCAAGACATACGACTGGAGGCTGTGAAAACTATTGCAAGGCTTCTTATAAAAGCTATCGAAAGATCCTCAGTGACAAATTCGCGAACACTTAACTCATTAATCGACGAATCTATCGGGAAACTTTTATCAATCGGCCGGTCAGACTTCGATCATGAAATAAGATATAGAGTTTTTGAAATATTTACAAATCCCATTTTCGACAAATATCTCGCTGTAGAAGAGCACCTGAGTTGCCTCTTTATAGCTATTAATGATTCAAACAGTGATGTCAGTGAACTGGCGTTATGCGTTATTGGCAGATTGAGTAACATAAATCCCAGTTACACTACTCCAGCTTTGCGTCAATTGTTCGTTGAAATATTAATGGAAGTACAACACTCTGAGTCAGCTCGTACCAAAGAACAGTCTCTGAGAATGATAAATCACATAATATCTCATGCTCCCCGACTAACTCGACAGTTTGTTGATACCATATTAAAGGTGTTGGTCCCGAAACTTAAAGAAGAGAGTAATCCCAACATGATCACCATAATATTAAAGGCTATAGGTGATCTGGCGGAGGTGAACGGCGGTGGAAATGCTTTAAATCAGTGGTTGCCAGAATTGATGTCAATTCAACTCGAGATATTGTCGGATCCAAACCAGCCCGAGAAAAGAAGTGTTGCGCTCTGGTCATTCGGTCAGGTTATAAGCGCTATAGGTTACGTGGTGACGCCGTACACGGAATATCCAAGTCTGATGGATATGCTCTTAAACTTCTTTAAAACAGAACAAAATGCTAGAGATCGGAGGGAAACTATACGTGTTCTTGGATTGTTAGGAGCTCTGGATCCCTACAAACATAGAGTGAACCAAGGTTTAATAGACTTCCAGACAGCGTCTACATTGATACCTATTACAGACACCTCCAATGATAACTTGGATATAAATGTGAATGAGATGCTCGTCAGTATGTCTCCGCTCGTCCTGGATGAATTCTATCCTGCGATAGCTGTGACGTCATTAATGCGTATTCTACGAGATCCTCTGCTCTCACAGCATCACACGAGTGTGGTTCATTCCATTACATATATATTCCAAACTCTTGGCTTCAAATGCGTTCCGTATATATCGCGCGTCACTCCAAGTCTTTTATACGTAATCCGGACGACTGATAACCACAATTTTAGAGAATTCTTATTCAACCAATTGGCGCTACTAATTTCCGTAGTAAAGATACACATACGAGCATACTTGGAAGAAATATTTGATCTGATAAGAGAATATTGGACACCAGATAGTCAGCTTCAACCGACTCTAATATCGCTTGTTGAGCAAATAATTATAGCCATCGGGACTGAATTCAAAATATATGTCCGAAAAATATTACCAAATATACTCAGACTCCTCAAATATGATAACAGCAAAGATAGAATTTTAACAGAAAAGTTGTTATTGACTATACAAAAATTTGAAAACAATTTAGATGACGTCCTAATGTCTATAGTGCCAGCGATTATAGCACTCTTCGACGGAAGAAATATACCGACGTCCATATCTAAATTGGCAATGGAAACAATCGAACATCTGTCTATGTACCTCTACTTCAAACCATATTCAGCGATGCTTGTTCAAGCATTAGCTAAGGTTCTAGAAAACAGCATTGCGTTACGTCAGACAGCGATGAACACACTCTGCGCTATCATCATACAACTTGGCAGAGACTATATAGATTACATACCATCTATAGATAGGATTCTGGTGAAGCACAAAATACAATGCCCCAATTACATCGTGCTTGTGACGAGACTGCAAGTAATATCTACGTTGGCTTCGGATGATGACTATCTGGATGAGACAAGGCTGAGGCTACGGAATCAAAAGAAAGACGTGAGTTTGCTTATAACTCTTATTATAGTACAAGTATAGTTTCCTTTAATTCTCAACTTAGTAATACCTTCTCTACCTCTCATCTTCACATACGTGTATTTGTAAAATTTTTAAAAATAATTCTATGGATGTCTAGTTTTTCCCTTTATCTATTTATATATACAGGGTGACTGGTGAATTACTATCGATATTTGAGGACGTGATATTTGACGATCATATATGACAAAATAAAAATTAATATAATATAAATATTAATAAACTTCTAAGTAAAGTTAACCAAAAGTTATGTAATTAATTACGCATCGTGTGAACACCCTACAGATTAGGTATACACTGACACTCACACATACGCGTGTCGTGACGTGGTGTTGTGTCAGCACGCCGCCGCACGCGACCACACTTGAACACTTGGAACGTGTCAACAGTTTACTTATTTATACGGAAATTTTGTCAAAAATTAAGTGCCTATTTTTTTTACATAATTCGAATGAGAATCATGTACCGAGTATTCTCCTTAAATATTGATAGTAATTCACCAGTCACCCTGTATATATATATTTTACGGTACATAAATATAAATATATGAATTATAAATGTTGTAGGTTGTGTCAAATGATCCGCAAGCCATACAAAAGTTGACTCTGAATGTGGAGAAATTAAGAAAATGTTGGCAAGTACATAACATTCTATCAAAAGAAGATTGGTTGGAGTGGTTACGACAATTGAGCATCGGGCTGCTAACAGAATCAAACAGCCCAGCTATACGGTAAGAGTTTTATAGAAAGATAAAGTAATTAGTTTTATAATAAGATAAACAATAGAAAGTACTGGGGTTTTAAAGAAAACTTCTTCTTATGTACAAAATCTATGAAATAATTCGTTCATTATTGTAAGACGTGTTATTTAATATGTTCAACTACGTGACTTAATAATTTACAATAAAAAAACTTTTCCTGAAAGATAAATATTATTTAAAGAAAAAACTAATTATAAAACTTACAGTTGTATTAAATCAATGACAAAAAATATGATGTATCTCATATATGAAACATTAATTATTGCATAATATACGTAGTATTTATATACATATCTCTTATTTATTACAGAGCCTGTTCAAGCTTAGCACAGAATTACTCTCAGCTTGCAACGGATTTGTTCAATGCTGCCTTCATGTCGTGTTGGACGGAGCTCGGTGAACCGGCGCGTTCAGAACTCGGTGCAGCTTTAGAAAAAGCACTTGTAGCGCCAGAAGCACCTGAACTTGCGTTGGCTGTTCTCAATCTGGCTGAATTTTTGGAACATTGTGAGAAAGGCGCCTTACCTATATCTATAAAACTACTCGGAGACACAGCCATCACCTGTCGTGCTTATGCAAAAGCTCTCTATTACAAGGTATGAAGATAAAATACAATTGATTTTCTCATACTATTATAAAACATATCTAATAATTTTATTCTATTTGAAGGAGGAAGAGTATCGAAGGAATCCGTCGACTCAAGTAGTTGAAGCTCTGATCCACATAAACAATAAATTACAGCAAAGGGAATCTGCAAATGGATTGCTCGAAAAAGTAATCATGCAAAAGAAAAGTGGTGATTGCTCTCTCAATGTTCACGTGCGTTGGTATGAAAAACTGCACAATTGGGATCAGGCTTTGGAACTCTATAACAAAAACTTAGAAGAAGAACCTGAGGACATTGAGTCAAAACTGGGAATGATGCGATGTTTGGAGGCTATGGGTGAATGGCGTAAGCTTTATAGTATGACTACAGAACAGTGGAGTACCATGAGCGATGATATCAAAAAGAAATCAGCAAAAATTGCTGCTGCGGCGTCCTGGGGCTTACAGGAGTGGGATTCCATGAAGAAATTTGTCGAATGTATCCCTGACGATACACAAGACGGAGCATTCTATCGAGCTATATTATCTATTCATGATGGACATTGGCCCGAATCTCGACATTACGTCGACTCTGCTAGAAGTCTTTTGGACGCAGAACTATCAGCTGTTGTTGGAGAAAGTTACCAAAGAGCTTACGGAGCTTTGGTCAATGCACAGTTATTGACGGAATTAGAGGAAGTTGTTACGATCAAACTTGTTGAAGAAAGACGAGGCATCATTCATCGAACGTGGTGGACGCGGCTGCAAGGAGGTCAACGTTTAGTTGAAGATTGGCGTAAAATGCTTCAAATTCGCAGTTTAGTAATGAGTCCACAAGAAGACTTCCAAACATGGCTTAAATTTTCTTCATTATGCAGGAAATCCGGAGCTATTAATCAGGCGCATAAAATAGTTCTGACTGTATTAGGCTGTGATCCTGTCACAAATCCTGACATATTACTAACATCTCAAGATCCGAGAATAGTTTTAGCGTACAGCAAAAACCTTTGGGACGCAGGAAATAAAAGATACGCCTATGACGTGTTACAGAAATTTTTGGATAATTCAGAAGCAGAAAATGAAGAGCAGGGAAGGTTGCTAGCTCGTTGTCATTTGAAGTTAGGTTCATGGTGTGAAGCACTTCATGAAATAAATGAATTGTCGATACCTGAAATATTGAGGAACTACACCACAGCGACACTGCTCGCTCCAGACTGGTATAAGGCCTGTCACGCTTGGGCCTGTATGAACTTTGAAACTGTCCTATTCTATAAACAACAGGACAACATATCGGAGAGCAGTATAGCTGGTGGTTCAGGTGAAAAGAAGATATCGAGAACGGAATTCATCAATACATTCACAATACCGGCTATAGAGGGTTTCTTTAAGTCTATTAGTTTGTCGAACGGAAGTTCTCTTCAAGATACGTTAAGGCTACTCACTCTATGGTTCGATCATGGACATCACCCCGCTGTGTATGATGCTCTGTTTGAGGGTATACGTCAGATAGACGTAAAGATATGGCTTCAAGTGATACCGCAACTGATAGCTCGAATTGACTCCCCTAGAAGTTTGGTGGCTAAACTAGTTCATATCTTATTAATAGATATTGGAAAGCTTCACCCACAAGCCCTGGTGTATCCGTTGACTGTTGCCACAAAATCCTCTTTCATAACAAGGAAAAACGCAGCCAATTACATACTTAAAACAATGTGTACGCATTCTCAGAGACTTGTCAATGAAGTGGCCGTTATATCAGAGGAGTTGATCAAAATAGCAATGTTGTGGCACGACCAGGTGTACACTGCTTTGGAAGATGCATCAAGGTATTTATTATTTTATTCATGTTTATATTTTAATAATGAATCGAACATTTTAACATCTTTTAAAAGTGTTATAAAAACAAAAATCTTAGTTTTATTAGTCAATTTTGAAGTAGGTCACGATAATTGACCCCCATGCTGACAGAACATTACGGTACATAAAATAGCGTGCCTAATTAATTGATAATTAAGAAAGATAATGTTCACACGGCATTAAAACAACTTGTACTTTTTTAATACTACGTTTGTAGCGATCATTAAGCTACATCTTAAAATTCATAGAATATTCTCTGGAAATCTGATCATTTATAATAATAATTCTTAAAAAACGTTCCGAGCATTATTTATCATTGAATTAATTAAGAACTTCATTTATTCAAGTCTGTGCAATAAATATTAATCATTATTATATTTGTATTGAAAAAGTGATGACATATTTTTTCCTTAGGTATCCCATACCATTCTTTACAATACAGTATGACTGATATTATTTTTGATTGGAAATTGTTATTTATATATATGCATATGAAGTTGTATTCATAACAACCCTTTTATACTTACACCTCCTTTCAGATTATACTTTAGTGAGAAAGATTACAGAGGTATGTTCAGAACATTGGACAAGATGCACGCCATGTTAGATCACCCGCCCGAGACTTTGAAGGAGGTGTCGTTTCTACAAATGTATGGCAGAGATTTGAAAGAAGCACAACGCTGGTGCGAACTCTATAAGGTATATAATGACATTTACTTTTATTGTTATAGAAGTTTATGACTGTTTGGGAACATTTTTCTTAGTTCCTCCTATTAATTTCACACCTTTTTACTTCTGTGTTATATTTTTTTTGAATTTGATTATCATTTTAATTATAATTTAAAGAGCATTTCATCTAAGATAATTTCTAATCTATGTACTTAGTGTACGTTCTGCTCATTTACTATCCAATGTCTTACAAATATTCAATTCTAGTAATTTCAAATACTTGAGCCTATATAATAAAGGTACTATTATCCACAAATATCCATTAATCACAAAAGACAAGTTGTATAAAGTGCATCTTATTTCATTATAGATAATAATGTAATAGATTACATACCATTGTATGTAATTATTGCACACATTTTTAATTTTATATAATTATTTTTTTACAATGTAATTGAATTGAATTTTATACCCATCAAAACCTTACATATAAAAATAAATTAAACCTAAACTTAGAGTAGTTAGTCAGTTAGTACGAAATATGGTGTGACAGTAATAAATTTGAAGATATTGAAACAGTATTTTCTTAGGATACACTATGTATATGGTAACATTAGTTATAAATTTTTAACTCACTGTGTCTTAAAGTTGTTAGGAGTTATATAAGGTTTTGTTTACATGATTCATTTTTGCAAGTTCTTTGAGTATTCACAAATCCTACTAATATTATAATTGCGAAAGTTTGTGAGTGTGTGTGTGTGTGTGTATGTTTGTTACTTTTTCACGCTCAAACGGCTGAACCGATTTTGATGAAATTTCGTATACAGGAAGCTGACGTCCAGGAATAACATATAGGCTACTTTATTTCCCGGAAATCTGTAAGTAACACCGCGGGGAGCAGCTAGTATATAATATTGTATCAAATGTTCCAGGATAGTGGTGAAGATCGTTTCCTGAATGAAGCCTGGGACCTATATTGTCACGTGGTCCGTCGTATTGGAGGTCAGTTCAGAGCTCACACGTCGTTGGAGCTGCAGTACGTGAGCCGCAGACTACACGCGTGTAGGGACCTGGAGCTGGCCGTGCCTGGCAGCTACGTGCCCGGACACCCCGTTATAAGGATAGACAGGATTAATACACACCTACAGGTACACAACTCATCACATTATATACTGAAAACGGATAGGGTTTAGGAATTAAGAAGGTCCCTAATAAATATATGATCATATCGTCGGGGATAGTGTAAATGCGCGTAACTGCATTGGATAATTCCGAATATCTACATTGAAAGTTTGAGCAGAAATATTTTCTATATCAATGACTGCTTTGGTAGTTACGCGGATTTACACTATCCCCGACGATGTACGATATGAGCTGTTTGTTGTTCTGAGTTTAATAAGTAGTCCGTTATTAAGTTTTTTTGCTTGATTTTTTGTTAGAGTTTATATTAAGTAATTAATGGGATATTGTTAATATCTCCAGTCAACCAACGTTCAACAAATTGCTGCATTAGTTGGTGATATCTAAGACATTATGAGAAATGTACATAGAGCGAACTTCTTGACTTGACTATCATAGTTGTTAAACTTTTTAATTAAAGCTGATTTAATTTAATAGGTGATCAAGTCAAAGCAGCGTCCACGACGACTAACAATACAGGGTTCAGACGGGAAACAATACATGTTTCTTCTAAAGGGACACGAGGATCTACGTCAAGATGAACGAGTGATGCAGCTGTTCGGACTCGTCAATACATTGCTTCAATCCGACACTAATACGTACAGGCATGACCTCGCCATACAGAGGTACGCGGTGATACCGCTGTCGCCTAACTCGGGTCTCATCGGCTGGGTGCCACAGTGTGACACTCTTTACAACCTGATCAGTGACTATAGAGACAAAAAGACGAACAAAATGGCCCTCAACACGGAACAACAGATCATGCTGCGTATGGCGTCCGATTATCAGAAGTTGATGCTCAAACATAAGGTTCGATATTGACTGGAATTGTTTATTTATGTTATGACACAGTTTTATAAGCTTTTATTTTGTTCTTTTTTAAGGTGGAAGTGTTTGAATACACGCTCTCTCAAACTCCCGGAAATGACTTGGCGAGGCTGCTCTGGCTGAAGAGTCCTTCCGCTGAAGCGTGGTTCGAGCGTCGCACGAACTACACCCGCTCGCTCGCCGTCATGAGCATGGTGGGCTACATCCTGGGGCTCGGAGATAGGCATCCCTCTAATATAATGCTGCATAGAGTCACCGGCAAAGTCCTGCATATCGATTTTGGAGATTGCTTCGAAGTAACCCAAACTAGAGAAAGATTCCCCGAAAAGATACCCTTTAGACTAACAAGGATGCTTATTAGTGCTATGGAGGTGAGCAATACATTTTGATATTTTTTATACGATCAAATAAACGTGAATTATTTAAATCTTAATCAATCTTGTTTGAAGGTAACGGGCATCGAAGGGACGTATCGTTTCACTTGCGAGTCGGTGATGCACGTGCTTCATAAACATAGAGACAGCGTGATGGCTGTACTCGAGGCGTTTGTATACGACCCTCTACTCAACTGGCGTCTTATAGACAACGAAAAACATTCAATCACTGAATCCACCTTCTCATCAGACCTAGATTCATCATACTCTCTGCCAAGCAGAAGTCGGAATCACTTACACTACGAATCATTGGAAATGCCGCCGGAATCAAATCTTAACAAACGAGCTCTAGCCATATTGAATAGGATAAGAGATAAATTGACGGGAAGAGATTTTCCTAACATAGAGGCCGTAGTGAGTGTACCGAAACAGGTCGCCTTGTTGATAAAAATAGCAACGAACAATGAAAATCTATGTCAGTGTTACATTGGTTGGTGTCCGTTCTGGTGAGGACTTGTTAAAATAATTAGTTGACGAGATCAGTCATACATGTATGTTCGAGAATATTCTTCCTTATTGATACTTCAATCTTCAGTAAAATAAATTTGTAGCGTGTTGTCTGTGCGTCATCAATTAATTTAATTGATACGCAGCTGGTATAATCCCTTAACTCTGATTAACTATGAAAATGTACATTTTTATTAAGAGCAACCATTAATATATATAAACAAAATTATAATGAACTAATGTACAGCGATTAATACCGTAATAACATTTCTGAAAATTGCATAAGTGTCATTATTATTAATATTAATGTACAATGAAGTAGAAAAAAAACTTGAAATTCACAAAAAAATGCAATATAAAGCTGCCAGACATAAATTATGCCTGCCTTTAGTTTAAATTTCGTCAAGCTAAAAATTAACTCTTTTTATATGTATTGAGAAAAAACTTAACGATCTTGTCTCGTGTAAATGAAGATAAAAAAAATATAATTATTTAAATCTTCCCGCCAAAACGACTGAAGCAGTCTGTGTATTGCTTTTTAGTTATTATACAAAGAAAATTTCTATTTATTTAAGAAAAATAATGAATAATACATAGACAACACTCTTTATAATTTATTATACATCGGATTTTACTTTTAAAACTTCCGCTTAAAGTAAGAAAAATATGAGTGTATTTTGTTTGTAGTCAGTTAAGCTCGTTTTATTATTTTGAAGTATTATTTGATGCTTAAGTAAAGTGTTATATATTAACTGTAATGCATATTATTGGTATTCATATTTAATCTTATAAAGTCATGTATTGGTAACGACTGTCTAAAATTAAATAACGACAGTCATTCTATGTGTTTATACAAAAATATGTTATAGCCATTATGCCATAGTTTAGTTAAGCAGTCTTATTCATTGAGTAAAATATAATTGATTAAAGTATTATTGACCTTCATTTCTTTTCCTCTCTATATGATTTATGTATGAAAAACTTGTAATATGGTATTTAATATTTATCCTTCCGGCGATAATAATTCAATATTATATCTTATAGTTACATTTCTTTTTTATATTTTTAAAAAGTTTGAGAAGGTTTCGGGTCTGCCCCATCAGGTGATGCTGTGAAAGCCATTAGGGCTAACAGCTTTAGTCAATTCGAAACAAAAATTGAGAAGGGTAGGTATTTACTTTTTACGTTTTGAGAAAAATTGAGTTTGGAAACTCGTCCTTTCGTTTCACACTAATATCCGATAACTAAAAAAATAAAAATACCTATATAAATTTGGTTTTTCTCTTATCACAATATAAAACGTCTTACATATATAAACAACCGTAAATAATAATGAACACTTATGTTACACTGTCTATTTTGTAACTCACGAATGAAAGAGGTAATAGTTTGGATATTTTGGTGCACAAGATTTTGTCCATGGTGGGTTTGCTGAGATAGATTTCGATGTCTCCATCTGAGCTGCAGAACTCGCTCAAGACCTGTCTGCAGACGCCACAGGGGGCAGTGAATGTACCCTTTTGATGTGCCACCACTGCAACCATTTTAAATTTTGTGTATCCCTCACAAACAGCCCTTGGTACCGCGGCTCTTTCCGCGCATATACTAGGAGTGAGTGTCGAACTTTCTATGTTGCATCCCGTGTATACTCGTTCGTCCTCTTCTGTAAGGATCGCGGCTCCCACTGCGAAGTTCGAATACGGACAGTAAGCCCGTTGTCGTATATGTGTCGCCTCTTGTATTAATTGTTTTGCAGTTTCACCTGTCAACATGATTATGATTATCTTTTTGAATACAATGTTTAATCGATAAAATCAAGTTTATGATTAAATCGATAACCTTCCGGAATATTCACATGATAACGATTTAAAAACATCGGATTGAATTGATTGATTATGTTAAATTTTTAAACATAAGTAAAATAATTATTTATTGGGAAAACGCTCGGAGAAATAAGTTTTTTTATAGAAAATCATTTACAATACAATGAAATATAATTCATAAAATTTTAATTACTTCTAATTAACTAGGTTATTAGCTGGAATTAATTCCAAATCGTTGAAATGTGAAAAAAAAACAGATAAATTATTTTGCAAGTTAGGAATGTTGTAATGTACAAATATAGAAATATCAAGACAAGTGTTTCACGTAATAATAAAATAAATGTTTAGTAATAAAATAACTTACTTAATGAGGAGAAGTCCACTATTTCATATTGCTCCATGTTAGCGTAATTATCGTAAAGCGTATCGACAGCGCGTTCTGCCCTTCACACAGTCACTGAGCGACTACTGACTAGCAACTAGTGTCGTCGCTTACTGAACACAGACTACTGTTAACGATTGTTGATTACACTCTACTTTTCATAATTGAAAGTCCGTTTTGTGCGAAGTTCGCTTTTGATATTTGCTAATAAATACAAGTGGCCATCAATCATTAGATGGAATGAATAACCTTAATGTTTACAAGTTGAATCATTGTAATATATTGCTAACAGATTTTATTAATATTGAATACCTACCTAGTTATCTGTTTTATATAATATGAATTGATCTAAATAAACTTTTGACTGTACAAGTAACGAAAGGATCCAATATGGTAAAAAACCCTTTAAAATATCCAAACGATGTTTGTAATTGAGTTTTAAATTAGAGGGGAAAAGAGACTGGTGAAAGTTAAAGCACGCGACGAGGTTGAATGTATTTTGTTCAATGCCACTCTAAGGGCACAAAACATTTGGCACGTAAAGCTTGAAAGACTATTTATTTGAATTAAATGATAGAACAATTTTACATTTTGTATTCATTTAATGCCATAACAAAATAAACTTATGCATAAACAATCCTATGCTAACATAATCCCAATAGTTGCTTAATAAGATATTGTTTGTATTAACGATGAATGCCTTCTTACATTATAATTACAAAAAAAAATATGTTTCCATGTCTTCCTCGAGTGCTGGAAATGCATCAACATTAAAAGCAAAGGCTACAGATTTGTCCAAGTTATAACATTCAATTTAAAAATTATATTATCTTGATGAAGCAAACTCATAATAAAGAGAGTTTTTTTATTCAGACTAAACCGTTAATCGAACTTTTGAAAGTATCGAATTAAAGATACTTCATCGCATCGACTGAAGATTGACATTGGAACTAATGTTCCGGATGAATAAAGTAATTACATACTTGAATATAAGTAGTACTTAGTAATGTTTAGAGTTGTAATGAATCCAATAGAATAATATAGATATAATAATTTATATTATATGTATTTTTTTATTAATAACTTATTGTTTTGGGAAATCCCCGTTAGATTTTTCCTACCACTCAATGGTAGTTATAAACTTCGAAATAAAGGTTTTTCATTTGATGGTATTAAATAGCTCTAATCAAGCTAGACCTTTTTATGACTTGATTATATTGATTTCATTTGAAAATATTTGTTATTCGAATCAGCGTTTGACATTATATTTCAATACAATAAGTTACTACACGAACAAACAGATGTTGTAAATATTTTTAGTTCCGAGTGAAAAAGATAAAAATATAGTTGTTCTAATTCTATTCTCGTTGGCCTTCATCAGATGACACAATAACGAGATCTCTTTTGTATTTATTGAATTATTTTAAATGATAATAACCTTACAGTAAACAAGCTGTTTTATGAAGGAAAACTAATTTCAACATTTTGTTAACGCTGAAAATGGAAAAGTTTGCTTTATGGGTAATATTTAATTAATAATTTTAATTATCCGGTTGAAGAAACGTAGTGAAATGTAATTATAGTACATTACAGCTTGGTTAGTAATTCTATTTGTCAATCAGTATTACACACACTCATGTAAATGATATACACATATGTATTTATAAATATATATGTATATATTATAATATGATAGTAAGTTAAATTGAAGTCTATTTTATAAGAAATTAGAAAATGATTCTATCGGCATTCTGTTCAAACAAATTGGTTAAACTTAAGTGACTGAAAGGACATATCCAGTTTGTACATAGACAAGCCCGAGTCCTTATTAAACTTACAAAATTATGGATAAACTTAAATTTTAATCTTTGAAATAATATAATGAATATACTCTATTTAATGAGTTATTTTTAACACTTAAATACATTTGACTAAAGAAAAGCCCGCAAATTACTCCCATTATTCACTAAATATATTTTACATTACTTAAATGCAGTACATGTATGATTTTTTTTGTATTTTGTTCAGACACTAGGGCAGGCACTGAAACCAAGCACTGAAGAAATGATCTTACACTACCAAATATTAATATCTATCCTGACATACACTGTTTCTTATTATTTTTAGTATAACATATTTTACAGGATTACAAGAACATTATAAGAATTTAAGCATAAAATGTATAAATGAGAAAAAAATTAAGTTACATTTGTCATATATAACTAGAAATATATGTTCGTCACAACTATTATAACTGAGTTACTTCTAATTCTCAACAACATATTCACGAATTAAATAATATTAATTTTTTTCACCATTTTCCATTTAAATTCCTATTTTATATTAATATTATATATGTGACTCGTTGCCTATAATAAAAAAAAAGCCAGCTAAACTCGTCCAACATACAATATTACCAGAACGGACACCAGCCAACATAGCACTGACATAGATTCTCATTGCTAGTAGCTTGTTGTATCAAGAGATCAACTTGTTTCTGTACTGAACCGCTTGCGTCATCTATATGTATGAAGTCTCTTCCTGTTAATTTGTCCCTAACTCTATTGACAATCGCCAGCGCCCTCTTGTTGAGGTTCGTCTCAGCGGGTTGATCCTCGCTAGCTCCGTTCGCCCGACTCCTGCTGGGTTGAGGCGATCCGTCTGATGTTGAAACATCAGCGTCGTTCCTTGATCGTCTGCCAGCATCTATCAGCCTCCAGTTAAGTAATGGATCATACACGAACGCTTCTAATACAGCCATCACACTGTCCTTGTGTCGATGTAACACTTCCATAACTGACTCGCAGGTTCTTCTGTAAGTACCTTCGATTCCTGTCACCTGTAAATTTTATGTTAATGAGCCGTCGGTCGCATATTATGTGAAAGTGCTTTATCTAAACATACCTCCATAGCGTTGATGAGCATCCTGGTCAGTCTGAAGGGTATCTTCTCTGGGAATTTGTCTCTCGTCACGGCCACTTCGAAACAATCGCCGAAATCAATGTGAAGGAACTTTCCAGTGACTCTGTCGAGCATTATATTAGAGGGATGTCTGTCTCCGAGCCCCAGGATGTAGCCCACCATGCTCATGACAGCCAGCGAGCGGGTGTAGTTCGTGCGACGCTCGAACCACACCTCTGATGAAGGACTCTTTAACCACAGCAGTTTAGCGAGATCGTCTCCCGCTGTATGTTCCAAAGCGTGTTCGAAAACCTCCACCTAAAAAGAAAAAAATATATATTATAATTGTCATTTACTATTTAAATAATATTCATAAACACAACAAACCTTTTGCATCAACATTAGTTTTTCCAAATCCGAGGCCATTCTCTGCATGATACGGTGTTCTATATTGAGTAGTATCTTCCTCTTTTCTCTGTAGTCCTTGATCAATGAATGTAATGTATCACAGTGGGGTACCCAGCCGATGAGGCCGGAATTGGTGGACAGTGGAATAACAGCGTATCTTTGTATGGCCAAATCTCTCCTGAAGGTATCCGGATCAGCCTGTAGTAATGTATTGACGAGCCCGAACAGCTGCATCACTCGTTCGTCCTGACGTAGATCCTCGTGTCCCTTCAGAAGGAACATGTAGTCTTTTCCGTTCGATCCCCGAATACAGAGACGACGCGGTCGCTGCTTCGATGTTATAACCTGAGGATAATATTATTGATTGATTTATCATAATCTCTTCGTATAGTTCGAGAAAGTAGATGTGAAATCTTTGTAAAGTACCTTTCCACAGTGCTCTTGGATTTAAATGTTACAAATTCTAAAGTAAATTGTTATCGTTCTAATCGACCCAAGTAGTATTTGTAAGTTTTTTTATTAAAAAGGGTCGCAAAAAGAAAAAGTATGAAATTAAAAAACTAAGAAGTCCTTAGATAAGGACAAATATATCGAATAACAGACCCATTGAATGTTCATAACAGCGTATTATATGTCTTATTCAAGACCTGATACATATTTTTTTTTGCCATAATTTCTATTGATTTTAGCATTTTAGCATTGTTTCTAAAAAAAAAAATTAATAAAAACCCCCAAACTGGCAACTCTTTTCATATACGTTACATTATGTTGACCAGATTGTATTAGTCTGGTCGATATTTTTATTTGTTATTGTAAGTTTGCAAACCTCTTAATTGATATTTTACGGGGAATACCTAGATTGCATTATAAGTCTTTTAATTTTGCTTCCGAGGTCAGTATTCGTTAGTATTTATCCGTGAGTTCATAGTGTTCATACTGTAATTTCTTCAGAAGAGGGAGATTTGTGTCATTGATCCTAATAGATTAAAACTATATTTACTATATTTCATTTAATAGATTAAAACTATACCAAACTATTACATATTGTTTTACGACTTTGGATGAAATTTATCACTTGAGTGTTACGTACCGTTTTGAGATGGGGGGGGGGGGCTACAGAAAAACGTTACTGTGCGTTACGAGGGGGAAGGGGGTCAAAAATCTTCGAAAATTGCGTTACGTAATACTTGAACGCTCCCTATAATGTTGTAAATTATATATTACTAGCTTTCCGCCCGCAGCTTCGCCGCGTGGAGTTCGGTTATATCGCGTTTCCAAGAGAACCTTTCAAAAGTCTGGGATAAAAACTATCCTATGTTCTTTCTCAAGGTCAACTCTATCTCTGTACCGAATTTCATTAAAATCAGTTCAGTGGTTTAGGCGTGAAAGCGTAGCAGACAGACAGACAGACAGACAGACAGACAGACAGACAGAGTTACTTTCGCATTTATAATATTAGTAGGGATTTTAGTTAATTTGTTATTTCCTGTAGGGTTGAATCTCCCATGTCTAATAAAGTTATAAGGTCGCAGCTTTTTGCGAATAAGAATTTTTTAGAATACTATTAAATATTACTACATTATTTAATACAAAGATACTATTTATTTATATTAGTATATAATAAATATTATCTATCGTAACTGGGCATCATTAGCAGATAAGATTTGGCCTAGTTAAAGCCTAATTACATGTTAATTAAAAAATCTACGTATAAGTGTTGACCTAGACTACAGATCACTTTTTTTTTGATGACGCAGGGAAACTCTTTTTACGAGCCGTCCAACCGGCCTTGGTGGGGCCGGAAGGGATGTGTGAGGCTCGGCCTGGGCAGGTCCCTACTCACTAAAACCACTGAATAAGCCATCGGCCGCTATGTCGGTGTACGACGGATAGACTATAGATTACTAAGTATTATAGTTATTAATTTTATTCACCTGCAGACTGCTCTGTATATGGGCTATTCTTATAAGCGGGGTGTCGGGGGCGTAGCTCCCAGGCACGGCCAGTTGAAGGTCCCTACAAGCCAGCAGCCGCGGGCTCACGTACTGGAGCTCTAATGACGTCAGCTGAGGCAATTGACGGCTGATGCGACGGAACACGTGGTAGTATAAATCCCACGCCTGGTTCAAATCACGAACGTGACCCGACTCCTGGAATATAGGAACAAAAAATAGAAGTTAATTATAGCAAATTTGGAGGAAACGGTAGGATATTATATATTATAATAGGTAACATATTATAAACGGTAGGATATACATATTATATGATTTTAATATGACGATTCAGTTATCACATTGTCTCTCCAAATTATTCCTGTTTCATAATGACATTCTGATTTTTATGTCTTTATGTGATCTACGATTTCCGCAAGTATTAATTTAAATGAAACTAATATTTTAGGATAGGGAATGAAAAATTCGATAACATGACATAAAATTATGAGTACTCTATTTTTTTATTCTAAACTTAAAGAAATTAAATAACTTATAGAAAATTAGATAGACCTTTGACCTGTTTCTTTGCGGCGGTTAATAATAATTTGTGAAAAGTGAACCTTTCATTACGGAATAAAAATTCAATTGATAAATAAAACTTTTTCCAATCATTTGTTCGTGCAACATATTTTTGGTATTTGGAAATGAAAATGAATATAAAAACTATTTTCTGATCGAAAATAAAATGATATATAACATCTATGAATGTTTTAAGAAGCAAATAAAAGAAAAATATATTTTTATGCCAATTCACCAAGCCTTGTCATTTTCCAATAATTATCACGAGTGAGGGCCGATATAACACATTTTAAGAACTGTCATGTGTGTATTCACATCAAAGATATTCAAAGCACGTTTAGGGCCCTCTCATATAAGTATGAACTAGATTCTTAGCTGTATTAATTATAATATTATAATATTAGTCTTACCTTAAATCTATTGCACCAATCTTGTGCCTCATTCAGATCTCTTCCATATGCTTGACTGAACGAGATTTCTTTCAGTGTCTGCGGTCCTCTCTCTAACATAGCATGTAATGGTTCCAACGTTTTGAACATAGCTTTCGCGTCGTGTTCACTGAAATACAATCTGGACGCTTCTTCCAACGCCTCGTGCCATTGTTCATGCCATAGTATGGCGACTCTGATTAGTTCCTCGGATATCATGGCCGCTTGATTCACCAAATTCATTGAATGCGTGCACATGGATTTCAAAATTTGATTAGCTGCGTTCTTGCGGTCAACAAATGATGATTTCGATGCGACCGTCAACGGGTACACTAACGCTTGTGGATGTGACTTGCCGATATCGATCAGTAACGAATGGATCAGTTTTCCGACTAATGCTCTAGGTGTATCTATTCTGGCTATCAGCTGAGGAATTACTTGAAGCCATACATTGATTTCGATGGTCCGTATTCCCTCTAGTAAAGCTTCGTGTACTGCAGGGTGATGGCCGTAGTCGAACCATAGAGTGAGCAGTCTCAATGTATCTTGAAGAGAACTGCCGTGCGATAGATTAATCGATTTAAAGAAACCCTCAACAGCTGGCACAGTGTGACTCTGGATATACTCTGGAGTAGACGAGGACTCGTCCTGTTTAGATTTATCAGCCTCTTGATGTTTATACAACAGTACCGTCTCGAAGTTCATGTAAGCCCAGGCGTGCCAAGCTTTGTACCAATCAGAAGATAAATTGGTCGCCGCGGAATAGTTCCGTAAGATCACCGGTATAGATCGCTTATTAATACCCCATAATGATTCACACCATGAACCTAGTTTCAAATGGCATCGAGCTAGCAGTCTACAATGATCGGCGTCTCCCGTCTCTACATTGTCAACATATCGTTGTAGCTGATTGTAAGCTAATTCTTTATCTCCGGCCACCCATAAATGTTTTGCATACGCAAGAGTTAGTCTCGGTTCGTGTGTGGGGAGCGGCATTTCACGATTCTCGCTTGGATCTGTTCCAAGCAACATCACCAGAGTACGATGAGCCTGTCTCGGCGCACCACTCTTCCTGCAGAGTGATGCGAATTTAAGCCAAGTGGCCATATTCTCTTGAGGAGTCAACACCAAGGAGCGCACTTGAAGTATTTTCCGCCAGTCCTCGACTAATCTCTGGCCTCCTTGAAGTCTCGTCCACCACGCTTGTTTTATTGATTCTCTTCTCTCTTCGACCAATTTGTACGTAATGACTTCTTCCAATTCAGCCAACAGTTGCGCATTAACCAGTGCGCCATAAGCTCTTTGGTAGCTTTCACCGGCTACTGCAGTCAATTCCGAGTCTAACAAGGATCTCGCTTGGTCAATATATAACTTAGAAACATCAAAGTCTTCATTGTGTATATTTAAAACGGCTCTGTAAAATGCACCATCTTGACTATTTTCAGGCAAAAAGTTGACATAGTTTATCATATCATCCCATTGGTTCAGACCCCAGGCAGCCGCGGCCGCTAATCTTGCAGCCTTGAATTTCTCATCATTACTCATCTTCGTCCATCTAGACGACACTGTTTCGTACAACTTCACCCACTCACCCAATGCTTCGAAGCATCGCATTTCACCTAGATATGCCTCCATATTATCAGCGTCGGCATTCAATTTTTCGTCATAAAGGTTTAATGCTTTTTCCCAGTTATGTAATTTCTCGTACCACCTGATCTGAACTTTCAGATTGGCGTCACCTGCTTCTCTCTGCGCCATAACCCTCTCTAACAAACCTTCAGCCGCTTCCTTCTGCTGCAACTTATTGTTAATATGTATCAAAGCTTCTACAACTTGAGATGTTGCGCCGTTGCGGAATTCTTCTTCCTATGAACATAGCCAAAATTAAAATGGCATAAATGTATTGAAATCAACATATCATGAAAATCAGACCTTGTAATGAAGAGCTTTAGCGTAAGCTCTGCAATGCATAGCTCTTTCTCCTAATAGTTGCGTCGAAATAGGCAAAGCACCTCCCTCACAATGTTCCATGAACTCTGCTAAATTCAGAACCGTATGAGCTAACTCGGGAGCGTCAGGGGCGGTTAGCGCTTGTTCCAGAGCATTTGCGAGCTCCGTCCGAGAGGTTTTATCCAATTCAGTCCAACAAGATACAAAGGCTGCGTTAAACAGATCCCTTAGCAGTTGAGAATAATTGTGCGCGAGAGCTAAACATGCCCTGGAAATAACTTACATGTTATTACGTTAAGAATTATATGTCAAAGTATTAGTGATGTAAAATCCCTACTAATATTATAAATGCAAAGTACCTCTGTCTGTCTGTCTGTTACGCTTTCACGCCTGAACCACTGAACTGATTCTAATGAAATTTGGTACAGAGATAGAGTTGACCGTGATAAAGAATAGAGGATAGTTTTTATCCCAGACTTTTAAAGGTTCTTTTTTAAACGCGATATAACTGAACTCCACGTAGGCGAAGCCGTGGGCAAAAGCTTGTAATGAAATATTTCATTCCTCGCTCTGCTCTTGCGGCATCTTTAAGGTGCATATACACTTTATTAGAATCTTATATATGAACTTACCTCAAAGCTGGGCTGTGTGACTCAGTCAATAGTCCAATACTAAATCGTCTAAGCCACTCGAGCCAGTCGTCTTTGGACACGCGGCTACTGACTGTCCAAGCGACCTTGAGGCTGTGAGCGTTCACATACAACTTGCGGATAGATTGTGATGTATCACACGCAACTATACGGGCCTGAAGACATACATTTAAATTAACTAACGGACATTGTGAACATACTAATATATAATTTAATGCTTCGATTTTAGCTATTAATGAATTAAATTACGCTATGGGTCTTTCAAAATATTCAAGTATTACATTGCATTATATTATACTTAAATAAAATAAATAAATTCTTTTATAGGCAGAAAAATTACAACCATGTGAGTAAAAGCAGGATAGTTATTATACATATTATGTGAGTGGTTTTTTAAAACATATACATGTTGAAATTGAAATGAATATTCCAAACTCTGATATAAATTAACTGTGACTAAATTCTGTAACATTAACCAAATTTAATATGTTTTAACATAAATAAAATACGTAATCATGATATATATTATTATCCTTTGAAAGAAAGAAAATGCAATACCTCTTGATTATTATTTCTTGGTTTACGTCTTATACTCTGCAGGAAGTCGTCCACAGCTAACACTGAATTTGATTGAACTTTTGATAGCAGTAGCTCGTAATTATGATGCTGTATCCTGTGTTTCACGACCACCTTTTGAACCAAAGGTATGAAGTCATTAAATTTTCTTCCAAGTTGAATAATAAGTGCACAAAGTGTATCCATCGCTGTGCTTCGTAAGGCGTAGCAGGTGTCCAAGCTTCTCACGAGGGGGTGGATTATTCTCGAAACGAGTTCACTGTAATTTAACGAATCCGAAAGATAGTCAACAGTTTCCATAGCAGTCTTGGCCACGGAAATAGGATAATCGGTTGCATCGAATAATTTAACAATCGATGGAATGATGAGATGCATGTAATCATCGAGATTGTCCTCGAATTTTTGTAGAGCATTCAACAGCTTCTCCGTCACTAATCTATCTTTACTGGTATCGTGGGCGAGTACTCGAAGTATCTGCGGCATCAGTTGTGGCAAATATATCTTAAACTCCGACCCTAGAGCCACTGCTATATGTTCAACAAGTAATATTATAGTTGGTTGCAATGGACTGTGAGGTGTCCAAAACTCCTTTATAAGGTCAAATATCTGGTCCAAATAATTTCTGATATGCTGCTTGACTATAGCAATCAGCTTTGCCAATTGGGTGAATAAAAATTCTCTGAAATTGTTGTTATCTGTTGCACGTGCTACATATAGTAGACTAGGCGTAACTCGGGATATGTATGGAACGCATTTTATACCAAGAGATTGGAATATAAATGTAACAGCCTGAACTACACTAGTGTGATGCTGTTGTAAGGTTGGGTCTCGTAAGATTCTCATTAAAGTTGATATTACTATCGCCGGGTAATATTCGTCGAGAATAGCTGAAGACATATTGACCAACATCTCACTTGTGGTCATATCAAAGTTGTTTTCTTCTGCTTTACTATCTGCTACCGGAACTAAACTAGAATCCGGTTTGCCGTCTATCAAACCCCTCGTCATTTTATGTTTGTAAGGATCTAAGGCTCCGAGAAGACCTAAAACTCTAATTGTCTCTCTTCGGTCTTTTGGTTGTTGCTCTGTTTTTAAGAAGTTAAGCAGAACGTCCATCAAATTTGGATATTCAGTGTATGGTGTGACGACATGTCCGGTAGCACTTATCAACTGTCCGAATGTCCATAACGCTATACTTCTTTTGTCCGTTGCACTGGCGTCGGATAACAATTCAAGGAGGATAGTTAATAATTCTGGCAAACATTTCTTGAGACCACTATTATCGCCATGAACGTCGGCGAGATCTCCAACCGCCTTCAATATACTAATAACTACTCCGGGATTAAGATCCGCTTCTTTCAATTTTGGTACCAAAACGTTTAAAATTGTTTCCATGTACGGTTTCACAAGTTTAGGGGCATGCAGAATGAGATTATCCAACATTCTTGCTGCCTGTTCCTTGTTGCGACTCATTCCCGAATGTTCCAATTCTGTTAAAAATTGAATCAAAGTCTTTCTAAGTCCAGGCATTACATAAGCAGGATTAACTGTACTTAATCGTCCAATGGTACAAATAGCCAGTTCCCTAATTTTCAAGTTCTCGTCATTCATTACAATGAAAAGAAAACTAAGATTTTCGATCTGTGCTAAATGTGTGTCAAACATACTAGTCAATGATTCCAGCACCCAGTACCTCACTTCACAATCGGGGTCAGTGACTGACACAACTAACATTTTTCCGACCACTTCAGCCGTTAACATTGTTAGTGTCCTCGAAGGAGTCTTCATAGCTATGGTAGCATCTGCTAGTAACTTCGCTGCAGTCTTCACTGCTTCCACTCGGACCTCTTGCTGATCACTTTGCAAAAAATGATCAGCGCATCGCCTTACAAATGTAAGTAAACTATGTTGGCCCTCAAATTGAAATGTTCCAAGTGTTCTTAGAGCTAATACAATGCTAGCCGTGTCTTGGGGTTCAATGATTAGATTTATGTTACTTTGTTGTTCTAGACTCTTTGGTACTCCAGGATGTAAGAAAGGCTTATTTCTTAGAACTTGTGAAAGCATATTCAAAAGACCTTCAGATATCTCACTCTTGAGTGAAGGAAGATTTTGACTCAACTCCTTCAGACAAACAGTCAATGATGGGCTTAAGCCTGTTGCAAACATTGCATCTAATAGTTCTTTGATATCACTCAGTACAAGATTTTTCACTGCACTGCTCAATAGAGTTATACATGCAAATATAGAGGGATCTATATACATCCTTTTTTTACTCTGTGAATCTCTTACAGGCAAAGCTTGTTTGATGACATCCATAATTCTTGGTATGAAATTTTTTATGTCACCTTCGATAGCAGCAGCTAATAATCCTAGAGTAGTAAATGCCATATTTCTGTCTTTTTCTCTACTCCTGATTGATGTGAGTAAATAGTGCATGGTTGAGTTGAGGTATTTCTTTAAAAATAACTCTTTATTAAAAGCTGCCAGTCTTGGTATTATAATAAAAAGTATTTGTGGAACACCTTGTGTTTTAAGGAGTCGCTGGGCCATAACATCTGCAAAAATACATGAAAGAATTAAGTACTCAGTGCTGTTATGTGAAGTTCTTCGAAATATATTGTACAAAATAACTAAAAAAACATTTTGATATAAAGATATAAGTAAATGGAAAGAAAAATCTTACCAAGGCATTTCTTTACCTAAGATAAATGGTAAAAAGACTTAAAACATGTGAAAATTTTATAGAATCAACTAATTTCTATGTTTTACCTTGACAAATCCTTTCAATCTTTTCTGACAATAATTTTCTACATACTTCAGATTCATAGATTGGAACAGGGTACTGAACATTTTCAGTTTTAAAACCGTCACACAGATATCCTCTCTTCACCGAGGGGCTATGAAGTTTTGAACTAATAAATATGATGTCATCAGAAACTGTGACATCTTTTTCTGAGTCTAGACTATGAATGAGATAGGAGTATTTTTTCTCCCACTCGGCATTAGAGCACCTTAATAATTCACTCAATATAAGAAGACCTCCATGAACTTTGTCCTCTTTGGTAATTCCTTTCTCCCTTATAGGCACTTCTTCAAATGATGCCACAGCTTCCTCATAGCATTGCATATACCATTGAGGTTTAGCAGTGGACTGTTTTGCCGTCTCTCGTTGAGCTGTAACTACTAAACCAGCTCTTAAAGCTTTGGCTGCAGCTTCTCGTATTTGCTGTTTAGGATCCTTGAGAGCAATAAGTATATGATCAAAAAATCCTGATACTTGTTGGTAAAAATATGTTGGCATAGCTATAGCCAGTTCCTTCAATAAAAGTACTGCTGAATGTCTTCGTCCTTCATTTCTTTCTTCTGACAACCACTCAAATGCTCTCTTTACTTCAAATTCCACATACTCAGCTCTTTTAACACCAGAAACTGTAGCTAAACGACCAACAGTTTTAGCGGCCAGCTCCATAACCCCCACATCGGACGATGGTAAGAGGTTTCTCAAATAATTTGCAAACCTTGTTATTCTGGTTTTAGTTGTATCACAGTCGCCTCCAATAAGACACACTGAGAACAAACACATTTAAAGTTTAAATAAAATTATTTTAAGTATAAATTTTAAATTTATCATTGTAAACATACCTATCGCAAGTACTCCACCCTTCTTTTCATGTACGTCGTTGCTTGAAACCATCTCAAAGATTTGATGATTAAACTCGTCAAGAAACTGTGTGAGCTCCTCTTGAGGAACTTCTCTGAGTTCTGTTTTAGCATAGTGGTAAAGCTCCCTTGCTGTTTTAGTTTGAACATCCACATTTCGGGATTTTAGTCCCACAACAAATGCTGTTACTTGGTTCGACATTTTTATGCAAATTTATAAGTAATTGAATAATTTACATTATAGTGAAATTACAATACTCAGCTGCTTAAATAATGGTTAAGAATTATTTTCAAAACAATATAAATAAACAGGTTATAGTTTATGGTTCAGACCATAATATAGATTTATAGATGGTTGGTTGTTTAAAGAATGGCCTTCATCCGTGCAAAGACGTGCACGTATATTCTTTCAGTTTCGTGTAGCATGGAGGAGACACGATCCGGGATTAACTATTAAATGAAATAAAAATTTTACGGCAGCTACTGAAGTCACAAATATATTTAGAAATTAGTATTTTTTACTACGACTTGTGTTTATGCGGCTTTCAGACTTTGCTATATTTTGACAGTCGCAATGATATTCTCCATGTATATTCTTTCTTAAGCTAAGAACTCACGAGTTGATCGAAAGTTATGCAACACAATGTTGGATAAGTTTTAGTTATTTATATCAGAAGTTACTAAATTCATATATAATTATTCCAAAATTGGGGATTTAAAAATTAAAACAAAAATATGAACTTGAAGGTGGCAAAGTGCGGAAGCATTTGTAGGTATATAGTAATTATGTTGTTTAAGTGGAATTATAATATTTATCAACACAACAATATATATAAAAAAATCGAAACCATCTGAGTAAAAATTTGAATGTGTGGAACTATAATGTGAAAAACATAATATATTCTTTTTTCCCCTTATATTTCGAATATTTAGATAAGGGCACGTAAAGTAGTACAAAGTTGGAGTAATATATCTGAATGTAAAGCGGAGGATACATTCATATTAGTGTTTTATTATTTTTTATATTTACAAATTTAGAAAAAGATTATGTCAAGAAAACTTTATATTTAATATGGGATTCTTTTTAAATTATCCTAAATTAAAGAATGCATTATCAATATGAAAAAAATGTCTATGGTCAAATGGCCGATATTTCATTCATTGAAGCTTCGTAAGTCCATATTCTTTCTCTGTCGTATATCGGTACTTATGTACGGGCGGTCATCGTTACAGATATCCGTATAAATTATTAAATGAAGGTGCTATAAGTGTTGATTTTATGAAAAAGTTGTAGGTTATAAATTGTTAAATAATGATCTTGCTGGAGATCAATAATAGAATTATAGAAGAAACTCTTACAGTTAAATATAAAAATGCACTGGCGCGGTGAGTACGTTACCCTAGAAAGTTTACCTGTTTTTTATACTAGTTACGGTATTAACTGTTGTTCCATATCAATTGTTGTGTTACTATATTTTTTCTTATACTTTTTGGATTACATCGATTCGCGATATATTGTACCAATACATAGATAGTTTAAATTCTTTTGCAAGGAACTTGACAAATGTCAAATACGATTCGCAGGGTGGGCCCCACGTTGGCTGTGGAATATGCTATATTTAAATCACCATAGTATTATGTCATGGGAATAATATTTTATTTTCCTCCATATATCGACTTATATGACGTGATAGTGTCTATCAGCAAAGATGAGTCATTGGTTGTTTGTGAGCACTCGCTCCCGGTGCGGAAACGTCCCATAAAATTGTTTTCGGATTCCTTTAACAGTAAACAATGTTAGGTACAGATATGTATGATATGCATTATAGATTTATACAAACAATGGGAGAATGATAACAATTTAAAGTAAAGGGAAATGACTAATATATTGAAATAAAATCATTCTTTTAGATTCCATAGTATTTTGTTTTAAAATTACACACATGTAGTACTTTTGTTCATCATAAGTATGATTAAAATTTGACCAAGTTTGTTGATGTTAGAACTTAAAATAATTTTTAACATGTTAAGTCATAATTTTTGTTTTGCAGCTTAAAACCTGAGTCCATAGATGTGACTCTTGCAGACTTTGATGGAGTGCTGTTTCATATATCTAATGTCAATGGGGATAAAACCAAAGTTAGGGTAGGTCTAACACTATTACACATTATTCATAATGAGTCATCAAATTGTATGTCCAATATAGACACACCTTAATTATAATATTAAGTAAGTTATTGTCGATGTTATTTCCAGGTTAGTATATCATTGAAGTTCTATAAACAGTTGGAGGAACATGGGGCAGATGAACTCCTCAAAAGGGTCTATGGACCACTGCTTACAGAACCAGAGTCAGGTAAAAATGCAACCATTGAATCAAATTCATATATTTATATTATCATTTTCAAATAAGTACAAATATACCACTTGAAGTTGTATATATATACAAAACCAGTTTTTAAGCACTTATATGTTAATTTATGTAAATTATTAACATAACATAATGTTGGTTTATTTTTAAAGATATAACACATGTATTGATATAACAATTACTTAAACTTATAAGTTTTAATATTAATTGTGATTAAACCAATGACACAAATGGGAGTCAAACCTGTTATTTTATAGAATCACTCTGTAAGTTTTTATTCATGTTACAAAGTGTGCAATGCTAAAAGATAAAAATTGTTTCCATTTGTTATTCAAAAATAAATCCAGATAAGATACACACACAACTTTCAGTTATATTCACTGATAAGGTTTTATTTATCTGTTATATGAAAAGAATAATATGTGAACACAATTTTTGGGTCGTTTTTATTATTTAAAATGTTAAAAGTATAGAATAAAAACTTAAATTATAAAAAAAATAGTCATACATATTCTTTTTACATTAAGTACCTATATACAGGGTGACTGGTGAATTACTATCAATATATAAGGAGAATACTCGGTACATGATTCTCATTCGAATTATGTAATAAAAATAGGTACTTAATTTTTGACCAAATTTCCGTATAAATAAATAAAGTGTGGACTCGTTCCAAGTGTTCCAAGTGTGGACGCGTGTGGCGGCGTGCTGATACAACACAACGCCGCCGCACGCGTGTGTGTGTGTGTGTGTATACCTAATCTGTAGGGTGTTCACACGTTGCGTAATTAATTACATAACTTTTGGTTAACTTTACTTAGAAGTTTATTAATACTTATGTTATATTAATTTATATTTTGTCATATATGATCGTCAAATATCACGTCCTCAAATATCGATAGTAATTCACCAGTCACCATGTACAAGAATCAGCTTAAGATATTAAATTATTTATGTCAATATAGAAATAAATAATTGTCTGTATTTTTAATATCATTATTATATATTTGTTTTAATAACGATTTATAATTATTTTCTATAGCATTCATTTCTTCTCATTTATAATAACACAATTAGCTTGATGTGACATCATTGGCTTATAAAAAAGATTTATTATGGGATTGCATGTATTGAATTAATAATTCAAACTATTGTTTCCTAAAATTATGTGTTTTGGGTATTTTTTGTAGCTTTTCCCCTTAATGAGCAGATTAGAATAAATAAAAGATTATTCCTTAAATAATTATTTATTATGTATTAAATATACCACAAATTTAACTTGATTTCAATGTTATCTTATATGTGTATTTATTTTTAAGAAAAATTTGTATTTAAGGCCCCATTAATTATTATATATATTGTCTCTTACAAAATATTTATAAATGCTCTTATTGGACCTACTTTAAGCTTGCTTGTAAATAATCCTCTTGAAGCTAATAGTCTGTAATCCATTTGTATAATGACTTGGTGTGTTTCAAATATAACAAGCGAGATTATATATGGATTAAATTTTATAATAGCGCGAAAATGGCCTTAGATTTTTACTGAAGTTAATACTGGAATTTGTTATAATTTACAACAAATCTGCCTTAAGATGGCTTATTTCCACATTTTAAAAGAGTATGTTTTTATATAACATATGGGCTGTCTAAATATGATCTTAGTTACATGATGATCTCAGACTCTGTTTCATAGATTCATGAGTTTGTTAGTTTATGTCTAAAAAATTTATTGTTGTTAGGACAGAAATGAAATCCTATAAAATTTTGGTATAACTTTTGAAATGTTATATTATAAAAAATATTATTATATATTTGGAGAAGAGTATCAAAAGTTTTTTGTTATCATATAAAAATTACTCTGCATCACAAGTAAATTATCCCAAGATGACAATATATCATCATACCGATGTGCCATTTTGTTTCAGGTTACAATGTATCGGTGCTGTTGGATATGGAGAACATTCCTGACGACTGGGAGCTGATGGTGAAGAAGGTTGGTCTGTTGAAGAGGAACTGCTTTGCATCAGTGTTTGAGAGATACTTCAGATTACAGGAGGATGGAGATGTGGGTCACAAGAGAGCGGTCATTAACTATCGACAGGATGAAACACTGTTAGTATAAATTATGTCACATTATATTTGGAGGGGAACAGAAACAGATGTCATTTGTATGTAATTTGATTGTTCAAATTTGTAATATTAAATCTTGGTAACATGTTATACATACACTAATACCCTGCTTAACGCGACCCCGTTGCGCGGTTTCACTATAACGCGATTTTCAAAAATTTATTTAGGTTGGGACATTGCAGAGTATAGACAATTATGATGACCGTGTCTTGAACGTGTATCAAACGATTAAAAACAGTGTTTGGTGTTATGAACGTATTTTACGAGAACGTAAACAAAACGCTACCCAAAAAACAATACAAGTTTTTTTTCGTAAAAAATAGGAGTACCTATGTATTATATAGTGTTCTTAGAACTAAAGTGATTGATTAAAATGATTTTTATATTTGTGTATTAAATTTTGACTGTGTTTAATCATAAATCTCGATATACGCGATTTTCTTCAGAACGTATCCCTCGCGTAAAGCGGGGTATTACTGTATATTGATGTATGGACATAGTTTTAAAGTAAAATTATATTCCTCCATAAATAATTTACCATTTTGTATTCACAATGCTTACTTATTGTAAAAAATGGATGTTTTTATATATTGGTAATTAAATATGTACTTGTATGGTAATATAAAGGGTATCAGTATTTTGAAAACAAACTCACAATAAATCTCATGTTTTCAGATATGTGGAAGCTCAAGAGGATCGCGTGACTGTTGTATTTTCGACTGTGTTTCGTCACGAGGATGATATTGTCATCGGGAAGGTCTTCATGCAGGAGCTTAAAGAAGGAAGGAGAGCTTCTCACACCGCGCCACAGGTAATGACACACACACACACACACGTAAACTGTCTCTCACACATACACACACACACACACACACACACACACACATAAACTCTCTCTCTCACATACACACACACTAATATACACATTACTGATATTTTTCTATCGTTATTATTATTTATCGCTTTTAAATTTCAGGTTCTATTTTCACACAAAGAACCACCATTAGAACTGTTGGATACCGACGCTAAAGTAGGTGAAAATATAAGTTACGTAACTTTTGGTGAGTACATATTTTTATAATATTGAAGTATCGTTAATCCAATATGTTTGTTGAATGTCTGTACGTTTGTTCGTAGTGTTGTTCCCTAGACACACGTGTGCGGCGGCGCGTGACAACACCATCGACCTGCTGCATATGTTCCGCGATTACCTTCACTACCACATCAAGTGTTCCAAGGTATTTAATATTAATATATTATATATTTATACTAGTAGACCACGTAGTGTTTTTGTTAGGCATAATAAAGATGTGGTATAGTGCATTTGATTTAAGCTGAGCTTTGCATTTGTGTGAGTGTACACGGATAGTGTAGGTGTGATGTCAAATTTTTGAATGGCACGTTCTTTTCTAGTTTTTAACCGGTTTATACTGTTTTACTTCGCCCCGCGCCTTCCTCACTTCACCCTTTGTACTGGTAGCAACAAATGTTGAAAAAGCAATGTCAAGTGAATTTTTTATTGTATTTTTTACATTTTTACTAAGTATCTAATATTTTTTTCCATAATATTTCCATTTGGCCTTTTACAAGTTTTGCTTATTTTATTTTTTATCTAGAATAGATCTAGCCACTTATGTATCTATTTAAAATATAATAACATTGAATTATTCTAAAAGCTTTTTGTCTAACTACTTTTACTTTCAATCACACAAATGTAAAGCTCAGCTTAAGTCTAACGGACTATATTTAATATTACCTAATCTATACTAATATTATAAAGCTGAAGAGTTTGTTTGTTTGTTTGAAAGCGCTAATCTCCGAAACTACTGGTTCGAATTGAATAATTCTTTTTGTGTTGGATAGTCCAGTTATCGAGGAAGGCTGTGGGCTATATAACATCACGCTACGACCAATAGGAGCAAAGATATAGTGGTAAATGTGTAAAAAACGGGAGAAATTATTTCATCTTTGAAGCCTTACGTTGCGTGCGCCGTGAAAACGGTTCAAGATACACAAAAAATATGTATTAAAGAATAATAGCTCTTTTAATGATCTAAAAAACAGTCCGCAACAGTATATGTCTATCTTTTAAGATTAACTCACAAAAACCGTTTTTATGGTAATTAATTTGGTCGAATTAATTTGTTTAAGTTGTATCAACATAATAATATTAATCTTTATTCAGATAAACAAATAAATATGTTGTTGGTTAAGAGTACTTCATTGTGAATAAAAAAAAACATAGGTTTTATCCTGAAAATTCTACGGGAACTCGACCATTCTGAAAACCACGCAAGAACGGGAACTATGTGGGAAGAACCAAAAATCTGCCGAAGTCACTATTCTACGCGGACGCAGTCGCGGCAAAAGCTAGTATATTATATACTACTAGACCACATAGTGTTTTTGTTAGGAATAATAAATGTGTAGTACTATAACTGAGAAGTTCTTATTCAATATGTTCTAAGGAAGACCTAAGTGGGTAGTTCTAAATGAGTTGCTTCTCAGTATGAACCTGATTTGAAGTAAAATTTTAAGATATTAGTAATTTCATTTTGGCCAAATTAAATTGAAAAAGTTATTATGAAGTACATTTTTTTGTATGTAATGACTGAACACTTCTACTTATATAATTGTTTGTAGGTGTACGTTCATTCCCGTATGCGCGCCAAGGCCGGTGATCTATTGAAGGTGTTGAACCGCGCGCGGCCGCAGTCCACCGGCCGTCCGACGGAGCGCAAGACCATCAGGTTAGTACTATTAAAATAACAAATATTATTATATTTTCATGTAGGTTTTATGAAGCTATGTTCATACTTGCAGATTTGAATCCTCCTATCTGTATATTTGTTCATTTATTTAATGCCGTGGAATTGCATATTGTAGGCCCACTATTCATTTTTGTTAAAGATAGACTATTCTATCATTCTATTCTATTTTTGAAGTACTATCAGTATTTAAAAATATCACAGTATATATATAATTGTAATTATACTTTAATTTTTCTTAAAATAAATCAAAGACAATATAATCTTTAAAAATCAGTGTACAAAGGGGTGTCTCATAGTTGAATTCGCTCATTTAATATTTTAAGTATGAGGAGCAAAAACTAATATATGTTATATTTTCCAGTGGGAGAACGTTCGTGAGGCGAGATTGAGTGTTGCGGGTGTGCGGCTCGTAGACGTCTCGTAGACGTCGTAGAGGCCGCTCGGCTACGGCTGACGTCACACCCGCCTGTTCATAGACTGTTCGTAGAGCGACCGTAGCCGAGTGACGTAGCATGTGACGCTGACAGATATGCTATCAGAACGGACGCGTTATTCACTTTAAACCGGCAATGTGCGTATTTCCTATGTATACACTGTGTTATATATTACATTCGGTATATATGAAATGTTACTATACACAAACTAATACCGATGTTAGCTTCCGTTCCCATACTAATTAATTGTGAATCGCCAAATGTTATGCTCAATATTCGGTATGTTATGTGTCGTGGCTCGATCGTCGATAGAAATGTGCACATTGTGACATATATAGTATATATATATATATTTATTAATAATTTTCCACGCCTAACATATAGTGTTGTCGATAAATAATGTTGCCGTAGTACTTGTTGATTACAAAATTATGCTTTATTATAAATATAGTTATATTTATAGAGGATGCACTGCGACAGTCGTGAATTTTGTTCCTAAATCTTAAAGTACTCGTACGCCCCGACATGTGTTAACTTTGTTTAGACCGCGCCAGTGTCCGTGGGACGTGTTGTGTCACGTGACCCTGTTCAAATAACTCATAAACTATCGAGTAAGCGCCCTCTAGTAGGGTTATTATGTATTATATAATGTAGCGTATGTTAATTGTTTCGATTTACTGATATGTATAAATGTAAATCATCCATACGAGACGGACGTCATGCACAAACTTACGAATTATTCAATCGTTTAGTTTATATGAAACACTGGTCATGTATTTTATCAATAGCTATGCTATACGAACAATAATAACATAATGAAATATAAAATGTATTGTTTTTAGGTAGGTCCCATTCAATTATTATTGTATAAGTGAAAGTGTATAAATATTTCTCAATACATACTTCCATAGTCGAGAGTGATTCGAAAGAATAATATTGTAATGGCCTTATTTATGAGAACGGTATAGATTTGTACCGAAGCCGGTGTGGTTTACAATGAATAGTGTCGCTAGCGTAGATCACGATATAAGTGCAATTCGATAACATGTTTCTATTCCGATACGCATTTATTATGAATATAATAAAAAAGAAGGTATCTCTAAAAAAATTCATTTGATTAAAAAAAATAATATATATGTGGATTCTGCAGTTTTGAGTGGGTTTATTAAATTATCGCGTTTCTTACAAATTGCTCAACCCGTCGACGTGTCTGCGTTGGGAATGTCTAAGTGTCAATATGGTTTGAATTGAAATGTCGTAATTAAGAGAAGGTTAAGACGATAAGAAAGACAAAAAAAATGTATAATGAATCATGGGAATAGGAAATTATAAGTGTGAGTTTAAGAAAAAAAATTGCACTAAGTCATCTAGTTTAAATATGTTGACATAACGAGTTACATGACAGGTTAAAGAGCGTCATATGGTTTTGACAGAAAATAAAAAAAAATATGAGCGTTTAGAAACATTTTTTTTTGTATTTTAAATTATAGCTAACTTGAATTTTATGTAATGTTTTTATTTGCAAGGATGTATTATTTATGTATTATAATGTAAGTTAAAAGTTGCTTTAAAGTTATTGCTTACAATTTGATCATTGTTTATACTGACACTTTAAATAGATTATGTAAACGTCAGATAACAGAAGTTTTTTTTTGTGAATATGTAATTATTCTTGTGATCTAAAATCCGTTTATACTGTATTTTTTATTTTCTAGATTAAAGAGAACATCTTACTGCAAGAAACGTTTATTTGTCTTTTAATAGTTTCATATAACAACATTAAGGGTGATAATAGTTTGAAACATACAAGCTTTCACAGGAAAAAAGATTGAAACAACTTAAAAAATATCAATTGAAATTTAATATCATTATAATATTAGAAAATTTTAAAAAAATGTCTCAATAATTTTATGGCAAAGAAAGTACAACTTAACATAGTGCATTAGATATTTTTTTTGTGTCATCTACATCACTTTTTTATTTATTTATAATGTATATAATATAAACGTATATTTAATGTTTGCCATGTACTAAAAATCCATTTTATTATCGGTTGAAGTGGGTGATGTAGGTGATTTTGTTCCCAGCTTTGACAAGTTCGCGACTTTGGTCGCAAATTTAACGAAATTTAGACCCGAAGGTTGCGGATCATTCTTTTGGCCATTTTCTGCTTGGAAGGATGCTTCTAAAGAACCTGAAAAATATAGAATTGTTTGCTAATGGTGTATTATTAAAAGTACTACCTTTTTTCTTTATTTGTAGACACTTTAATTATGTTCCAGGAAAAAACATATCCATATTATTCTATCTCACTTTGTTTCTGAACTGATGTATTCATGAGTATGTTATATATAATCTATGTATGAAGATTTTAAATGTATTCAATAAACTTACTTTGTTGCGGTGACATGATTGAGCTCTGCTGTGATCCAGTTTGGTTCTCTCCCTCCATCGTGTGAGTCTTCTCGTGCAGGAGTTCCAAGGCTAGCGCGCACCACAATAACTCAAATTATTGTCTTTATAAATAAGACGCCGACAAAATCTTATCAAACTAATCTTGTACGACAAACAGACGAGATAACAGATTGTTATACAAATATTGTAATTTATACTAACCGTAATATGTAATAGAGTTTTACTTTACATTTTATATATTTATACATTATTTGAAAAAGATCGAGTTTGTTAAAAATAACGTCTTCATTTCCTTTCCACCTTATTCTGAACTTTATTATACGTCAAGTGTACTCGACGAAATATTTCGTCTCAAGGTATATTCGAGTGTGCTTCAAAAATTCTTTGGTTCACATAAAATAAGGTCGAATCGATGGTTGGATAAAAAATATGTTGATTGAGATTTTTATGAAACAAAAGCTGGATGACACTCTCTTGACATTGAACTAATTTTCAACGTCGAGAGACAACGATCTAGCACACTTACTAACAAAGGGTACCTGGGACAGTTTAACCTTTAACTTTTTGTATATGAAAGGGCAGACTTTATAAATGTTGGAAGAAACTGAGATGGAAATATAAGTATGAATAAATTTATAAATAATAAGTCGCGATTAAATTATAACTAAAAAATAACATAAGTCTAACGGAAAATTGAAAATTTTAAGTAATATTAAATGTACCGTCTTTTAATGAGATCGTATCCATTTTCGAATCTTGAATGGTTTCGAGTTGTTGACGAAATTTTGAAGTTATTTTACGACGCTTGTAGTCCGCCTCTATCTGCTGCTTTGTCCGAGGTATACGGAAACGAAAGCAACAACAAACTATAACAACTGGAAAACAAAAAATTACCGTTATTAATTTCATTTCGAATCAGTATTTGTGAAAGTAAAAGGTATTCTGTTTAAAAATCTAAGACCCAGGAACGACGACACGCCTTTTAGTTTTATCCCAAAACTATAAAAATGCTTGGTCATATAACGACAGAAGTTGCATTTGTTTCACAACAGGCGTTCATTATTTAATGAATTATTATTTTTGGACTTACTAAGCGACGTGACTCCGGCTAAACATAAAAATATGATTTGCCATAGTCTCAGTTCCCCAATTATTCTTTTTTCTAGCCACTCTGGCTCTTCCGAATTTTTTATTACGTCCATTATTGGGTCCATTTTTGTACTTCTTTACCCAAGGATTGTTCAATAATAATGACGCTTCTAGAAAATGACGAAAAGCTACGGAATAAATGAAACACGTCCGCAAAATACCTCTGCTGAAATAAAAACTAATTGTCCCAATTCCGAGGAGTGCTTAATTGCCACACCTATTATACTATCCACCGGCCACCCTCGACACTCCCTCGTGTTCATTACAACACGAGCTATCGTATTTGTATATCATTAGTAAATTTCGTATTTGATAAAGTGTAATATAATAGGACAATTTGTACAAGTAGTTTGCATTTTTGTAAACAAAACTTTGTAATATTGTGTAAAATATATGACGAAAAAGTGGCTACGAATAAAAGTTAATTCATATTTCCCCCTCACAGTTTCTTAAAGTGTTGCTATTTCAAATTATTCTTATAACGCAATATAAAAGGCACAAATTCCATTCGTGGACGGTAAAACCAGCATAAAAACATTAATTTACTCCAATGTTTTGTTGTTTATATGTAATTAAATTCCGAATGAAATATATATATTAATCAGCCCAGCATTATATTTTTAAGGCATTCATAATCTAAGAAACCGGATCATGAGTCCCTATTAGCGAGATCCATTATTTTAAAGCATGAAGTATGTTATTACCTGTTATTTTTCCTAAGATTAAATATTTTTATCTTAATCTAGGAATACATTTTGAAAATTAAGGCAAAAAAAAAACTAAGTAAATAACTTGCCATTTTTTTTTATAATGACAACATATGGGCGATCACTTTTCTCTTTCGTTTGAAGCCTGTTTCACTTTCCCGCAGAAAATAGGGTGTCGAATCTGTCCTATAACCTCCGTTATATTTATTAAGTATTTAAAGATCGAAAGATGTATCTTTTATGATAATTGTGGATTAATTCGTGTAAAGATTGTTCTAAGTGATGTTGTGTAAGATCGTTTGTGTTCTTGCGATAATTCTGTAGCGTTTTTAAAAATTAAACATGGCCTCAAATCGAGGAATTCAGATTGGATCCGCGTGGTTTCAACGAAAGCTCAACTTGAGACCGCAACATCGGGGTGTGCATCTCGTTACGGAGGAGATCCTAAAGCAGGTGCCCGAGTTGTCGCAGTTTGCAGTCGGTCTCTGCCACATTCAAAGTGAGTTCCAGGACACTCTTGCCGCCGATGTTCTTCAGTTCCTATTTAATTATTTAAAGTTCATTCAAATTGAGGTGTCTACAACTGTAACGATCGACGTGTATTCGTTTTTCAAAAATGTTATTTTTTTTAAACGTAAGAATTGACAGCTGTGTCTGATCAATGGTGTACGGTGTTTACAGTACTACATACATCGGCGAGCCTTGCGCTTAATGAGAGTTGGGACCCTGACGTCAGAGACGATATGGAAATGATGCTCAACAAAATTGTACCGGAGGGGCTCCCTTACCGCCACTCGTGCGAAGGTCCCGACGACATGGTAAGATAAACAGTCGATTTATTTTTTACTGGCCTTAGTTACAATCTCGTAATTGTTAGATCATTGATTTGTTTTTGTTAAACAGTTTTGTTTGTTTAGAATGTCATTCAATTTCATTTGTTTTGGTTATCTTTAAAGTGAACATGTTTCAAATATATTATAATATGTTAGGTATTTTCATTATCATGTGAGTGCTAAATGTCTTAAGGTTGAATTCTTATCATGTGTGTGTGATATGTTAAGTGTTATGCAGTATTAAAAACAAGACTATAAAATATTATATTCCAATGATAATTTTTAAAACCTATTAAAATGTTTACCAATAAAAAAATTGTCATAAAAATTTTGAGTTTATACTGAGAAATATTTTATTAAAAATTATTAATATTTCATATCATAATGTTGACAGCCGGCACATGTAAAAGCCTGCTTTCTCGGCTCATCATTGACAATACCAATCACAGATGGGAAGTTGAATCTTGGTACATGGCAAGGAGTTTGGCTGTGTGAACATAGGAATCACGCTGGCAGTAGAAAGGTGGGTTTAATTAATTCAATAACATTAATATATGACTTAATCTTATTGAAATATGTATAAATATAAAAATGCCATACACACACACACTAAAAGCTAGTGTGTTATGAAATTGTTGGGAACAAAATCTTAAAATACTGGAAGTCGAGGCAGTATGATTTAAACATAAGTGTAAATATGAATAGATCATCAATTAAGAAACTGCATAAATTACTGTAAGGTCAAAGTCAAAACTTTTGTATTTAAATAACATTATATAACAAATGAATTATACAAAGATTTAAATCACCGGTTGTATTTGTGTCAAGTTACAAATATTTAATGATTATTTGTACAACAAAAGTGTATGTGTCCATATGAAGTTGATCTTTCTTTTGCCGATGTATCTTTAGAAATTACCTATTATTCTCCAAAATATTATAAATTGTCACTACAATATACATACAATATACAATATACATATATTATACAATATACATATATGTGGATGACATTTTTAAATATACTAACTTTTTTGACATCATTAACAAAATTGGAATGTTCTATACCAGCTTTCAACAATATTCTAGTTAAGTGAAGATAGAATAATTTTCTTAATATTATATGTATATAAGTGTTTATATGATATTAAAAAGTGTCATTACATTTTGTTTAAGGGTTCAGTTTTTATGTAATGATATATGACAATAATTTGAATGCTCAGGGCTGTCATATATTTCCGGTGCATGTAATAATATATATGTATATCATGTTGCAGGTTGTAGTAACCCTGTCTGGTTGTCCCCGTGATTCCCCGCTGTCTCCCGTGTCAGCGGCGTCTTGTTCCAGTTAGGAGCGGGGGGGGGTCGCGACCCCCCACACGCACTCACACTCCCGCCCTTCATCAAAGAGCACCAGGAGGTAAAAATTTTGTATCCACCCGCCTAGATTAGTCCTTACTCTAACCTTCGAACGACAATATGTACATAAGATTAATATTTTGTAACGCTCTGCATGGCAGTTTCGGTGGACTTTGTCATACGCTATCAGATACCATGTTTTTGTTTATATATTGTCTCTGATACAGGTGTAGTTAATATAACGAGTCACGATATACCAATGTCATCTGTTTAAATGTACCGCTGGAACTATATTTTATTATATAGGAATTGAAATTATGTGGAAGGATGCCATGCAAAGAGATCCTATTGTTGAGTTCAGATTTATAAACTGAACCAAATTCATTTGTACATAAGAAGTGATGTGCGAAATATGTAAGTTAGAAATTGTTGTTTTGTTATTATGAATTGGACATGTAAATAGATCACGCGTGGCTATTTGTCTCTGTAGGTTCGGTTACTAATGTTTCGGAGTTACTTCTTGCATCACTTATAGCATTTACTTTAAGAATACGTTCAGTAATTCTAGTATGAGCGTTCATCGCTGACCTAAACGACATTTTTTCGGTTCACATTTACAAGTCATTGCATGTATACTATGAAATAATAATATCGAATTATCGTTGTTTCGGTTAACGATGAAAACTCATACTAACGTGACAGATGTATTCGTTTGTTATTTACTATCTATCTATCACCACTGCACTTGTTCAGATATTCGTAATGTTTTAGTTTCTAACATTAATTATTACTACATTTTGGACACAAGCTAGACGTTAATAATAAAAATGGACACTCATTTCACACCAATTCGGATATGTAATCGCACTGGTTAAAAATCAGTTGTAAATTTAAGATGATAGTTATAAATAGTTAGGTACTTTGTATGTGTACGATAGTTCCATCTCTCCGTGTTAGGTTAGACCTCTTAACTATTAGTATGTGAATTATGATGTCCATAGCTTTAAATGTGTCACGGCCGTTGTATCAACGGGTCCACGGGAAGACAATGAGCTAGAAATAGTGAAGTTAGTTGTAGATTATCATAACTGTAAGGTCATGTAAGTGCCTCGGATTTATGGGGTGTTCTGTTATCATTTGCGTGTAGGAGCTTGCGGGGGATGGGCATTAAGTAACGGCTTCCTCACATACTGTGCTCTGTTTTATTTCATTTGTTTTTATATAAATTCCTTGCATCAGCTTCTACTTTTAAGGGCACAGACATCCAAAAGATTTATTAACTGTATAGATAAAAATTATATATACATTGATTTGATACAATTAAAAAGGTATATATAGTTGTATGTCTTCCTATGTAAGTAACATCGGGATTAGTGTATTGGTAACATATTCGTTATACGTGAATGGTCTGAGGGTATACACCAACAACCAAAACTTAACGTCACGTCTGTAACTTAGACTATGTAAAGATAGACGGCTTTAATATCAAACGTGGCGGTATAGCCGGTAATATCCAATAATTAAGAATAAATGGTAGTCTTTTTATATGGATTGATTGTAGTAAGATTTTTTATTAGAATCATGTGTTTTTAAGATACGGTTTTGAATATATCTAAATGACATTCCATAAAATAAAAAAAATAACGACACATTCCGGTAACATAAAGACTGGATCTAATTCTCGAGCTCGAAATGTTTCTCTTCGCATTGTCCCATTATAAAGTTTTATTGATCGCTTATACTGCACAATTACACTTGTAACTACAGTATAGTTAGGAATTAAAATTATAAATAGTTGCATACAGATTTTAAGGTCGTTTTAAAGGTGCTGGCTGTGGAAAGATCTTTGTAGTGATTGCACTTTTATTGGCTGATGAATTTACACAACACGGTGGTTGGCGGGTAGCTAACTTAATATTACCTACTATATTAAATTAAAATGGCGCTGGCGCCACTATCCCGCGTAGCGGGCGGACTGTACTTTGGTATAATTGTAAAATTGTAATTGACCATTCAGATTTTCCTACAGATTTTCATATAAAACTGCTAAGATAGTTTCGTTATAAATGCGGTAGGCGTTAAGTATAAATAGTTACGGAATCAAACGCACAAGAGAGCCGCGGCCAGCGCCGCCATGTTCGTCGTCGCATGACGTCACGTGATCGTATTACGTAATACACATAGACGCTTCAACGTTCGTCGTGTTATGAATTGAACCGTTTGATTTGTTTTAATTTTTTTAATAATATATCTGTAAGCGACGTTCGTACTTTATATAAAAGTGTATTTTGTAATAGGTTCGTTAAGATTTTGCTATTTTGCACTTCGTTTATTAAACACAGCATTTTTAAATTATCCGCTTTCTATTTTGTATAGTGTTTGAGTGCAAGTTACAAGTGTTCGATGATAGCTTACGTCTATGCTGATGAGTGATGTTTTGTAAATATATGCAACTTTGAATTGTACAATAATTGGTGTACATATTATGGGTGATGTTAAAATATTCAAATGCTATTCGTGTATGAGTGTTAGGAATGCCACTGCCATCGGAGATTTGCCTCTTTGTAACATAGTATAGACATTGTTTCTCACTTTGGTATGTCATTGAGCCGTTTGATTTTGTTATATTATAATGAACTATGTATATGTAAATCGATTAAGTTGTATTAATATCCTTACAATAAAATTTAATGTTGTTTGACGACCAATCGTAGTTATGTTGTTCTATTTAGTTTAGCTTGTGTGATCCCATTCCAGGCTGTTTGTTACAACGAATATTAGTTATTACCTCGCTGGTTCATTTGTCGACCACGCTTCTAAAATGCCCAATTTTATTTAGGTAATGTTTATAACACTTTTTACTATGTATTGTGTAATAGTAAGTTTCATTTATCTGTTATAATGTACATAAGTTTTTGCTAATGCTGTACTTATTCCACTTAGCCGACTGATCTTTCTTTAATAGACAAATAGCCAAAATTGCATTCAATCATTTCAAATATGTATCTTAAGTTTAATAATTTTCAAAAAAAAGAAATAATATATTTACAATAATTATGAATAATTTAATGATTATATAAAAGAAATATAAATTCAGTAAATAAGGGCACGAATTTTTAATCTAATAATTTATCAGTATAGGTAATTTATTTGTTAAATGATATTGCACATAGAAAATGAGGTTGTAAACAGGATTTATTAAATAATCAAAAAAAAAAAACATTATAATAAAGTGGACAAATAATTTGTGTGTATGTTTAAGATCAATAATTATGTATGTGGTTATACGGTACATTAAGGCCAGTTTTGTACTGAGAGTATGTCTTGTGAGGGACACTATCATTGACGTTTAATTGTATAATATAACTTGTACAATATAAATATTATAGATCCACAATTATGAAAAAGATTAAATATTTGCAAAAGTTATTAGTACGTGTTTTATTTTCAATCCCGATTTACAGGAGATAATATTGTAGACTCAGTTATTGTCCATTGACTACATTATTTCATACATTATAACTACGTGACGTCACTCCACTGTTAATTCGCCTTAACCTCGACTGGATGCGGTCCTGGACTGTTATCTGGAAACGAAAGTTATATATGAACATAAATATTTATTAAAATAAAGTATAGCAGAAATGGAATTAAATTATTACCGTCCAGTTTAGCTTGAACCTCGTCGAGGCCGTTCTTCGCTTTGTCCAGTGCGATGCCGAGCCCAGTTTTAATTAGACTGAATTCCTGAGTCACTAATGAAATTCTTCCTAACAAATAGTTCAAATTGTCATCGACTTCGGACATGCGTGTTGTTATCGCGCTCACCTGTGTATTACGGTTTCTATTAATTATATGAATATAAACCCTAATGAAACCGATTAAAGTGTAATATGTATTACCTTCTCCTTCATGCTGTCCAATTTACTTGAGCTTCCATTAACGTATTGCGCGGTTTGTTCCTATGATATAATACAGCACTAAGTTAATTAAAATATTAATGTTTGTAAGTACTAAGTTGATAAACTATGGAATTGTTTCGTGTTAACTTTTTAATGTTTCATTATATTAAGCTATTCCTAAATAGTTTAGGTTGTAATTGCAATATGTCGTTGCGATTTCTATTACTTAGTATCCTTTTTGTATAATAAATATTACAGTCATTCACGAATGACTGCCAATTACTGTGGCACGAAATATTCGCATAAGAGGTCAACTTTGTTTCGGTAAGTACGACTAGATTTCATAGAGAAATAATATTGAGCCAACGAAATTGGGAGGAGCATACATTGATAAAAGAGCACTGGTTTACGTGTCGTGTAATCTTAAAGAAAATCCCTCAACTAAAACAATTTAAATTCTATTCTACGTTATATTGGCTGAATATACAATGCACATTTAGTAGTGAAGTTCATAAAGCAAAAATGAAAATCGATTTTAGCTTACCGATAGTTTATCGAGCGCCTGCCTGCTAGCTGTTAGTTGAGTGTACACTACACCCATCTGTCGCCACACCTGCGACATGTCCGTTTCAAGCTTGTCGCTCAGAGCGTTCATAGCGCGGCTTTGGTTTGTAACTATAGAGGACTCTATACTGTCGAACCTGGACATTTAATGAAAAATTATGTTCCAATTTTAAATTACACTTACTACTACATTTTTAATTGACTGTGATACATAAGGCTTTCTTAATTCATTTTTGTTTACTTATAGGCACTGTAAATGCAAAAAAAGTCGTGCTAAATAGTAAATAAATAGGTAATTATATTATCTGATAAAACTACATACAGAATTTATACTTATAGCTTAAAATGTAAGACTAACATCGTTGTAACGAGAGAATAGAGATGTTTGCATGGTGTACTTGTGTAATCTGTATGCAAATTAATTCAAGTTACTGGTGCTTATTGCCACATACCTATTTATGTACTTTGTAACTAAATATGAGTGATCTTCTCAGCTTTTTAGTTAATTTATTCTCTTATGTTCGTTTTGCGATTACGTCAAAGTACTTACCTTTCGTTCATGGTTTTGTTCAACAAATTGCTTTGAATTCTAATTAGTTCGCTAACTTCCAATGATATCTGATGTACGCCATACTCGATGCGTTTCTTTGTAGCTATCACATTGTCCGCTGTTTGCAGCATCACATGCTCGTTTTTGGAGAAACCTTGCAACTGGGAAAACACTTATTATGAAGAATTTTGATTTCGTATAGTAAAAATAAAGTTTTACTTTTTTTAATAGTAGTTGCAAGAGACCTCAGGTGGATTGAGTTCAGGTTTAGATTTATTCAGTTCAGAAATAAATTAGGTTCTTGGAGGTTTGCGTAAAAATAAATGGGATGGTAACTAAGAGACATGCATTTTTAATATGTGTCATGTGACATTTTATAAATTATAAATATAACTGTCATGTTCTGTATGTATGTATAGTTTTTCCTTCATAGTTTTTTGCTTAATATAAGTTATTGAATGTGGAATGGGCAACGTACTCTAGCAAAGTACCTAAGTAAGTAAGTAAAGTAGCAAAAGACCTCTATACATTCTAACAAACTCTAATATTAATAAGATGGCACATTTTAAAGTCCTCATTACTTCTTCTCGAAGGTTGGTGTAGCTCCTCTGTAAGTCCGTGTAAGCCCTCTCGCTCATAGTGTTGCCCTGTGTGAGGCTCTGTTGTATATCCTCGTTTGTGGCAACGAGCCTATCTCCTAATTCTCTCACTTTCATGTTCGTTTTGGCAACTCCTGAATAGAAAATATAATATGACTTTTTTCCGGTAGAACTTTTAAAAGCAATTTAAGTTCTCTATACAATACCTAAGCGGTCCAAGACACTTTTGTTTTAGTTTCATTATTATTTAAATATTGCTTTGAATAAATCTTTCATAAATGGAATAACTTTTGAAGTGATTTATAAAAAGAGAAAGAAATCCTTACTATTAACATCTTAATAAAAACTTCAACTTACCCTTTTCCATAATATCAGTGACGTTACGCTGTAGAGCAGCAATGCCCTCTAGTGTGTCATTGGTTGAACGCTTGATGTCAGCCAAATGCGGTAAATCTTTCCACATGCTCTCAGCATCAGACAATAACTGTCGGATCTTTGTAATATCTTTCTCTTGACGCTCCATTACTAAACAATAAAAATTCTTAATAAAGATAAAGTTCTTTCATTTCGCCTAAATATAGAATTGGAAATAAAAAACGGTATAGTGGAAATAAAATTGGTCGAGAAAAGAAAACGTTGTTCAGATGTCACTTCCATAGATTCCACTTGTTTTGCTACAATTTAAATGTTTGCCAAAAAAAGTGAAACGAAAGTTGTTTTAGTCACGCAACAAGTGTGTCAAAAATATTGCATATAAATGGTAAATCATAAACCTACATAGATATTAAATTCGCTTAGGTAATTAGAAACAGGTGCCGTGACTTATCTTTGATCTTTTATTAGTCACCAGTGTAAAATATTATATACATGAATAATGTCTTTTGAGAGTTAATAGCGCAGATAACTAACCAAATGTTTTTACCTTTATACTACGCTCAACTAAATCTGCTATTAGTTACTTATTTTGGAGTTAACAAACTTATACCTTCAGTCATTTTACTGTGCCAAGCTTCATCAGCCAGGGATACTTCGCTAAGTGGCACGAAGTCCGTCTGCACTTTACTAGCGGTTCCATTGTACTCGTTCAACTTCGATTCATACTTGTTCAAGAGCTTTTCCGTCTCAGATAATTGATTTATATCTATAGCCACTTCCGCACACATTGCTTGTAAAGCATCCTGAAATAGAAATACGCATATACGTTCTCATATTCCTTTGAAGATAATTCTTGAGAGGATGCCTACCTTGTTGATGCTGGTTTTAAGTTTTTCTATTTCAGCTTTAATACCATCCAACTTAGCGTCAGTTGCGTCTAATCTCTTAGTGAGCGGATCTTCGGTCGGAGTTAAACTATTATCCATCTCGGTAGTTGTACTGATTGGTTTCAAGTTACTCGATACCATTTCCGTGAGTGATTTTAGTGATTTCTGTATTTCTTCCAAAGCTTCATTTGTTTTCTTCTGAGTTTCCTTTTCTCTCTCTTCCTTCTATGTGAAAACAAAATTTTATTAAAGCAGATAGTGAAATTTAACTAACTTAGGTTCTAGTCAAGTGAATACATAATATTACCTGCAGGAATATATTCTCTACATTATAAAGTCTGTCGTCGAGTCTCGATATCGTGCCTTTCAATGTCTCCAGGTTTCTGTGTTTCTTCTCAAGGCCAGCCATCATCTTCTTGAGTTGATCTCCAAGTGCTTTCTCTCGTAGTTCGTGTCGCTCCAACTTGTCTTCTGAGGCGCGGACGATGTGAACCAGAGATAACATCGCATCTCGGATATCCTCGTGTCTAAACAAATGAAAACAATAAGCACGCGTACAGTTGCAATTTGATTATATGATTATTAACATATGTCATAGAATTTCAAAAACTAAATTATGTTATCCTACTAATATTATAATTGCGAAAGTTTCTGAGTGTGTGTGTATGTTTGTTACTTCTTCACGCTCAAACGGCTGAACCGATTTTGATAAAATTTTGTATACAGGAAGCTGACGTCCAGGAATAACACATAGGCTATTTACATGCCGGAAATCCCTTAAATCCGCGGTAACACGCGGGGCGCAGCTAGTTAATCATAATTTTGAAAAAGAAACGCCTTCTCTCAAATATTCTTCTCTTACTTATTCTATTTTTATGTACTGTTTTAAAATTTATCGTAACATAAATTAGACACATAGGGAATACTGTAATTGGTAGCCGGTAGGGCACTATTTAATATTATTTATATTGTAAATCAATCAATCAAGTTATAGTATTAAGAATTGTTTTCAGTACATGTCTATAGAAAATTTCTATAAGTACCTAATATTGAACTGAACAGCAAACAGGAACTCTTTCACGTTGTAATAGTTTTCAGTATGTTCGGAACAAATTTAAATCATGATGTAATATGGATTGAAGTTTATATACACATGAAATTTACACGAACATATGTTTCATTAAAAATACAATAAATAGTATTAAAAGTGTAATAACTTGTTTTTACTTATTCGGGGATAAAGATTGTCATAAAAATAACTTTATTATAGCGCTATGCTTTGTGAACGCAACACTTTAAAACGACCGACGACGCTTTATTAATAGATACCTACCTACAAATGTACCTAAATTGCATAGTTTACATATTTAACAGCAGAATGTTTAGTACCTATTACGGTTATATTTAAACTAGGAAGTTAAATATTATGTCAAATTGTTTAAATCATAGGATGACATAATAATTGTTGTGCTAATTTAATAAAATAGTTATGTAATACAAGTGTGCCTATATTACGTAACGGCCCTTAGTTTTAACAGTGGATATTCAATTCACATTCGGGAGAAAGGCGTTTACGCAACAAAAAAATTAAAACTAATTCGAGAGTCGTAAACATCTTTAAGTTATGTACACATGTATGTATTCATATTTATATCGACTGGCAATTACGTTATCATCTTCATCATACCATCTAATGAGTATAGAAGTTTATCTATGTATGAAGCTAACATTGCAATTAGGATCGTTGAGAATGAGGAAGAATGTGTGTCATCGCCTTATTTAATATGCTTACGCTATATCAATGATATTGAAATAATAAAATAAATTAAGTTTATCAACTAAAAAACAATTATACCTATATAAACATTTTGATTTTCTTAAAACTTTAGCCTATTTATATTTGTTACAAACATCAAATATATTGCACCTAGCAGGCTTCATCGTAAAATTTTACTCCATCATAAACATCTTAGGCTAATCACATACATCTGTGAAGATGATTATTTTAACAGAACGCAATAATAGAATTCTTAAGCTGGCATTAGACGGGACAAACTTGAATACAAAATTCTAATCAATAATAATAAAAAGATCAGTCGTGACTGGGAATTAAAATAAAAGATTTACAGTGGAAAGTCAGGCATATTCAGTGATGCCTTTCTAGTGAATATTTGTAATTTTATTGTCGACTGTATAAGTTGTATGCGAATATCTCCCTTTTACAGTGCTACTCCGACAATAAATTAGTAAGTAATTAATTAGATAAATTCTATTAAGAATGTAGATTTATTTATGATGCTATCTATTACATCTATAGTCTTTAGTCACACTTTGTCACATGTTTCTATTTCTATGATTTATATATATTTTTATTTTCTTTTTCTTGTAATTTTGTATATTGTTATTTTATTATTCACTTAAATTCATCAGGTAGACAATAAGTTTTTTTTTTCTTTTTGTAAATGTTGTGTACGTCTGTAATTGTCACTCATATCAGGTTCTAGATTTTATCAATTTTATCTGTTGTTTATGTGTGTTGAATATGTGTGATGTTGACCTTTAAATAAATAAATAAATAAATAAATAAATATTACATGTAAGTTATTTATAAGCTTAACTTTAAGACTACAAGGATATTACACATTAAATCATATTTCTATTTTCATATTATCTCTATAAAGCTCAGGCCCTATTGTCCTGGACACGATCTGCTTCTTTATGTCATCCCAAGTTTGAATCATCACACTATATATGAACACTACTATTTTTTATGAATTAATCTTCTCACATTATCGTATTAACTTATTCAATTGATTGAGAAACGGTATACTGAATTAGGAGCATAAGGCATAAAATGTTATACGTATTGTAATGCCTACTACTACTTAGTAGAATGTAGTAGTCTACATTCATGAAAGAAGAATTTGCACTTGGTCTTCCTTTTCTATAATAATCTCTAGTTTATTGAAAGAAAACAATTCATTTAACGACACAAAGGAGATATGGAACATATTCCATCTCAAGTTTGGTATTGGTTCTTTCTAGTTGATAGGTAATTATATCTTATATTAAAAAAAAATGATTTTGTTTTTTTCTAAAGCAGTAAAAACGGAATCATTAAAACTTAACATTAGATTTAACTTCGAATCTGATGGTTATGTAGTTTGATAAAGTTGGTACGTGTTTATTTTAGTTGATTTCAAAGTGGTTTCTTACTTAGTCGATGGTTATCGATAATTACCTTAACAAAAAAATTAATAATACCTGCTATATTTAATTAATAAAAAGAATCTTTATCATGAGACTGGCTTTAATGTTTTTAAAAACACTGATTTTAGACATCAGAATTATATTAATTAATTCGCTTTCCCACAACGGTTCTGAACCATAAAATATTATTTGTGATACTCGTAAAGATCACATTACTCATTATTTGTCTTAATTACATATTAAATACTTATCAATAGCGGACAACTCAACGCATGAGATAGCTTCGATGATAAAGTTCATGTTATAAAATACCGGAACATATATATTACCCTATACATATTAATAATTTACCTTATTTTACATTAGAAGATATTTTTATGTTACTTACGTGACATCTCTTCCTTGAATTTCTGATGATACAAGCACAACTATAGCTATCACCCACCAACCTCGCTGAAAACAAACAAATATCTCATCTTAAATATTAATTATATGAAAAAGAACATGTTTATAGTGATATATATGCAAATTAGATGATATTTACAATGGATAATCGTTTGAAAAAAATGTTAGTCCAATTCCAAAGCAAATAGTTGAATTTAAAGGCACTATTAACAATCTGTCTTATAGCAGGAAGTGTTAGATTACCGTTTTAATTAATAGAATTATTATCCAAAAGATCAAACAGGACCGTAGACACGTTAAAGAACTAGCTTATGGCACAACAATTTTAGGTCTAGGCTAATTTAAACGCGCTATTAAAACTTTATGTAAACCTGGAGAATTTTTACATAATTAATTTTTGTTAAGTTTATTTATTCCATTGATTAGAAAATAATATAAAAGGTAAACGACTAAAAACATTATATTTTATATTTGCGAGTATATCGAACTAAAAAGTTTATATTTATTAAATTGTAATTTATTCACATATAATAATTTTAAAAAAAACTTGTTCTAATTGAAACTGTGTTTTTAATATACAGAAGATTCATTTTATTTAATTAAAATTTACTTAGCTACGTTGTTATGTTACCAATAATAATTAATATATGTACCTATACTATTTTTAAATAATATTTTTAAATTTACTCTTTTATAATAAATGACATAAAAATGCATTATTATTTAAATTTGATGTTATCGAGCTGATCGTTTTTACAAACGTTAATACTCGTAAGAGTGAAAAGGACGGAGATACAAATGAGACTGTCAGAATAAAACTCACTTTGTTTACAAAATTTATCTCTTTTCCTTAGCTTTACTACGAGTATAACGCGTCTTTGCACGGTGCTGATATAATAGCAAATATTTTCTACTAAAGCACATGGGATTCCATGCCTAGCTTCAAATAAGACTATGATATCACCTAATATATCGGTAGAACATAATAGACCCCTGTTTGCGGGTGCACTAAATAAATAACAGTTCAAACTAAAACGTAATCGTCTAGTAAGAGATAAAGGTAGGGTCGCCTTATCTACGCGGTCACATAAAAGTCAGTTGTTCACATCTTAAATAAAATACTAATTCATATCGATGTTTAGAATAAATGAAATACATATTTTCTTATTAATAAATTGTTTTAAGAAAACATACTTTGAAATTAATGTAGATGTTTTTAGTTGTTAAATGTTCCTAATTAAAATCTTTGATTCATTATCATGAGTACCTACTTACTTTTTTATTATAAGACAATATAGATAGTTTAAAAATAGTGTCTTGTTTCTAAAGATCAGCTATCTAAGTAGAATATAAAAAGAAGAAAATAGAGTATAAAATAGAGATAGAGTATAAAAAGAAGAAAAAGTACAACTAGAGTACTATGTCATTCATTCCAGGAGTAAATAATAAAGAAATAATAACTTATTTTTATTTCTTGGTTATTGAACTGACTTACATAAAACTTACATTTTACTATATGCAACTTTATATTCATTAATGAATATACGATTACACGTTACAAGTCGTTATTAAAAGATTTCTTTAAAGAATTCGATATTAAGCTTGTGGCTTAACTTTACGAAAACAGTAAATTGTTTTAAATCTTGATACAGTTTATATAACTTTTATATGAGAATTAAACTGTACATATGGTGTTTCTTAAGTAAACTCTCTCCAATAGATTAAAAAGTTATAAGTAACATACTAATAAAATATTATTGTTTTTTTAGTCTTTTAAATCCTAAATATGTTTTAATAAGATTTAACGAGTGTTTAAAATTAATATCTCTACGAAACATTCTGATAACAAAAAAAAATATTGTACTGCAATAGATGGTGAAATAAAAATGAAAACATACAATTATCTTTATTTCATGGAAAGGTTAAATGTCAGAATCTTTATTAGGAATCAGTGACACCGTCCTATAAGGTCGATCTCACCATTTCATGATAAATAATAAATAGGCAAATAGTCTAAAATTACACAAAGAAATTTACGGTGATTACCTACTTATAATATAGAACATTTCTGTTAAATGTAATTCTAATAAATAATTTAGCAAAATTTACTGCGATTTAGAATTAATTACTATATGTATATCTATCAGAATAATTATTAGCAACTTATGAAACTGCATCATAATGTTCAAATATATGAGTATTATTTCTTGTTGAAGTTCATCAATGCTATTAAAGGTTTAATTTATGCATAATATGTACCTACTCTTACAGTTATATGAGGTTGTGATATACCTATCTTGACTTGAAGACGTATTTATAAGTAAGGAAGTATGGTGTGTTATTTATCTTAATATAATGGTAAAAATATTATTCTTTTGTTACTCTTGTATTTGTCATCGAAATATATAATGGAACAAACAATCTTTTCCTCTCTGACTTTCAAGAAGTTAGTGTTGTGTTTCACTTGCTTTGATAATTCATAAAATACTTTTACGTGTAAATGTTAAAATACTAAGTAAATATGTTTGAGAGCTTAAGATATTTTTGTTTATTTACATGTGATGAATTTCATTTTAAATAATGATTAGTTTTGACATCGTTGAAATATTTCGAGAACATTGCCAACGCTTCCTTAGTTAGAAATCTTTGTGTTAATATCATTTATAGGAAGTCTGTTAAATAGCAAAATATCTTGAGCATGACTTGAGCTAAGAATTACGCAGTAGATTCCGGTGACAAAGGAAAGGACCTCCTGAGCGAAAATGCTGAGTTAAAACCTTGGCCCAAATCCAGGTTTATCGTTTGGTTTCCAATTTACAAATATATCTTTGTGCATGTATTAAGAGTTAAGACTGTTTGAAATTTATTATTTTAGCATTACTAGTAAATTTACTTTATCTACCAGGTCTATAGGAGTATAGAAACATTTTGTACAATATTCTTATTTTTATAATCACTGATTTGCTTATCATCTTCCAAAGACTTGGTTCGGTAGTAATTTTGGTCGGTATTTTAATAACCCGAGCCAAACCTGCTTTTGATATAATGTATATTAGCTTCGTGGCTTGACAATTTTCAGAAAACCCGTAATTACTTACGCAAAGAACGCATTCATAATAACTCAATTTCTTGTCACGACGAGGCGTGAAAAGCATGCGTCAACTTTAACGACTTGGGGCAATAAACTTTCGTATTCAAAGTACGCTATAAACCCCCATGATTTTCTAATATGAATATAAAATATTATTCTAAATACGATATCATTATACCACGATAATTGGAAAATAATTACAGTCATATACTATCATTGGCTCATTATTAAAGCTTTGTTTGGTATTGTATTTTAAAAACAACGCACTTAATATTAAGCGTGCTAAAGTTACAGAGGTTTATGAACAAAATAAAATAATATTCAAACTGACAGTAAATATGTGTAGTTGTTAGGTCAAATACATTCTCATATCAAAGGTTAAAAAAGTAATGACTTTGATTACTAATGTTCACGGGATTGTCTTATTTATCAATAATTTAAAGAAGCCATATTATTAAATCAATAATATAAAGATTTTCTTAAAAAAATGTTTTGTTGTAAAAATAAACCATCAACGATTGAATAGGTAGATACCTCGACTATAAGCTTTATATGACAAAATAAAGAAGTATTGATTTGCTTACTAATCATAGTAATAATATTTATTAATCATAATAGTGTCATATAGAAATTATTACATAAATTTAATTTGCAAGACGCAAATTATACCTAATCATGTTATACGCGAACCAAGACTTGCTAACGGTCCACAGCCACATATTGTTTACATATAAAGTATAACAGATATTAATTAACGATGTATTACAAATATTTAATATACTCAAATCAACAAACAAATAGTATCACTTACACACACTCCTGACATTAATCATGAACACTTTAAAAGGAGCTTACCATATTGAAGTGTAGCTCGTCCTGTTTATCTAATTTTGTCTATGAAGCACTGCTCTTTTTGTTTTTAACCGTGTGCTGGCGAGTAAAGCGTATTGTATTTATAAGTGGTGTGCAGCGAACGCTCGCGCAGTCGGTCGCGAACTGATCGAGGAACTTTTCTCAAGTGTGGACTTGAGTCGAGGTGCGGCGCCGGCGCCGGTGGACGCAGGGTGAACGAATGCTACTATTTATTATGCCCTGACGTGCTTGATCGACATTCCGTATAGTTAAGCAGCCTTATTTTTGGACACTATCAGTCACTGTTCTGTTGTAAATCACCATTAATTAAAAACTTTAAGCGTGCCCGCACGGAGGATGTGAACGTAAATAGAGCTCAGTTAAAAATAAACAGCGTTTTTAAAACCACCATCAAAGACCTCAATTATATTTGTTAATATTGCATGGATTATAAATGATCGTAGGTCTATGAGTTCAAGTGATTGCTTTCATGGCTCTAAACGGTTCAAAGATGATTGGAATTTTATTTATCTTTAGTAAAGAATATGTTTAATGAATAAAACTATATTCCAGAAATACATTTTATGTGTTTACCTTTTCATTTAATATTTTAAAAAATTAACAGTAGCTAGTTGACACTCCTTGTAGGGTAAACTGTGTAAATGTCTTGTGAGTTGGTAAACAGAATGATTCAAATATTAATCATCAGTCAATATAAAGGACATTGCTCTGAGAATTTCGGTTAAGCTAACAAGATAATGTAGCCTCTAACCATTCCCCGGTACACTTTTATTTTGTACATTTTCTTAGAAAAGTAGAAAATTAAATAAACCTTATTTAAAGTTTTTTTTTTATTTTAACAACTTCTAAGATTTCAAAAATACTAGACTGATTACCTTCTTTAAGAAATGTAAATAATTCATTTGTCGGTAATGACAGAGTGCTGAAGCTGTTTAAAAATATATTAATACTAATATTTTAAAGTTGCAGAGGTTGTTTGTATGTTTGAATGCGGTAATCTCAGGAACTACGGGACCGATTTGACAAATTCTTCCAGTATTGGATAGTCCAATTTTTGAGGAATGCTATAACTTATAAGCCTTATTACAATTTCAATAAATTAGAGATCCGTCAGAAAGTTTAAACTTTGTATCCCAAGGTGTAAAATCGGAAACCTATTATGTGTGGGTCGCAAAAACTATTGACGAAACAATAAAATAATGTACTACGTGTTTAAAGGACTAATTATGATTGAATATGATTATCTAGAAAAATGTACCTATGCTTTTGGGTTAAAAAAATTATCCTCAGAAGAAAGGAACTACGTTAAATATCGTAATATCTTATCCAAATTTACTATTTGGTATGTTATCGAGGCCATTTGTGTGGAAGTAAAATAATTTTTGTTTCATCCCAATGGGTTATTTCTTTTAGTCATTGTCACGGGAATAAGATGCTTAGAATCGGTACCTAATAATTAATTATTTGTTAAGGAGTTTTATGAACATAATATAAGTACCTAATATTAATCTTTAGTATTTCATTGTGAACAAAATTATCATTAAAATCATCGAATCATTTAATTTAAATGAAACGAATATTTATCGGATGTACTTTACAGCATCATCTTGTCTGCCCGTGATCACGGTTGCTGTAAACTGTAAAGTAACCGAAACGTCTGGAGTATGCAGTTTTTTTATCAAAAATAAAATCGCGTAGTAAATCCAAAAAACATTCGTTTATATGAGAAAGACCCGCGAAAATCTGAGATATCATTAAATCATTAATTTTTAATTACATCTTTGGGATAGTATCTCTACTAGGATTAAAATTGCGAAAGTAACTCTGACTGTCTGTTCTTTCTACAACTAAACCCCTGAATCAATTTCGATGAATTTTGTTATAGAGAGTTGGAACTCTGAAGAAAGACATAGGCTTCAAGATCCCAAAATCCACGAGTTCAATGGCCGGAATGGCAGAGAACAACTCTGCCGTTCACGTGAACAGAGTCGCGGGCAAAACTTAGGTAAACATAAAGTCTCCCATTTCGATAAACTGAAATTTGTAATGTAAAATGTAAATGTAAACAAAAGCAGGAAAACCCTTTATTTCATGAAATATTTTTTTTTGCAGAATTTTATAGTTTTTTCATTATTTTATAAAGGCTTTCAGGATAACATTGTCCGTTATATATATATATTTATGTTAGATTTTTCTGGATCAATTATTATTCATGATTGATTGATTGTTAAATATTTGTAGGGTATTCAATATACACAATAATATTTTCTTTCATATAAAGTAAGTAAAGTGATAAATTAATTGTTATTGCTATCCATTTATTAAAATGATATTTATGAGTAGAGGTTCAATTAAATTGTTTTTATGAATATAGTTTACTTCTGAGGAAAAATATTCAAAAATACATGTACGTAACAAAAAATTATAATATATTTACTAAATATATTGTATGTCATGTGTAAATAAAAATTATGTAGGTATATATAAACACACATTTGCAAAAAAAACTACGCAAAATATTGTTAATATGCAACCTGATTATTATTTAAATACATTGTGGGATAAATTAGTTAACAGGCAATGATTCCTGTAAAGTCAGATATTAAACAAAAATTTCCCTCTATTTTAAGCATTTTAATATTTGGCTCTTCCTATGAAAGTTTGCAATAATGTTTTCTTTACTGTGTATGTGTATAAAACTTAACGTATCATTTATAATCCCTGTTAGGGGCCATCCATAAAGTACGTCACACGTAAAGGGGGTGGGAGGGGGTCGACAAAGTGTGACATGGTGTGACAAGGGGTGGGAGGGGTCCTAAGTTTCGTGACATCACATTTCAAAATCTAGAGCTACTAATCGCGTAATTTGAAATATTAATTAAAATCTTTAAAACTGAGCGCGTCATCACATGAATTACTATCAATATTTAAGGAGAATACTCGGTACATGATTCTCATTCGAATTATGTAAAAAAAGGTACTTAATTTTTGACTAAATTTCCGTATAAATAAATAAAGTGAGGACACGTTCCAAGTGTTCCAAGTGTGGACGCGTGCTAGCGGCGTGCTGATACAACACCACGCCGCCAAACGCGCGTGTGTGTGTGTGTATACCTAATCTGTAGACTGTTCACACGATGCGTAATTAATTACATAACTTTTGGTTAACTTTACTTAGAAGTTTATTAATATTTATGTTATATTAATTTTTATTTTGTCATATATAATCGTCAAATATCACGTCCTCAAGTATCGATAGTAATTCACCAGTCACCCTGTATATATTCATTAGTTTATTTATTATTTCAAATATTTGATACTATGTTGATTTCTTAAAAAAGTACTTATTTTAAATGGAAATAAAACTAATTTCGGAACTGCTGTTTTAATTTAATAATTTTTCGATGTTAAATTGCAAAACATGTGACGTCACACTAGGGAGGGGGGGGTCTCAGAAATGTGACCACCTGTGACAAGGACGGGGGAGGGCTCAGAAACTCATGAAATTAGTGTGACGTATTTTATGGATGGCCCCTTATAACGAAACGAATGAAAATGTTTACAAATTTAAGTGAATGTTTTGTAAAAATGTAAACCTCCATCGTTTATTTATAGACATCCTACGAATAACTTCTTTAAAGTTCAAATAGTTGAATGGGAAATCGTGATAAAATCCAAAACAATCATTTATAGCTTGTTTTCTATCCACGCATGTTGGTTCAAATATAATTAAAACAGTTAGTGAGTCATAGTTTGTGAGTAACTGAAATGATATAGTTATTTATTCTACAATTGTTAGTACGTAAGTAATACCTCCTCCTCCCAAGCCAAAAAAAAAAGAATTACAGTACGGTCTGTCGAAATAGAATTTGGGATTTTTTTTTGCCTCCTAGTAGAACTTATAAGTGTAGTCAATGGTGGCCTAAAGGTTAAAGGATCGCCTCTCAGACATGAGGGTGCGGGTTCGATCCTGGCAAGTACCAATATGATTTTTCCGAGTCATATGTACTTTTTGAGAGTATTTAGACACCACTAACAGACGGGGAAGGAAATCATCGCGAGAAAACCTGGACTTATAATTTCACAATTATAAGTTTGAAATCACCAACCTGTATTGTGCTAGCGTGATGATTAATGCTCAAACTAAAATAGCTCAACAATAGTATTTCTAAAGAGGGTTGATATCAGACTGGCGGCCGGTATTAAAACAATTAGCCAAAACTATCTACAACATGTTCTGTGGAAGAGAAGAACATGTTGTGCTTACCCTACATAAAGTGGGACCAGGACAGGAAAAAGAAGAGGAAGAGTATAACTTATACAGGGTGACTGGTGAATTACTATCAATATTTGAGGACGTGGTATTTGACGATCATATATGACAAAATAAAAATTAATATAACATAAATATTAATAAACTTCTAAGTAAAGTTAACCAAAAGTTGTGTAATTAATTACGCATCGTATGAACACCCTACAGATTAGGTATTAGGTACACACACACATACGCGCGCGGCGGCGTGTTGTTGTATCAGCACGCCTCCGCACGCGTTCACACTTGGAACACTTGGAACGTGTACACACTTTATTTATTTATACGGAAATTTGGTCAAAAATTAAGTACCTATTTTTTTTACATAATTCGAATGAGAATCATGTACCGAGTATGCTCCTTAAATATTGATAGTAATTCACCAGTCACCCTGTATAACTTACAATGTTTTTGGCTCCAAAGATACTTCTATTTGAATAAAATTGGGTCGCAACTAAACAGTCAATGCTATTTAATAAATCATTGTTTTGAAAAGAAGAAAGGTTTACCTAAGTTAATAGTTTTTGTGCAATATATTATTACATGTAAATCTGCTATTTACACATGAATGCAGAACAGGTTAGACGTTGTAAATTTTGAGGTATTTCTTTAAGAAGTTTTTCAAACAGTATTTAGTAACTGCTCGAACCCACATTTACAATTATTACGTAATCATGCCAATGATGTCACTGTACTGGAAATGTTAATATCATCATTTATTGGACCCTCGATTCATTAGCACACTCGAATTCTCCATTGCCTTTGAATATTTCTGACTTTATGTTTTATTACGAGATGTTATCTAGTCACTAATGATCTGTGTTGATTAGGACTTCGCATCGTCAGCCTAAATACCAAAAGATTTAATGTTCTTATAAAAATTCTACCATGTTTGAATTTATGAAATAGATTCTTAGCTAACATCTAGGTATAAATGAGAACAAATAACATATTTTTGTTTGGAATCTAAACTTTTTTTTTTTTTTGTCGTCATTGGTCGCACCGTTAGGGAGACTAGAATACACAGAATAGAGGACTAGAAATAAAATAGAAGGAACAACGTGTCAGATAAACCTTTATTAAATAACTTAATACAACGATAACGAAGTCACATACTAACTAAATAACAGAATTTTTATATTTTTTGGACTCCTACATTCCTGTGGACTATCCTCTTGTGTCTGCCCACACAGCCGGCTGTTCTGAAAGTTTTACCACATTCAGAACAGCTAAACGGTCTTTCATCCGTGTGGATTCTGGCATGGACTTTTAAAATGTCCAAAGAATTGAATCTTTTCCCGCACGTCTCACAGCCGTATTTCCTTTCGTTCGCGTGGTAGGCGTAATGTCTTCTGTATTGAGATAATATATGGAAACTCTTTCCGCAGACTTCGCACGTCTTTTTGGGAGTCGGATTATGTGTGGCTTTGTGGACTATCAAACCGCTTTTGAATTTGAATTTCTTCTCGCATATATCGCACGAGTAACATTTATCTTTGGAGTGTACGTCCATGTGCGCCTTGAGGTTTCTTGTGTGTTTCCCGCAAACTTCACATACCTTTAGATATTCATATTCAGACTTGCGAACCTTTTTCCTCCTTATAACTTTTCTCGAAGTTCTTATTTGCGGGGATGTTTTTATTTTCGTGTTCATTGTATCTCTATCCATCTCTATCTCATAGTCCTGTCTCTCTCCATCGTGGATTTCGTTCGTATGTTTATCGTCTAGTTGTAATTCCACTTTAATATAGGAGCTGCTTCTTAGGTTTTTGTCCACCTCCTGACACTGGCGTCTGAACTTGAACGCGTTTTCCAACTCTTGTAGACACTGGAGACATATTTGTGTTGGTAATGTATCTGATCTTTGTATCTGGAAATTAGATTTAATAAAAAATGTAGGACTATTAGCCACAACTTTTGTTATTTTACGATTCAGTAATAATTTTAAATTAACATGGTAAAGGTGTGTTCAGTAGGCATTAATCAAATATTAAAAACTAATTTACTCTTTTCATGAAACGAAAAATCTAGCGTTTTTCTAAATATTTATGAAATAAATTTCACTAACAGGCGTCCATATTTACTCAGACGAAGAAATATTAACAAAAGCCCATGAAAGTGAGATTTCTTGTTCATTACCCATTTAATTCAAAGTAATATTTTTATGGGCTAATCTAAATATATTTAAATTTTACTCAAACTCTATTGATCAAAATTCATGGTCAATATTCTTAAACATTTTAATTCATCTTTATTCACTTGTTTACTCCTACTACTCTATCATGAACTATTTTAATATCTATTTCTTACGAAAAACAATGCAATAATAAATCTACCTCACCGAAACTGTTTGAACTCTGTACAATTAAATATTACCAAATAATCCTATAACTTAACGACAAACGTGCAACTATCAGTTGTACGTTTACAATTCAGTCTTCTAGCATCCCTTACCACGTTAACTCACCTCTATTCCGCCGATGACTTTCAGTTTGTACGCTACATCGAGTCCTTCGTCGTCTGTTTCTTCAAATATCTTAACACAGCCATCATCGTTCGAACACGATCTACACACATTAGTAACTTCATCTTTTGGTTTCATAGAGATCTTGTTTAACTCGTAAAGCTTCACGTCATCTTCGTAATCTTCATTATTATCTTTATTTTCCTTTATTTCGTGTTGGTCTACATATCTCGACACGTGTTCGTAGTAGGGCCACTGCTCGTTGAGTATGCCTTTGCTAGCGAATTTCTGCTTCCACTGAAATTTAGTTTCTAGTATAGTCCTTACTTGGTGTATGTTACAAAAATAAATACAAGATAATCTTGATTATTTACAAATAATATCTTAATTATCAAAACAAAGTAATATGAATAAAAGTCTTTTGTTATGTTGGTCTAATTTTTATATGAATTTACCTTAAAAGTTTTTAATAAGTGCCGCCAAATTTCCTCTATTTCTAGTAGACTATGATCCAAAGGTATTCCCATTATTCTGAGTTTTTTCTCAACTTCTCTGAAATTTTTAGCAAATTTATTATCGTTAAACCCAAAAAAAGATGCACAAACTTTATACAAAAAATTATTTACCGCCAAGGCGTCTCCTTTTTCTTTTCCCACATCTTAAACAATTGTTCTAATTCTGTTCTAGTATTAATTAAATTAATCACCCATTCTTCTTGCCCTACAAACAAATTTTTATATTAGGTATATTTAAATCAATTAACGGTGTTGCCAACATATATTCCTATTACTAATCAGTAAATAATTCCATTTATTATTATTATTAATACAACACTCATTATTTTTATGAAAATGGTATTTTGGCGTGTTGGTTGTAATTCAATTATTTCATAAAGTGTCAGCAAGCTGAGAAAAATGATAAGCAAAAAATAAAAAGTATTTTAGTTTTATTTCATCTCACAGATAGATTTAGAAAAATGTAAATGAAGTTTAAATTTATCCATAAGTCGAATGTAACAGTTACCGTATAAAGGAACTACACCTTCACCTCACCGGAAGTCTAAGTGATTTAAGTTTATTTTTAATGTTTACATAAAATTTAACATCAATCGATCTCGGAAAACATAACTTTTTTATGACATATAACCAACGACCAACGGCGGGTAGTTTGATATTTTTTATAGGTAATAAATTATATCCGATTTCAGTCTATTCAAAGGACATATTATATTAAAATAAAAAGAATTAACAAATTTTTGAAGTCGTTACTGTAGACTAATAAACAGAATTTTATCTTTTTTTAAAGCATATTGGGTTATTATAATAATTTAAAGGAATTTTTATTGCCAGCAACATGCACAATGAAAGAAAAATTAAAAAATATATAAAACTTAAAACTCACAGCCAAGCAAAGGGTTGAGACTCATACTGCTCTCTCCAAAATAAACTTCAAAAAGAGAATAATACATCCATGATATATTGTTTGTCGCTTTAGCTTTTTGGTATTCCTGAAAATTTATATGAAATTTTCGTATATTTAAGAAAATATTACATATTCAAAATCAAAAGTTCTTATAACTAACTATACTTTATATATAGACTATAACCTACTTTTTTAAACATATAAATATGAAAAGTAAGTTTTTAATAGTGTATTTAAAAAGTAAGTTTTTAATAGTGTATTTAAATTAAATTACTTACAGCATATATAGCAGCCCACTTCCTACTGAGATCTCTGCTTGACAGACAATGTGGGAAACCGTATTCTTCTATCATAATCTGACGCAGGTTACTATAACAAACAAATATATATAGAAAATTATTATTAATATGACCAATATGTACATATACGGGGTGACTGGTGAATTACTATCGATATTTAAGGACGTGATATTTGACGATCATATATGACAAAATAAAAATTAATACATATAACATAAATATTAATAAACTTCTAAGTAAAGTTAACCAAAAGTTATGTAATTAATTACGCATCGTGTGAACACCCTACAGATTAGGTATACACACACACACACACGCGCGTCGGCGGCGTGGTGTTGTATCAGCACGCCGCCGCACGCGTCCACACTTGGAACACTTGGAACGTGTCCACAATTTATTTATTTATACGGAAATTTGGTCAAAAAATAAGTACCTATTTTTTATACATAATTCGAATGAGAATCATGTACCGAGTATTCTCCTTAAATATTGATAGTAATTCACCAGTCACCCTGTATATACTTTATCTGACTAGTTTCCTTCATTTATTAATTTTTACCTCCATGCCCATTTCCTGTCCCTAAAAAGCCAATCATTCTGCATTCTGATCTGAATGAATGATTCCGTGATATCTCTTGACCCTGAAAAAAATATAGTAACAATGAATACATTTAATGAATTTCATACAAAAAAATCTAACAATTTAAACTTTTAAAAGAAATATACCACTGTACTTTAATACTACTTACTTCTACTTTGAGCATAAAAATTAATCTGACAATATGTGAGCCTAAAAGTAGTACAAAATTACATACATACATACATTTTATTATACAAAGTGGACAAGATAATAGGACAATAAATGAACCTACACTTTCCTGACCACAATACCCATGTATTCCTTAGTTCAGTCACTGTATAATATTTTTCGTATATAATATTTTAATTATCACGCCGTTACCATAATGATAAACTCAAAGACTGTAGCTGGCTTTTAATGACACATTGCTATAAGACTTATTCTAATACTCTCGGTAAACGACTAGAATAATGGCACATTCTTTTTTAAAAGACATTTTCTTCGCTTCACCTACCTATGTGGACAGAATGTAGGGCATTAGACGGTTAAATTGTGTTATTTTTTTTTTTTGTATATTACAATTGCTTCAGTTAATTTACAGCCGTTCAGAATTCAGGCAATTCTATTCTATTCTGTTTGGAGATGGGGAATGTAACGATAAATCATGTTTAGCTATTCGCACATAACGGAAGCGGGAAGGGATATGAAAATATCGTTATAGTCCAAAGGTAGCAATAAAATTAATCGCGCGAAGATAGAATTAGTATCAGTTCTTAAAATTTTGTTCGTAATATTTAAGTAAGATTTATTAAAATGTGATTGTTAATATTAGTTAGGATTATAAATACGTTTTTATAACTACATAATTATACCTACATTGTACCAGAAACTGAAGTCACGGTACCAGTTAAAACATCCGATATTTCTTTATCAATTCTATTTATTTTTGTATGATTAAGTTTGTTTGAATTAATGTTTTTTTTATTTCATTCTTTTCACTTATTGTCGTATTATCGTGTCAATGTTGTAAACTCACAATTTTATTTCATTACTATTAAAATTAATATTCAATATTGCACCAAAATAAATTATAATAATATTATTAATAAAAATAATATTTTTAACAATAATTTAAAAATAAAGCAGTAAGATAGCACTTCCTTACGAAAATCATAAAGATTATATCTTTTTTTTTTGGAACTTAAACAAGTATTGACAAAAAAACTTACATTGAAATTCATCATCTACTTCATCTTTTTTTTTCTTCTCCCTAGGTCTATGTTTTAATCGGAATTCTATAGCAGCCATGCCCCCAGCCGACATACTACTGAGCCGTTCCAGATATTCTGGCTCATACTTAGTATGATACTCCAACATGGGCTCATAAAGTGGCCAGTCCTCAGAATCTATACTATTCCTCATTACCAATCTGTACTTCCTCTATAAAAACAGTATGTAATGCTAAAATAGATTTGTTTGTTTATCTTCTTTCTAATTTACAACTGTTGAAATGTAAGTGCCTTAATAATACTATTTTTAACTATAAAGTAAAAAACTGCATAGGGCATATAAAAAATATATATATAAAGTTGTGTTCTATGATCACAAGATTACCAAATTTCATAGAAAGTTATTATAATGTAATATCGGCACTGGCAGATAATAAAAATAAAATAAGCATAACACTAACATTAAATGTCATTCTTATGTAATGCCATAACCCTTTTAAATCTTGTATGCAACAGTCTAGTGGAAGATCCTGGCATCGTAATGCATTTTCAACTGTCCTGAAGAAAAAAACTAATTAATATTAAATTCTACAGTACAAAATTCATACACATAGTTCATATGAATTGTAAAATAAATAACACACCTCCACATATGTTGAAAGTCAAGTTTAACCTCTTTGGCCTCAGATATGCATATTATTAATTTAAGTCGCCATTCATCAGTCCCTAAAACACATTGATTACTCAATATAAAGTAATATTAAAAATATGTTTTGTGAAATAAAACTTACATGATTCATATTTATCTAAAACTTGAGTTTTGCCAAAATGTTTATCAAACATTTTGAAATATTTCCACTGTCTGTTATTTGTTTTCTTTGCTATTCTGTAGGACTGTAATAAAGAAAAATATTGTAGGTTAAACAAATAAAAAGTACCGAAAAAATCTTAAAGAACTTACATCATATGTATATGACCACTTCTTGCGTACATGATTGAGTGTCATTTCTTCTGGAAATCCACTTTTTAGTAAAATTTTATAGAATTCTCTAGAATAAAAGAATGCCTATAAAATTTTGATATAATTTTCCATCAAACTGGCTTGTCTAAAATTTAAATTATATTACAGCACTCACCTCCAAGGTTGCTTTTTTTTTCGGAACAGCCATTCATTATCAAAACGCAATTGAAAAAATCTTTTCGTTAAATCAGATGTCCCTATAACCAAAATCAATTGTCTTAAATGAAGAAAAATTTGAAGAACAAAACAAAATTTTAATAAACTTACAAACAAAACTTTTTTCCTCCATGGCTAAGAAAATATGAGATACTTTCCTGTAAAGCCTACTTATCTAAATAATATATTTACAAGACGGTACTTATATAAATTACACTTAGTTCGAATTCTTCTTGTTAGAGAGAAAAAGTAAACAATTAAAAAATCATCATAACAAGTTTTCACTGATAAGTGATTTGAGATTTCAGAAAGATGCGTCGCGAATTTGACATTGACAGATAAGTAGACTAAATGACTACTTGAATAGAAGAAAATTATTAAACATGCTATAATATACTAACTATTTTTCAGAACTGCAGCTTATTAAACGTAGTTTATTTCATAGAAAAAGTTTATCTCTCGAATCTTATTCAGTCTTAAATTTAATGTTGTAAAAATTTGTTTTTTCTTTGAATGGCTTAACCTTAGCTACAGTTAAATACAACTTTTAAAAAAGAAATTTACGCATATTTCATATTTAGGTAGCTTTAGTTTACAAGATAAATCTGCTTTTTAAAATGATACAATCACTTACTGAATTGTTAAATTAATAATCAATTTATTTGGAGTAGAGTAGGGCATGTTTATTTTAAAGTCTTTAAATATAAAATATACTTTTTAAATTGCTGCTAGTCAGTAGACATTGAACTTTCTTTCTGTGCTTTACTGTGGTTTCACCTACTATCCACCTGTGCATTTTAAATTTAATAACTTATTGATTTCAAAATTTGAGAACAGAAATTATTTCATTAATTTCTTATTTTAGTCATGTTGTCTACAACGAACACATTATTTCTACTAAGACCAAATTAAAATAATAAATATAATCCATCTAAGGATTTTAATATACTAACTTATTTTTAATCATTATTAAAATATACATACTCTGTAAGTCATATTATTTCTTCTCAGTTCACAGGCTACAGATTAGTAAACAAATATTGCCTTCTTTGAAGTTTGAGTTCTTTCAACTTCACGTGGTTTTCGAAGTTTTAGGATTTGGTGTGAATTATTTACTATTTTACTAGAAATGTATATTGAATGAATAATGCATCGACTACTATCGGCAAAGAGTTTATGCCAAAATAATTTACACAATGTGACAGCGTCTGCATCGAATTCTTTAAAAAATATATCTTTACCCAAAATAAAATGTTCTTTTTGTCAGAAAATTCTTCTTACAACACCATGTGCAGGTATGTTGTTACGTGATTATAAGTTAATTTATTGTTTGTTTATAAATATAATGTTTCGCTAAAAATAACCTCTAACTAGTTGCATAACATATATAATAAATTCTAGAAAATCTATTGTCGGCAAGGCATCAGTCTACGAGAACGGTTAACGCTTTGAAATCCTTGAAAAAGAAAAGTAAACATAAAAGCTATAAAAAATACGGCGAACTCCTCCAAGGTATGTTTTGACAATATTCATATTCAAATTCTCGTAAAAATTTTATATGACTATACAAATTTCTTTTTTGCAGTAAGCGACACTAGTATGACGGAAATGCAGGTTTCAATAAATAAGTTGAATGCGGCACATCTATCAAAGCTTGCATCAAGCCCTGTGTCACTCGGACAACTTCATCAATTAACAACAAACCCATCAAAGAAATTAAAGGACATAGAAGTTGACAAAGAGCTTCTCCAGACTGTCAGAAACAAAATTTTGAAGAAGACAAGTCCTGATATTAAAATAGAAAACGACATGTGCGCTCTTATATTCACTAATCATAAAATATCAACAATCGAAGACAGGTTGAAAACTAAAAAGATCATGAATATGGTGAAAGAGAGTTATTATAATTTTAGAAAAGCAACCATCTATGATCAAAAACTACAAGACCTCAGATATGCCATCAATGAAGGTTTGACGCAGGAATTTAATTTTGAATCTGACTCCAAACTGAAAAATTTAGATAACTCTCTGCCAAAGAGTCCACATGCTGTTTTTAAAGAATTGTTTACTGATAAGCAAATAGATCGCTATGACCAAGAACTTATTAGTCATATAACACAGTTTCAGTGAGTATTTTTTGTATTATTAATTAGTATTTTCTTAATAAGTTTCCATATTATAGAAGATTTCGATATGTAGGTATTATTCTAAATTTATTATTAATACATATTTATATAGGAAACTGTAAGCGAGGAACTAATTCTATATCTGTATTTGTTGTATATAATTTAAAAGTTATAATAATGTTTCCTAATTTACTAACAGAATTCTTTTTTGTTTCCAAGAATGCAAGGCTTAGCTCATCCAGCCATAGATGATATAGATGATCCATCTTTTCACACTGAACTTGGTGATCTAAAAGATGAATCTATCTTTGATGGTGAAACTGAACAAGTTAAGAGCCTAAAGATTAAAAAAGCGTATGTATAAATTGTAATATTTATTATATACTTCTTATTAAAAAATATTAGTTTAAAATTATTCTTACAACATGTTATTTTACTTTCAATAAATACATAATATTATAACTCCATGTTATCGCTTACAAAGAAAACAAGATCTTTGCTTATTGTCATAGAATTTTTTTTTTTATATCTAAGTCAAATGACAAAAAAGATGAACATTATTTCCTGTACCATATTGAAATTTGTATGAAATTTATAGTGGAAGTTCTAGAAAAGTAATTTAAAATTGCTTTCCATAGAGGTTTGATTCCTTAGTAAATCGCCAAACATTTTGAAAACAAAAGTTATACTAATAATGAATGCACTTATTACCAGTCAGCAAGCAATAAAACAAAAGAAAAAGAAGATGCGTGAGAAACGTCGGCAGGCTCAAGAGGCGAATATGAAGCAGGACATGAAACAATTGGAGCTTCAGGCTAAAGAAGATGCCTTACAGAGATTATTAACATCACACCTGCAATTACTGTGTTCATTGGATATGATTTCAGAGGTGAGATATTACTTAGATACACTATAGAAGACTGTAGTCTTAAGAATTATTATACAATTTATAATATAGAGTGAGATAATATGTGAATAATGGCTGATGATTCCATTTTGTAATTTTTAAACAACATCTATTACCAGATTTATCTAGTTTCACTCCAAGTATATATATATATATATATATTATTTTCCTTTAAAGACAAATACATATATAGAAAAATTCATTAATTATATGATTCATTCACAATCTTTAGAAGTTTGATCAAGTTTTCTCTTATTGCCGGCAACTCAAATAGCTTAAGAGTCTGTGAGTGCAGTCAAATAAGAATTCTATACATCTTATCCTCAAGTCTTCATTCTGAACAATCGTTCGTCTCCCTGACAGAGTTCTTGTGAATTCTAATTACATTTTGATACCTATAACAGGCTGCTTTGAACCACTCAGAATTTGAACTGAATAATGCCTACACATAAAAAATTAAATTAAAAAAAATTAAAAATATTGAATGATTGGTTTCAATTCTTTGCATATTATAATGCTCAAGAAAAATATTCTTGACATGTTTAAGCTAAATATATCAGAATTTAAAAACTATAGATGAGGTTATTGACCTGTTCTACTTTTTGTTTAAAATATCTTATCAAGTCTGCTCTAGTTACGAATATTGTCTCGAATTTTTAACATCTTATGTTTAAATACCATTGTAATTATACATTCTATTCTTCATAATTACCTTTACCTTTACGATAATATTATAGAAAACTTTGATCTCAAATTCCAGGGACGTCAAGTATTACAGTATTATAGAAAAAGGAATGCTAAATCACCGGAACTACCAAAACTCAGAAGTATTAAAGTTTACAACACACTACTTAATGGATACGCTTCTGTGGTAATTTTTTTTATAATATTCACACACAATTACCCAACATGTGTTATACAAATATTTATGTGAAAAAACACCTTTTTTCAGGGTAACATAGAAAATACAAAAGAACTATTATCATTTATGTCTGAAGACCAGATAGAACCAAATGCACAGACCTATGCAGCTGTCTTTGAATGTGTGGAGAGAAGTCACATGACAGACAAGGAAGCAATATTAAATGATTTCCACCAAGTTATAAAAGACAAGGTGACTATTCATTTTAAAGTCAATCTCTTCTGTATAGTAAGTGACATAGAACAAACATAGGAGCTTTGATTAAAAAGTAGAGTGTAATAAATGCAGGTTTAGACCACAGATACAAAATGTTACATATAATTTTTTATTTATGTCATCTTTAATCATTTAAATCCCTCACAAGACATTGTTAAATGAATAAATATTTCTAGTATTTTGTCTGATATGCAAGACTCTTAGAAGATATAGTTCATTTATACAAAAGTTACCTAATAGGTCACCTTACAGGCCAGTAGTATCTACAATCACATTTATAAGCAATTCTCCAATTTAAAATCAGATAAATCTATAAATCAAAATATAATTGACTTGTACAAAAATTTCTTTTAATATATTAATATTTGTTTATTTTATTAAGCAAAATCTTAACATATACCAATAAACATTAATGTTGCAGGGTATGACGTTAAATGATTTGTTGGATCAAAGCAAATTCTTGTATGACCAACGAGAAGTAGTTCTTAAAGCTGTGAGGAGACTGGAACCGAACTTTGAACCACATTACACACCTCCAATATTAGACCATGAATGTTCATTACTTGAAGATTTGAAGCTAGATAAAGTCCACAATAGAATGGGGTTGTTGACCTCGCCGGCTAAAGGGTTGATGACCTTGGAACAGCTGAGAGAGAAGGGCAGGGAACAACTAGACATGGAAATTAATGGAGAGGTTGAAGTTCATAACATTTCACTAAAAGAAGAAGCTTCAAAGGAGGTTCTGTTATATGTGAGTTATATATAAATATATAGTTTATACTAAAACACTGAATAAAAGTTACTGTTACTGTTTAGTTTTTTATTACTGAATATAATAGTCGTATTTATACGTAAATAGTATTTCATAAAAAAATAGAAGCTATTGATTATGTATTTAAAGTCACATAAGGCACTAGACTACTTCATTTTAAAATCTTCGAATATATATTTTTAATACAATT